GCATTGCCTCAGAACATTGCCCCCACAGATGCCTTGGCAGCTGAAACTGAACCATCAGCAGAAGCTATGTTAGCAGAACTGCAGCAACAGGCACTGCCTGAGAAGCCGGTGCAGGTGCAAGCACCTCCACCACCCATTGCAGCAGCAGCCGAGAAACCAGAACAGGTGGAAAAACAAGCAGAGCAGTCCAAGGAATCCCCAGCAGCTATGTCAACAGGACAGAAGCACAAGTGCCCTCTGCCATCCACAGGAAGTTCCCCCGAAGAAGGAGTCATGGCAAAGAGCAAAAAGCAGAAAAAGCCTGCACCTGCCACCCCAGCACAGATTGGGCTCGGGAAACCCCAGTCCCCAGCTACCTCACCTGACACACAAGCAGAAGCAGCTGCAGCAGCTACGTTAGCAGCACAAAAGCAGAAGCAGGCATCATCTCCAGCAGCTTCACCACCTGCATCCAAAGCTTCACCACCTGCATCCAAAGCTTCACCTGCAGAGCAACAGGCCGATCCAAAGTCTGCTTGGCGTGCAGACTGCAGCAAACAGCAAATCGACCAACTTGATGCCCTCATTGGCTGGGACAGGTCTGATGATGGTACACACTTCATTGTTGAATTTGAAGGTTATCCACCTCTACGTGTTCAGGATGCAGTGCCTTGCCAGGTACCCATTGTCATTGACAGCAGCCCCCATAATTGCAGACATCTATGGTTCACGGATGATCTATATTCAACTGATTCAATTGGGTTTGAGTCCAGCTGGCACAGATTTCAGTACCACATGAAAATCGTCAATTTTTTGGCCGTGGTCCAACGCCTAGATGGTTTAGTTGCCATATTTTTTTCTAGAATGTATTAACATAGCTGTTGGGCCGGTCATGGGAATCTTGTTCTGCGTAAAGTTATCACCAGATACCATGAGATACAGTATCCTTGTCCACAGTGTGCATGAAAACAAACGAAGACCTGCACAACAGGATCAGCTATCAAATGCATGTCAAATCCTATTTTTGAGGTAACTTTTTGCAACGAAGCAGTCCTTCAGTGCTACCCTAACATAGACCTGTCCCAGTGTTCCGATGCCCATCTGCATCTAGGACTTCCATCTCACTACTGTCACTGCGGACATCACCCTCGCATTGATCCAGAAGCGCGACTTCGAGCATAGCATCTGCTCAAACTCGAGGGTAGATGAAATCAGAGAGCGGTCTCAGATCATGTGGTTGAAACTCAAAGCAAGACGAAAAGACGCACTGCGGCAAAGTCACGTTTTCCAAATATGCCGCGGTCTCAGTTGCGACAAATTCCAAAAAACATGCCAAAACAGTGCTCAAATACTTGTGTTCCACGTGAGTCCCCATCAGCTATGTTAGCACAGGGCTGTTTGAAGAAAGTAGCTTCATACTTCATACACATGACTTGATAGGGTACCATCCCCTCAACTAACAAAGATCTTGCCAATCCTGGGTTGGAAGACTACTGATGTATGTTCTTATGTTTTCTTGATCCTGATGATGTGAGCTGTAGTCAAGGTCTTAGTTAGTCGATGGAGAGTACTCTGTAACATGCACTTGGGGCCAGGTTATCCAGCTATGGGGGCATAGGTTTGCTCAATCGTTCATTCTGAGGTGAGAAGCAGCTTCTGGAAGATGTGCAGTTGTATGCTCACAAGGAGCCGGCTGCGGATCCGGAGCCGGAGGCGGCTGCGGATGGTGTGCCCAGTTCTTCCAGCAAGGCTCAGGCTTCACCAGAAAAAGCTCAGGCTTCACCAGGACCAAGCTCAAAGGTGGACGCAGGGGAGGAACCGGATCTGGATGAATCTTCTAAGGATATCACCCAGATGTTTGGGAAGGAGGCTCTGGAATCCAAAGCCGTGGTACCCTGCATGACTGCAAAAGAACTCTTTTTGGACTCTGAGTTGATTCTCCCTGGGATTGGATTGAAAAAGTTCAAACAGCTTGAATGTTGCGGTGCTGAACTGGCAAACTATGTCGGTGTTTTTGGGAAAGACCAGTGCACCATGTACAAACAGACCAAGCCACGGGCATGCACTCTGATGATGGGAGATTTCCTTTCGGACAGGGATAGCTTCTGGAAGTACGCTCTGAGACAATGCAAGCAGTACCCAGTGGTTGCCATATGTTTCTTCGATGTTTTTTCCGAAGATCCTGCTGAGGCCTGGGTCCCTGGGTGGGCAGCTTCAATCAAAAAATACCTAAGGCCACTAACATGGACTTTGGTAGTGGTTCGAAATATTTTATCAAAACCAAAATAAAAGGACATGAATGATGTGACGAGTTTCTCATTGCGTATTCCAACAAACATGACCCTTCAGAGCCTCTTGCAGGTCATCTCACAGATTCCAGACCGCATCAAAGGCCTGGATGCAGTTTACATTGTCGTCCTACCATCTGACAAGCCGCTTGGAGCCACTGACTCGGACTTCCGCAATGTGGAGGTTCACAAATTCATTGATGGGGCCATTCACCCGGTCGATGAGGGAACGGTTTTCATCACCACCCGTGGAAAACTAGGCACGCTTACCAAAGGGCTGCTTCACATTGCGGACCACAAACCGAACATTGAACCGGAAGAAGTTGCCCAACAACATGTGGGTGTAGTAGCTGCACATTTGCAATCCAAAAGGACATGGCCAGACCAAAACAGTGTTTAAGGTCACTAACATGGATCTAGAAAGCCTAAACAATACCAACATTGGCACGGTTTCTTGGGTTCACATGTTCACATGTTGTTATGTTTTGGTTTGGTGAAGGGAAAAGCTCACACATGGTCACGACTAACATGGCTCCCATTGCAGGTTTCAGAGTCTTTGGGCATATCACCCTGCCTGCTCGCAGGACTTGCGTGGAGGAGAACGCGCAGAAACTGGCGCACAAGCGGGCCAGGGAGTCAGTGATTGCTGACGCCATGCAGGCTGAATTGGAGCGGAGGACCAGCCAAGTTGAATCTGCTGAGCGACAACATGCTGGTTGGAAATTCATTTTGAGCTACATCACGAACATCGATACCCATGGAACCAAAAAACCTGAAGATATGTCGTGGGATTACTTCTTTCGGGTGGCTTGTGAAGGTGATGCACATGCCTTTGAATCCCTTGAGTGTCCCCCATTGTTTGACACTACCGTGCTCCCCTATGATCAATGCCTCCTAGCGGTGACCAAGCATGTCACATCGTCCGCATGCGAGCTGGAACGAGCGAAAGTCTCCCTGAACAAGCAGAAGCAGAAAGACGTTGAGGCAAAGTCACGGAAAGCAAAGCAAGCTGCCCGGGAGAGAAAGACGTTGGAGAAAGCAGAGCCAGACTCCGCAAAGTTTGAAGCCGAAAAGAATCTTATCTGTCAATGATGGTGTTGAACCAATTCAGGATCCATGTTAGTAGGAGATATAAAAATACATTTTAGGTTTCGATATCCTGAAAATGATTTCCAGACGCCGTATCTACTGTATCCGCTAGTCTGCAGGGCCTATGTAAAGTACTTTTCAAATGGTTGGCACCAGAAAATTGCACGGTTCGGACCAAGGCTACCTGACCCCTGGATATCCTGTCAGGTCTATGTTAGTGACACCCCAGATCAAAATACAACTTGCTTATTATCAGTATGTTTTGACTTTTCTATGTTTTACCTGAGCCCTAAGATCTTAGTAAGGGACCCTGCCCGGTCCTAAGCCGACTATCAGGAAGAGACGCCGCCAGAACTGGCACAACAAGTACAGGAACAAGAAGGTTGAGGGAGCGGTCAAAAAGCAGACGAAGGACCAGGGTGTTTGGGAGAATCCTCCACCCAAGGCTCGGAGGCAGATCTTTATCTCTTCCAAGCTTGAGGTTGTGAGGTACTACAAAAAATTGAAAGCAGAAAAGACACAGGCTCTTCAAGACCGGTGGGAAAGGATTCCCCGGGGGGCATCGGAGGAAGAGAAAGAAACAATTTTAGCCAAAAGGCAGAATGCCAAAATCATTTTGAAAAGGAACATGCTGGCCGAATGTGGACAGAAGTTTAAAAATATTGGTGGCCATGCAGTTTGGAAATGGGAAAGATCATGTGATGCAGAGGGTTGGGAACTCATTCCAGAGTCGGATCGAGTTCGTTGGGTGGAGATTCCGAACCATTGGAGGGTAAAGATGTCCCTGCAAAAGAAAGGACGGTCAGTTGGAGGAGCAATCCCGAGAGAAATCCAGGAGGAACTCGACAGGCTGATTGCTCAGCATGTGCTGGGCTCGTCTGACATCACAGAAAGGAAGCAAGTGGTGTGCTGGGATGACATTGACTCTGGGACCGCAAGCAAATCTCACAAATCAGAAAACATGCATTTTATTATTATTATTGGAGGTCTTGGGAACCCTGGGCAGGATCTATTTGCGCGAAAAATCATATAACTTGGAAAATCCACGTATTTCAGTTTCATATAAATTCAATATGAAAAACCATTGAGTTTTGATGATTTTTTGGTCAATCAAAGGGAAGCCCTGTTTTGGGATCTGAAATTAAGATGTTGAGACACCCTCATGCACTCGAAAGCCAGAAAGAAAAGGCAAACAAACGAAGACCCTGAGAATTGGTGTGGGTAGAAGTTCATGATCGCTCTTGGATGGGTTCAAAATGATTTGATGAAACGATATCTTCAGGACTTCAGGATTTATTATTAACTATTGATCTTGAGACCCTGCTAACATAGCTCCTGGGTTATCACCCACCCTGATGACTGATGGATGAGTAATCATGATGGACATGGTTGGACCCAAATTGACATTGATCCCGCTGTACCTGTTCTAGTTAACCTAGACCTGCATGATGGTCTGAGGGAACGAGTATTCGATCGCGGTTGCCAGCTTGCTTTCAGGAAACTACGGCCGGCACCTTGGTGGACAATTGGAACGGCGGCTTGGAGACTGCACGCTCCTTGGTGGCTCAGCAGAACGATGAGATCCGTGCCAAGCACCAGCGAGGCGAGATTTCGGCCAAAACTTTGGCCCAGACTCTCTCTCCTATGCCTTCGGAGGTGGAAAAGCCAAATCAAAAGTGGTGCCGCAACTTTGTGAAAAACTTTGGCTGGAGCCTTTTGAGTCCATCCATGGAACAAGCCTCACTTCCATTTGACCATCCAGACATGAAACTCTACAGGGACAATTACAAAAAGATGATTACGACCGGCCAAGTGCACCCGTACTTGGTTCTCAACTTTGACCAGGTTTGGAGGTGTGCCTTCAGTTGGAGTGGCCGTATGCATTGGAAACCCCGAGAAAACGTAGGGAAAAGATCCAAAAAAGTGAAAACGCCGAAGACCCTCGACAAAAAGCGACATGCAGTTCGCGGAGCACGAAAGAGTGTGACCGCACCTAGGTTCAATCAACATACTTTTGTATACATGACTGTTCAGTCTCCAGGATCCATGTTAAATACTTAATCAAGCCGTGGCGAAACAAATGTACTGGTACGACCTATGGTCAAAGATCAAAAGGAAGAGTTTCACCAATTGTGTAGATCTATGTTAGTCATCATTTGGTGAATCAAATGAGATTGACCCATGTTGGCTGCTGAGCCCAGGCGTTGACCAGTTCGTGGGCGGATGGATCTCGAGGACCAATCTGTTTTTGCTTGCCAGAAGGCGCGATCCCTGCTGCAAGCATGCGGGAATGGAACGCCAAGCACGTGGGTGCCAGTTACATCATAAGCACTGAGACCAGCAGCCATTTTATGCACTCCAATAGCCTCCTGGAGATTTATGATCAATGCTACAGTGTGGCATTTCACCTCCAAAGAAAAAAGATCCTAAGCTTTAGTAATTCCATGATTTGTTTGTTAACATGGCCCTCGCACCTGCTTCCAGAGTTCTGCCACAAATCCACTAATCTGATCAGCTCAACTCAGGCTTGGGCTGAGTGACAGTGACCGCGGAGCTGTGATTTGCGACGCATGGACAGGCTCATTCTCTCGATCTCGCGGAGAGGAAACCAGGAGGTGGGAGGGCTAACATAGATGTCATACACATGGGCAGGTCCTTGTATGATGTTTTGTATGTTTCTCTGGTATGTTTGAAAAACAAAGTGACTACAAGTGACACACATGTTTGAATCCTAACATGGATGTTGCCCCTTGCAGGAACATCTTTTATGAAAGCCACAATGTGGAGCCACCCCTGCGACCAGTGGGGGGGTGGAGCGCCCATGGTCAACCAGTTGACCAGTTGCATGGTGTCTTCCGATCGAGAATTCGCCATTTGGACCTGCTGCAGCTGGACATGGGGCGAGACTTGCGGAAGCGTCCCGAGTATCATGAGATGCCAATCAGATCCTCAGGACTCGGTACAGTTCAGATCAGTAACTTGATTGACAACTGCAATGTATATCACATGTCCTGAACAACTAACATAGACCTCGCAATGGGTTTTCAGACACATGATTCAAATACTGTACTGGTGTATACCAATTTACAGCATATGTTCATGCAGATCATGTGCAGAACACATGATACGTGATTGTATCATCAACAACTGATCGTTTCGAATCAATGTACATCTAGCATCGATGATTGCATCATGCTCACATGTAGAGTTGCCAGCCGCCATACTGTTGGCAGGACAACTCGAAGTTGAAGCCGCGAAGTGGCTCGGCGTTGTGCAGCTTTCGTTCGATGCCTGGGTATCGTTGGAACCCAAAATCTTTCAATCGGCGTGGATCAGCTGCGGGTACATGTCGGCTGAAGATTTCCCACCAAACCCAGCTGCACCACCACCGTCGATTCAAGATGCCCGAGAAGCATTGGATGTCTTTGGAAGACTTGGTGGAGGTACACCCCAAAGATGCACACGGTTCGAATGGCAGATCAAGGATTGACCTGATCCATTGTGTGTTTTCTGGAGCCATGTTAGTGTCTTAGACTGATTCAAGAAAGCTGGGACATATGTAGAATTGTACACTCACAGAATTTCCAAAGAAACATGGTTGCATACTCAACTCTTCACCATCCACGAAGGTCCTTGTTAGTGGACACATGTTCCCGCAGATCGTCCGTCAGGACACTGACAACGCCTGGAAAGCTCTGCCGTACGAGGCCGCCGGGGCAATGGTTCGATCACTCATGCTCCATTGCCACAGGTTTTCTGAAGCGAAGGTGGCAAGGGACAAGGCTTTGGAAGAAGATCCGGAAGCCAAAAAAGCAGTGACACAGAAACTGGTTGAGAAGGTCGCTGGATTGAGCCATGTTGACAAATACCTGGTCTTCAATCCGAGGACAGGACAGCTGGCCACTGAGATGTGGCTTTCGGCGCACATCCAAGTAGTGAATGGGAAACCACAGTTCAAACACCCAAGCAAACAATATAAGGACCCAAAAATCTTGACCCTGACCATCAAGATTGACAATGGTTCCTTGGACTGCTTGCTGGATCTTGGCAATGGGGATTCCAAGCCGGTCCGCTGCTACGATTTGAGGTCCTCGGCAACCCCTACTGACATGGACATCCTGCTAGGTGGGTTCGGCCACATGGCTGACAAATGGCAGGATGATGATGATGAGGGTGACCGCTGGGAGGACTTCGATGAAGTCGATTTCGATGAAAACGAATTTGAGGATCAGATCGTGGATGACTCAAATGGCCTGGAAGGCCATGATCATGTTCTGGGGATCCATGTTAGGAACCAACGGCTCGACATTTCATCACAATGGATTCGGATCGATTTCAATGATTACCCGTACTTGTCAGAGTCGACAGGTCCATGTTAGCAGGTCTTACCCTTGAAGATCTTGAAAGCCCACTGAGTGAGACACCAAATACATCCTGGAAAACTAACGTGTTTACCCAGCTCAATTGCCTGTCAGGCCATGCTCTTGCAGAAAAGGATCAGCAGATCGTTTTGCTCAACGACGATGATGATGATGAGGGCTGTGGGTCTGAAGGTGGGATGGGAGATTTCTTGATGAATGTTTCAGGTCTTTCGTGGAAACATGTGATTGCACATGATCTCATGTGGACCTATAGTCATAGCGGTTTGGTTACAAGCTTTTCATGCAAATGACAAATGTCAAGTGTGAAATTGTGGCATGCATGCAATATATGCTTTTGAAAAAACATGTTTTCCAAATGATTGGATCAAACGAAATGTCTCCAGGATTGGTTTTAGGATTCATGATTTGGAGACTCTACTAACATAGATCTTGGTTACAACATTTTCGGATCCGACATGATGATGTTTGAAACCCCTAATGCGCCCGAAAGCCAAATCAACCCACAGGACATCCAACAAACGAAGACCCTGATGGATATTGTGGAGATCTACTTCAATAGTCATATTTTGGTTTTCAAAATCATTGGATGAAACGAAATGTCTTCAGGATTGGTTTTTGGATTCATGATAGGGAGACCCTACTAACATAGATCGTGGGTACACCATTTTTGGATCCGACATGATGATGTTTGAAACCCTTCATGCACCCGAAAGCCAAAGCAACCCACAGGACATCCAACAGACGAAGGCCCTGATGGATGTCTTGGGGATCTATTTACTAGTCATTTTTTGGTTTCAATACGATTGGATGAAACGAAATGTCTCCAGGATTGGTTTTTGGATTCATGATTTGGAGACTCTACTAACATAGATCTTGGGTACAACATTTTTGGATCTGAACTGATGAGGTTTGAAACCCTTCATGCACCCGAAAGCCGAAACAATCCACAGGACATCCAACAAACGAAGACCCTCATGGAAATCTTGGGGATCTACGCTCTGGTGAATCAGGATCTATGTTAATTTACCTGAGGGGGAAAGCCCACAAACAAAGACCCTGGGAGGTGGTTTGGACATCAAGTTCCATGGTCACCCATGGTTGCATTCAGGATGGGTGGATGAATCGAAGTGTTGTCAGCTTTTAAATTATTGTTGTGCTATGTTTTACTGTACCAATTCACATTCAGAATTCGGACCCAGCTAACATAGATGCTGGAACAATCCCAACAAATATGCTGATCGATGAAGGGCATAGCTTCAATTTCCAATGACTTATAGGCCAGTCATAAAATGAAAATTTGTTGCAGGCAAACAAAGACCTTAATGATCCTTAATGTATGGTTTGGGGATCAAGTGCATGATCTATTATGTCTCTTTCTCTCTTTCTCTCCAAAATTGCTTGCCCTGGTCTGGTATTATTCACCCCTAACACGGCTTTTCTGTCGCTTCTCTTGTCCAGGTGGGGATGAATGGGAGTTCCCAGATGAGATGATCGACAAAGACAAGTTCAACGAGAACCTTGCGGACACCATGGTGGTGGCCAAGGGCAAGCTGGCATCTTCTGAGAGTGGCTCAGCCCCTGCACCGAAGCAGAAGTGCTTCATGAACCGACCTGTGTACCTGGCTCTGAAAGATGAGGGCCTAGTTAGTCTTCCTCCTGTCCAGGGTTTTTTTTTGTCTTGCCATCCCAGCTCATGCCAATGGCATGCTGGCTTTCCCAAGGCAGACGGTACAGGGGTGAAAAATAGAGCACCAAAGTGGTCAGAATCCGTGAGATCCGAGCGCAAAGCGCTCCTTTTGGCTCTGCGATTCTTATGGGAAACCTACGTTAGCGATGGAAACTCTGATGGCCAGCATCATGTTGACCAGTTGAACGCTGCTCTGGCGTCTTAGAGTCTTAGAGTCTTAGGGCAATGCACAGGCAACCTGAGACAGGCACAGCTTTGGGAAGATGCGTCAAGAGAAAAGAACGCTCTGTTTCCAACCAGTTTGGGGGCTGCTAACGTAGACCTGGGACAGCTCTGTACATTGTCACAGGTATCTTGTAAAAAACATTTGTTAGCATAGTTTTCCAAAACCAATATTGCTGTAATCTCATTTTTCCAATTCCTAATAATGAACACTAACATAGACCTAGAAGAAGGTTTACCAAAAGATTTCATTTTTGCTCTGCTTTTAGATTATGGGAGCTGTCTCCAGGTCTATGTTAGGGCCCAATCCTGGCCCAATTTGAATCGCAACTCATGTCAGAAAATCTTATTTTTCTAATTCATGATAGTGAAAACTAACATAGACCTAGAAAAATCATGTCAGCTTTCTTCAGCAGGTCTATGTTAGTGGAAAACAGTTGTTTTTTTTGTTTAGTTTTTGGCTAGCTCACAGGGCATGTCAAACCATTGTCCAGGGGCTATGTTAGTATCGGCCGAGATGGATCCACCACATCTTCGTTGCGATTCTTATGGGAAACCTATGTTAGCCATAGGAAACTCTGATGGCCAGCTTCATGTTGACCAGTTGAACGCTGCTCTGGCGTCTTAGAGTCTTAGGGCAATGCGCAGGCAACCCGAGGCGAGAGACCGGCACGGCTTTGGGAAGACGTGTCAAGACAAAAGAACGCTCTGTTTCCAACCGGTTTTGGGGTCTGCTAACGTAGACCTGGGACATCTCTGTACATTGTCACAGGTATCTTGTAAAAACCCTTGTTTGCATAGTTTTCCAAAACCAAGATTGCTGTAATCTGATTTTCCAATTCCTGATAATGAACACTAACATAGACCTAGAAGAAGATTGGCCAAAAGATGTCATTTTTGCTCTTCACTTGGATTATGGGAGCTGTCTCTAGGTCTTTGTTAGGGTCCAATCCTGGCCCATCTTGAATCGCAACTCATGTCTGAAATCTGATTTTTCCAATTCCTAATAATGAACACTAACATAGACCTAGAAGAAGATTGACCAAAAGATGTCATTTTTGCTCTGCACTTAGATTATGGGAGCAGTCTCTAGGTCTTTGTTAGGGCCCCATCCTGGCCCAATTTGAATCGCAACTCATATCTGAAATCTTATTTTTCTCTTTCATGATATTGAAAACTAACATAGACCTAGAAGAAGATTGATGAAATATTACATTATTGCTCTTCACTTGGATTGTGGGGGATGGCTCTAGGTCTTTGTTAGGGTTCAATCCTGGCCCACCATGAATTGCAACTCTTTCTATGTTAATCATGTTAGCTTTCTTTAGCAGGTCTATGTTAGTGGAAAACAGCTGTTTTTTAGTTTTTGGCTAGCTAACATGTCATGTCAAACCCTTGTCCAGGGTCTATGTTAGCATCGCCCGAAACGCTATCACCACATCTTCGTTTGTTTAGAAGAGTGTACATCAAAACCTTAAGTGCTAATCAAACGAATGAAATTATCGTCAGGGATGCACATAATAAACAACCCCCAACCAATCAATTTTTAGTATTAAGATGAACCCCTCTTAAATGGGATCTTGCTTCTTAAACTTGTTTTCTAAAGGCGGTCAATTAAAGATCAAACTGACCAACCTGAAATTTCCCGAAAATGACTGACAACCTGGAATAATTATGAAAAAATATCATTAATTGGGGGGTTAGAAATAGGAAGAGGGGATGAGCATGGGAGCAAAGCAGGCGGATAATTGAGCGTGTGAGATTGTGGGTTTTGCTCGGATGCAATTTTTGATCCCTTTTTTTGACAACAGAAAGGCTCCAAAATGAAGGGGTTCTAAGATCATAAGCTTGATTTCCGAAGATTTAATTCCAGAACCCTCCCAAAACAAGCTGCCAAAGGTCTAAAAACAATTCGTTGATCCCCAGGGCCCCCACTTGGGAAAATAATTTCAGACACCTTTTTGGGGGTCTAAAATCTTCCTTAAGGGTCCCTGCTCGTACTTGAGGGTATATAAATCCATCATCTTCCCATAACTTGTTCTGTTTCAGAGGCTTTGTTTGCCTCCCAGGCGGACGACGATGAGGACGCAGAAGGCCGGCGGAATCAGCCGTTGAGGAAGTCCGAAAGGACCTTAGGTAAATGATAGTCAGAAGAGGGTAAAACTTGTAGTTTTACCTGTTTATCTGCCTGTTCCCCCTCCCCTTGTGTGATGTTGTGCTCCCAACCTGGGGTCAGGGGCCTCCCATCGCGTGGCCATCGTCCGGGGGCAGCACGCCAGCCGCTCCAAACGGGCCATCAACGCCCGCAACGCTTGGAAGAGATGTGCCACCTTAGTCAGTGCCCCAGAGTTGCTAACCAGATTCAACGGGCTTTTGAAATCCCCATGGTGCTATGAATATCGACTTAATCATCTTCGATTTGAAGACATCTGCGATAGTTGTGAGTCACAAGACTCATTGTACTGGGTGTTTGGAATTGTTTGTACCTGATTTGAAACCCAGATGTTCAGCAGCCAAACCAAGCGAGACTTGGAGTCTTTGAGAGTCTCGCCAAGGACAGTCCCATTGTGACACAGTATGCTGTTTAACAGGCCATTCAAAATCCCTGAAATCATCAACTTTTTATTTTTGCCGTAAGAAGTTCGAGACACACCCGCATTGGGGTACCTGATGCCAGGTCCAAACTCCTAAAATAATCGCAGAGGGTCTGTTTGAAAAGGGGACACCCCCGACTGTGGCGCACTAAAACCGCATTATCCCCCTTTCTTGATGGCCATATGATGTTTCTCTGTTCTTATTTTTCTATGTGTGTTTTCACCAATTTAATTTTCAGAAGAAACGTTTTAATCAACATGGAACAAATCTGAAGAAATCATCAAACATGACACACATCAACCGCTTCAAAAAGACAATTCAAGACCATAACTGGTGGGTGGTTCAAACATTTTTTATTTTCCATTTCATACATGGGATGTCATCCTTGCCATTGACTTTCCTATTTTTCAAGATGGTTAAAACCACCACCAACCAGATATGACTCCCTGTTTTAACCCTTGTTCCATATCACTTCCCTCCCGCTAAGGTCATGACCCCTGCGTTGCTGGTGGACTCTTTGGTCGTGGAACCTGGGAAACTCCTGGGGTTTCCCCTGGGGAAAGCTATGGCGTTTTCTTTTTGGCCCAGCAAAAGTAGGGATGTTTCGGAATTGAACATCTTGAAACCATGAGAGGTGTTTGCTATTTTTTGGTTGTTTGATGATTTTATGGCACAAAAACCCATTTTCGGGGACATGGCCCTACTCAAATTGCACCAATCCTGACGTCCAAGGTTGGGCGCCCTCTTTCCCAACCAAAATTCATTGGTGGCAATAAACCTGGGCATCCATTCGTTTTTTTGATCATTCTGGATGTTTTCATGAAAAACCTTGGCAATTTCAGAATTGCCACCGAAATTGCCAGAGGGTTCACCATTTTTTCTTGGTGAAATCCCTATGAATCACCATCAAATCCCATGAATTCACGTAAATCCCAAGATTTTTGTTGGTAAAAAAATGGTAAATCCCTGTGGCAACACGAATACCTCACTTTGCACACCGGAAAATATGCCCGGCATGTCCGAGATTCACGCGCGAGTGGTGATCACTGACATTGTCCTTCTGGTTCTGGACGAGGCATCACAGGGTAGTCGAAGGTGGGACTGGGTGAACATTGTGAATGAAACCCAGCAAGGAAAACAGACTCAAATATGAACCAGCTAGTACACCCATGCAACTTTGGGACTGTCAACTTCAGCTGGGAAAATATCACTGACAATTGGCAAATATCACTGAACATTGTTATATAAGTTGGGAAAATATCACTGACAACTGGTTAAAAAACACCAGTAAAGACAACGATAGAAAACAGTACGTTTTGACAGTTGACACCCGGAAAGTTGGATGAAAGCCCTTTGACTTTCATGACTTTCATTGGAGCCAGAAGCCTTGATGTGCCTTGACTGCAGCCCTTTTCTGGGTGTGTCATGAACATCAGAAATACCATCTATTCTTCATCTTCCGATTGAGCAGTCTTCAAAACCCCTGCTGGTTGATGCTTGGTTCGGAGGTTAGTTATACTATTCTTCATCTATATATTTGGGTAGAAAACAAAATAGCGACCTCACGTCGCGACCGAACCCTTGAATCATCGTTCGCAAGGGGTAGCTATCCCATAATAGATCCTGTACAACAGGGGTAGTGACTATCTTAAGAGGATATCCCTACCCTCTATTAAACTAACATAACTACAGAAAATCAGCATTTTCAATGCGTAAATCAACTATAAATGGCCATTTTCAATAGCTATGTTAAATTACCACAGGGTATATCAACGATGCTTCATATATCTGGGTACAACTATCCCTTTCAGGTCAGTGAATCAGATCGGAATCCTGCCAAGCGACAGGCGCATCAGTTGAAAGGAACTTCGGTCAGAAGCTCAGTGCCATCGCACTGGTTGGCCTGAAGTACAAGCTCAAGTTTTTTTTAATGGTGTTTATGTACATATATACAGTACATACATATATATATAGCATACCTGGCCACTGTTGGTTGGCTACTCGTACAAAGTACATCATGACTTTCATATACTTTCATAATCACTAAGACTTGCAACTGTAGTTGGCATTCTGCAATAATTTGGCCATACTTCTGTACCATGCTGCAAAGCGGGTGGTACGCTGATACTTGTGGCACCTACCCTCCAGTAAACATACAAAAAGATGTGGAAAACCCACCAGAAATGTCGATCATTTTCCGGAAAACCATAGGGTTTTCCACATCTTTTTGTAGTAAAAACCAGGTTTTCCACATCTTTTTGTATGTAAACACCCTAGGGTAGATTTCTGACTCCAGGAAGTTCCCCTCGCCTGAGGAGTATGCCATCTTGATGAAGCGCTTCTATAGCGGGGCTACTCAGGCGACTGCGAAAAGCCCAATGGCTTTCGTGGTTTCATTGACATCAAAACACAAAGTTGGTTGAACTTCATTAACTATTGTAGTTTTGTCAAATAACATTGTTTCGAAAGTTGACCATGAATTCCATAGATTGTTTAACAACTATGGTCTATGATACTTCTAACTATAGTATTCATGGGATGTATAGCCCAACAAGCATAACTGGGGGGACCGAAAAAAAACACCAGTCGCCCTTCTGACATGACCTGTTTACAAATGATGCCAGCTCCATAGCTTCACCCAAGGTGGTGCTCCGGCAGCGTCGCGTCCACGTGCACCTTGGCGGTGTGAACTAACCCACTTGAACTCGTACTTCACCCGCAAGTACCGGTGTGCTTTAAGCCATGAAGACTGGAGGTTTCCAGTTTGTCTGTGTTTATTCAAGTACGGTATCGCAATTATACGATGATATTTTCCCAAGTGAAATGGCAACATTGGGGTATCCATCATTGCTGGAGACACAATGAAACACTGTGACAACATGTCCTGGTTATTCGCGTACTTTTCGCTGTCCCTCAGGACAGCTTTCGGGTTGCTACAATATGGTATTGGCCAAGATTCTCAACATTTCTCACCCCTCATAGTGGATAGTTTGATACAAAAAGCGCCAAGAGTTATTACACATATGGCCTTACCATGACGATTTTCGAGTTTCCCTACGTGCATTTGCGGGACCTGTGATCCATGGGTACCAAATGAAATAGATGGATATAGCCCAGTATCAAAACCATTGACGATGCCCGGAGGAAATCCATATCATAGTGTTCGATATATATATATACACACATATATATAAATACATATGTTAATATATATATATATATATAAATTTATTAAAAGATATAAATTAATATATATATATATAATAATATATAATAGTATATAATAATATATTATAATATATTATTAATACATATATATATGGATGATAATATATATTGATATATATATATATGACAATATATAATAATATGTTTATATATATATATGATAATATACAATAATATATATATTAATATATATAGTAATATATAATAATTTATAATAGATAAAAATATATAGTAATATATAATAATATATAATAATATATGACAATATACAATAATATGCAATAATATGTAATAATATATAATAATATATAATAGTATGTAATAATATATATAATAATATAAAGTATATACTAATATATAATAATATTCAATATATACTAATATATAATAAATAATTATACATATATATATATAATAATACATAATAAAATATAATAATATATAATAATATATATATATAAATATAAATATATCATATATCATATATCATATATAATATATTATATATAATATTTAATATATAATATTTAATATTTAATATATAATATATAATAAATAGTATATAATATATAATATAAAATATATAGCAATTTATAATTTATAATAATTTATCATAATATTATATATTATAATATAAAATCATATATCAAATAATATATAATAATATATATATATAATAATATAACAATATATATGGCAGTCGATCTAAAGGTCCTTCTAAGAAGTTTTAATTGCGAAAGCCGTGCGTGTTATGTTGGAAACCCTCGCTAAAGTTTTTTTTTTTCCGAGTTCGCGAGCGAAATTTGGATATTGGGAATCATTATCATTGCATGTTTACAGCCTGTTAAGGGCTACCACCTCCTGCCGCCCGGGGTCCGGCAGGAGAATGGTATCGCACCATAGGTAGCAGCCAAGCTTCCGAAGGTGAGCCAAATACCATGGTCTTGAAGCACATCCTTGCTCCTGCCGCGGGTACTGCCTAACGTTGCTTTGTGAAGTCTCAAGAAACAAGCTCCAAATGCAGCAGCCAAGCTTCCAAAAGTGAGGCTTTGCGAGAGCCAAACGCCAAGGCCCCTGGTGCTTGCTTTTCCTCTGGTGTGCCCCCTGCTGATGGCTGGGGTCTGCGGATAGGGGTATTTTCGCGAAAGTTCTGCGAAAGAGCGAGCGAAAGTCAAAATGCAAGAAGGGGATTCCGTGATGCTAGCAGCATGTTTACAAGGCTATGAAGAAGTTATCGGTGATAATCTTGTGCGATTTGGCAGGTGATGAACGAACCTTCACAAGAGGAGTCGTTGCTCAATATGGGTTCCGCGAAAGATGAATAACACGGAGTTCGCGAAAGATTCGCGAAATATTTTTTTCGCGAAGAATGGCCGTTCCCGGACGAAGGAATTTGATCAACCATCAAATATATAATCATAAACATATATATATACACATTTAGTAATATATATATATATGTATATAAACATCTAAATAGTGGTGTATTAAATGAATAAATATAAATATATATAATATATATACATAATAGGAACCGTAATAAAAGATATAATAATAAAATGATATATATATATGGAAAACTAATATTAGTGATATCAAATCAATACTACATATAATGATATCTATAAAAATATTTAACAATTTTTGAATATATATATATATATAAATCACAATATCTTTAATATTATATGTAATAATATTTGAAATACATGTAATAATAAAGATATATTTATTATACATAATGATATTTGTAATTGACTTTTCAAAATACATGTAATAATATTAATATTCATAATATATATATATATATGCACTCTACTATTAAATACATTATATATATATGTATAGTAACAAATATAATGATACATTTAATAATATATAAAATCTACATTTTCATTAAAGTATACAGTTATAGATTTTAAAATTTAATATTTTAAATATACATGTATTATAATATACATATTGTAAATAGTTTTACATTTTATTTTAATATATATAGTAATATATTTACATATATTAACCTATTATTGTTTATATATGTATATATATATATACACATATTTGATACCTACTATTGATTCCCATTGCCCGCTGCATGGTCTTCCCATGACTTCTGCTGTTTTGTTCAAACGTCCAGGTCCTGGCCTTGACAGCTTCCCCTCTGAGTGGTCGGGCGCCTGGCAAATCCTGGCAGCCGGCCAGCGAAGAGGACCCGAAACGGCACAAGTTGAATGGTATTTCCATGGGAAAATGAAAAATCCATGGGAAAATCCATGGGAATCCATGGGAAAATGATAAGCTAACCATGAAAGATCAGGTGAAAAATGAATGAAAATGCTGGGTTCAGCAAACATTGGGAATTTCCGGGATTTTGAACATGCTGATTTTATGGTCATTTGTTGCACTTTGCGGTGGAATATCAACATTTTTGTGAACGGCAAAAAATCATCTATAACTCAATGGGCCATGGTTTTCATAGCAAACTGTTAAATTACCTCCACAGGGTTCGATCAGAATTGAGTATACCCCAAAATCGCAATTGTAAAGAGACTAATCTGACCAATCAAATGATAATCGAATGAATTACGGGGGAATTACCATATTTTCAGATATAGAAATGAGCAGTGACTTTTTGAATCCTTGATGAGTTAGTGGTGACCTTCAGCCGCGCAAACAATGGGGGTAAACTGAGAAACGATCGAATTATGCTAGACATCGGTTTATGCGGAAACAAACACATTTTTAATGATTTTTAACAAGGACATTGTCTCACTAATATAACCACACGAATGGGATGAGGGCACGATGACAATATCATGGGAAATCATGGATGGGTATGGGTGAAGATAGGTGATTCTAAAATATAGACCAATGTTTTTGAGTTCGAGAGTCCCCTAGGACTTAAATTCAAAGAACCATATTCAAGATGTTGTGCAAATGATATGGGCAGCAAATGCTCTGAACCCACGGAAGAAGTTGGAGTGATCTATGTACGATTTGTCAATTTTTTTTGGGATCACCTGAAGCTTCAGATAGCCAGATCCGTTACTGTTCATTGCACACACATGCTGCGCATATACAGTTTTTAAGGTGGGGTTTGTCCGCCTTCCGCTCCAAGTTTTCAACACGATTTAGCTACACATAGGTTTGTCTGAGGATTGGGTACCCCAGTTCATCCCAGAATTTCTTCTCAGCCATTTGGGGGTACAATCCCATCCCCCTGATATGAAATACCCCTTTTCTATGGTCCCAAACAGGTGCATCCATCATGTTTTTTGGGGGCTGTTAGATGGGTGGTTTTTTGGAGGTTTTACCTCATTTTCAGACACATCCAAATGGAGGATTTTTAAATGGGGGATCCTGTCATCGGTTTCAATGCTAAGTCATGGTCATCCATGTTTTGGATGATTTGGGGGTACCCCCATGTCAGAAACATCCAGGAATTAGTCTAGGGATAATGGATATGAATCTCCAACAACTATAGATGATTTTCCCATGACTTAGGAAAGCTCCAAATAGAGACATGGACAACTTGCAGCGTGACAAAAACCAGGACATGAAACGGGAGCTGGAAGAACTGGAAGAGAAGGTGGTTTGCAGATCTTCGGCACAAATTCGAGCCAAAGGGTTGCAAGAGTTCCTGTAAACCAATGCTGATACAAAAGGATATAGGAACTGTACATTTTGAAACCAATGGTAACAAAACTTCCATCATGTCTGTTTTCCCCTTTCTATTGCGACGTGCTTTCATAGATAAAATTATAGAAGTATACAACATTCGAGCACATCCCTCCATGAAATTCTAGTGTAGAAACTTCGACCACATGCCTCTAGCAAAATCCCATATATTCTATAGATTTCTATAGAGCTTATAGCCTTTTTCCAGGGCTTTGGGCAGGTGGATTGCCGTACATGGACAGAACTGGGGCTGGTGGAAGCGGAGGTCCTGAAGACCACAGTGGAAGAGAGGAGAGGCCGTGGCCGGGGCTCGCGCTGCCATGGATGCTGGTGGGGGGGTACCAGTTTACGAAATTCCGAAAACCCAGGATTGAAGGGACAAAACAGGGGCTTAACATATGTTATGTATGATATGATAGGCAACTTGGTTTCAATTTATAAAGTGTTTCAATGAACTATAACTAGCTGGACTGAGGTTTCTGACATATGGATATTTTCATGATCTACAGTTGGACGCGTTTTTTGAATCCACCGTAACTCGGGCGCACCTTCCTGTGCCTCCTGTGCCAGGTGCCTGGTCCTGTGCCAGGTGCCTGGCTAAAGCAGTAGGTATACCAAGGTTTGCTGGATTCCAACATCTAGCGCTGTCCTGAGAGGGTCAGAGATCCAGGGGGAGTACACTGCCACCCTGAAAATGGCGGCATCCAGGGCTCAGAGGCCCAGAGATTCCGATTTTTTCCCCCGACTTCTCAGCTGGTAGCTTCACCATCGCCCAGGAGCTTTGAGATGGCGAACTCAACGGATCGTCACAAGGAACTTCTTGCGATGATTAGGCAGCGGTTCTGAACGATCTGCCAGATGGGGAAGAGCCCGAAACCGAAAAAACTTGGCCCAAATGAGGGGTGTTCCCCAGACTTTTGCCGCTTGATTCTGGGGAACATTCTACTAAAACAATGCCATGTTTACCATCCCCCAGTCATCACCATTTCTATAGGTGGTGTGTATATATATATAACCATTCCCAGTCATGGGTGGTGTACGACATTGTTTTACCACATTGTTCAATATTAGTGATAATTATTAGTGGTTTTTGATGATTCTAGAATGGTGGTTAATAATGATTAAATGGTGATTAATGGTGATTGATGATTAAAATATCGCCATATCAGTATAATCCCCAACCAATTGCCGTGTTGACGACTGGGAATTTCCTCACGCACCGGGTAGGTCGGCGAAGCTGGAAGTGTCTGGGAACAACAGGCTATGTGAAGGGCGGGCCAGACCGCGAGGCCGAGTTCGTATATTGATATAAATATAGTTACCGTAGATCATGGATGATAATGGTCCATTTTGTTTGATGATGTTCCATAATTGAAACATTCGTGATGCTCCAGTTCGCAATGTGTAAGCAATTACCGTTTGGAGGTTCCGTTAGGACTTGGAAAGAAGGGCTGAAGCCACCGGGGATGAATCAGGGAGACTTCTGCTACAGTTGGGAAGATTGTTAAGAACTCAGTTAGAACCTCAACATTGAAAACCCGAGTGGCAAAGAGGCCCTTCAAGTTGCTGAGATTCTGAGATTCTGAGATTGGTTTCCCATTCAAATGGACACATAAAGCTGATAAATGTTGCCAAAGCCATGATTTGGTACTGGTAATTTGTCCAGATCCTCTGCGTTTGCGACGATTTTTTTTTCCCATTTCTAATTAGAGCAAGGTAAAACCAGGTCATCTATATACTCCCAATGACTTGATCGATCTTTTTTTGTTGGGAAAAACTCCGAAGTTGATGGAGGTTTTAATGAGAACATCATACATAAATGATGGATATGTTCACCATTTGGATGATTTTTGATGAAATCGGGATTCTTTGCCAGTTGACATCATCTTCGTTTTGTCTTCACCATTCTATAACTTTTTGGCCACGTTCTAGGCCCAAATAGAGTAATAGAGCCCCAGATCTGGAAACTGTTCCACGACTCTGGCACGCAAATTTTCCGACATCTTCCCAGATTTTTCCAGCTTTTCCATAATTTTCCACTTCTCGCAGGATTTTCGCCGAGTTTCCCACAATTTTCCCAGATTTGGACACGGTTCTTGGGCGTTCAGGCAACGTGACCAGATCTTGCGCTGGAATCGAACCTTGGAACGTTTTGAGGCGGGGCGGGGCCGGATTCGGCCGGAAAAATGGGGAGATGTTGGCAACATGTAGTGGTTAATGATGGTGAAGAATAGTAGCAATATGTAGCAATACAGTGGTATGAAGAAGGGGAAACATGTGATTTTAAGAAAGACACCTGGGTTGTAAGCATCACTTAATAGGTTCCCAGCAACAAAAGTTGGGATAGCAACAATAAAAGGGGACAAGCAGAACAACATTGTATCTTGTGAGCAGGAAACAATTGGGATGGACCGTGTGGTAGTCTAAAGTAGCTGATTTGGAAAAGGAACATAATCCACACAATGTCTAACTGAGGAAGGTTCTAGCAAACGTCGAGGTTTGTTTGCTTAAGGCTTAAGGGTAGCTCGTTTTATATATACGGTCAAAAAAGGAAAGAATAGAGACAACACCCAACCCTCATGAGCATATAGGCAGCAAACACTTGGATAGAACCCAAGTATGGTGGTACCTGGGAAAATATGGATCTCGGACAAATGTGAAGGCCGTTTCCCCTGTCACGGTGTGCTCCTGATGGTCCATGTGCCCAAACCTTCTCTGGAGATTTCCTGCATCGAGACAAAACCACTTCCCATGTTGGCCAGTATGGCTCCCATTCAAGCCCTCCCAAAAAGGATGGGACAATGGCAGTTCCCCATAGTTTTCCGACACATACCATGGTTTCCGACAGATAAAACCTCAAAACCTCATGGTTTCCTACTGCCACAACCCCCATGGGTGGACCATGGTGGACCTGTCAGGACGGAGAGCGCTGCAGCATTGCGCTGGAACTGGGCGAATGGGCCACGCTACGGGGGCTGCAGTTGCTGTGTCGAGGGCAGGCCGGTCATCCGATGGGCAGGCCGGAGTAGGTGGACGGCTTAGGAACTGGTATGTATAAATGGCAGTGTGTCAAAACCCTGGTACCTAATGAACATCAAAATAGCTGGTAAATGGATGTTCATTCCCCTAAAAATGGTATTAATAGGTATTGATCCATACCCATATATGAGGCTTAGTTTTCTAAATATGAGGTTTATACGAGGTTTTTATGATTATATCTGATAATACATGATTGGTGATATATGATCCCCTGAAAAAACGGGGCTTAGCTGCTCATAGTAGCTGGGGTGTATGCATTGTTTTTTATCTTATAACCTGTTATAAGTTGGTAAAAATAATGGTTTATAACCCACCAAAACAAAGCTCGAGTTCCAACTCTCTGGTTGAAGTCCAAAAAAGCCAGGCGCCGGCCGAGCTGGAAGAAGAGGTGGGGGAGGTGTTGCTGCAGCCTGAAATGGGGAGTTGATTCATAGAGATTGATATGATTTTTGATGCAATGGTTAGCAGTTGATATTCGATAGTTGATAGTCGATAGCTGATATTTGATAGTTGAAAGTTCATAGTTAGTAGTTCATGTAGTCAATTGTTCATGTATTTGTAAAAGAATGTAATGCAATGCAATGGAACGGAATGGAACGGAATGGAATGCGATGTACCATTTGGTTATTTAACAGTTCGCCATGGAAAGATCCACCCATTTTAAAGTTCGGTCGACCATCTATTTCGATTAGGGCCATCTATTTTCCATGGCGAACTGTTAGTCATAACCAGGTTGGGTATGTAACTTGAGGACCACCCATCTGGGCCATTGCCATGCTGCCGCTGCCTTTTCAGGACGCCAAAGATGAGGAAAAATCCAACGGTGAAGATGAGAAGGTTCGCGGCCACACCGTTGGCTTTTTCAAAATGCCATGCCCATAGGATCCATGTATGGTATATATATGCTAACATTGGGGATATATTGATGGTAAATGTTACCATATATAGCATACATGGATCCTATGGGATGGAATTTTCTTACTGGTGCGTTTTACGTAGGGAATTTTTCGGGAACGATCCACTGGCTAACTATCAATAATCATCCCAGCAACCCCCAGCAACCCATCCATTCCCTGCTAAGCACCAGTAAGTTTTCCAGTTCATGGCCAGGAGTCGGATGATTTAACAATTTAAAGACATGACATGTTGCACAGATTCTTTTCCATGTAAACCCAGGCGTTTCACCAACATCAAATGATCTATAGATCGTGTTTTCTATATCTATGTTGATACCTTCCAGTCCACTCATGAGCTGAACGGAACCGGAATTGGCAGGTGAAGAATGTGGAACCGGAGGACGGGAACGCAGATCAAATGCTCGGCGGGTTGAGTCCATTTCGGTCACGAAGTTTCCACTTGGGTCTTGGACCATTGATCACATTCCTGCTCTTTAGAAGAAGGTTAACTTTAAGTGACTAGTAAATTCGATCCACCACGCAGACCACGCAAAATGGCCCTCAGAATCATAAGGTTGATCTGCAAAGAGATCTAAAGTACATTGCTTGGTTCCTTGGTTCTGAAACAGCGGACGGGGAAAACTTTCGTCCTAGTGAAATACACACACACACATATATATATATATATATACGTATATATATATATATATATGGATTGAAACCAGACAACATTACCGAAAACCGGTCGGAACAGGTCCTGATTATTCGTAGCTCACAGCATCCCACAGGAATCTTGAGCCCGTCGGACCGGTTGCTCAAAAGCGGCCTTTAAGGTGCCCCAAAAAAAAGCAGTGGACATGGATTTTTTTTGGGTTTCTGGCAAGAGCTAATTACCCTCTGGTTATGTCAAAATAGCTATTGAAAATGGCCATTTATAGTGAGTTTTCCCATTAATAGCATCGTGATTTTCCATAGTTTTATGTAAACGTTTACCAGAGGGTAACAACTAACTCAAGTTAATGATGGTCAATGATGGTGACTAAGTCTGACTAAGTGTAATCCTCCATTCTGAATGTTGATCAAGACAAGGCCACTTCAATGGCCGCGCGAAAGTTGCTGTAGTCGCTTCCGAGCTTGGACCCATGTGGCTCTTTGCAAAGCGGGGCAGAGCTGGCTATGTTCATACATCGGATGCAACATCCATCCGCAGTGCGGTAAACCCGAAGAAGTGCCTCACGGTCAGGAACCATCAGGCCGAGAGGATTGCCACCCAGATCCGACTGCAACTGGGTCAAACTTTGCTGAGATTTTTGTGGTTTTCCGTTTCCTTCAAAACATGTAATGATCAGATATTTTATAAACTTTTCGCACATTCAAAAAAACGGGTTCCGTGCTAGGCAGGCTATCAACTTTGGTACTGGAACAAGACCTGGCTGGCGGACCTCTGACAACACTTGCGTGGTGTACAAGCACGGCCTGCCCTATGGCGTGCACGACAGTTGACGCTGGGAAACTGCGCGGGTCACTGGCCCCACATGGAATGGTGCTGTTGACGCTACTGGGTCCCGGCCAGATTTCCCCCTTCCTGAGGATTCTCTTTGGAAGGACTCGGCATTTTTCGACCAATTTGGGGATGTTAGGCAAGTAACTTAGTAGGCACCTCCAGAAGAAGCCTGTAGGAGCCCACAAGTGGGTGTTCTACCCCAGTGGAGTCCCCAGCAAAGTCAGAGTTGCCAGAGAAGGCGCTGGCTGAGTCGCAGCCCAGGGCCAGCCAGAGTGAGCTGCCGGAATACGAGGTGGAAGCATTTTCCTCTGATGTGACCATCTCTTTCTGATCTCAAAATGTGATGAGAAGCCCATGGAAAACTTGGACATGTCGCCCAGAGGTGTCGCTGAAAAGTGTGCGTGGCCTAGACGGTCAGCGCCAAGCTCTACACCGAAAATGGGTTCATCATATTTTCCACAGATTTTCCAGATATGTTTCCATGTATCCATATTTTCCATATATTCTCGATATATTTTCCATATTTCCATAGCTTTTACATGAATATTTTGCATATGACGGGCAATTGATATTCTTTGGCTACCCCCCCGTTTCGCCCAACAGTGGTTGGCGGCGATGGTGTCAGCCAGGGTCAACAACCATCAATGTGTGAACAGCCAATGAGCATCGTTTCCCCATAGCAGTTCAGTCATCTCGAGTCGTGAGTCATGCGAAATCTACGTCAAATGTCACGAAAGTATATACCCATAGGATCCATGTATGCTATATATGGTAACATTTACCATCAATATACCCCCAATGTTAGCATATATACCATACATGGATCCTATGGGAAATAGGGGAAAATAGCCCATATATGGACCCAATCCCTGACACATCCAACCACGTCCAGACGTCAGGAGCTCATTTGCCAAGCCCGCGAGCGGCTGCAGGGGAAGTTGACGTGGCTCAGCGCGAGTTGCTTTGAAGTTACCAGGGATCCACGATGATCAACTCCTGAGGATGTCAGACTTTACAGGATCGGATTATTGATCTTGAAAGTTACCCTCTGGTTATGACTAACAGTTCGCCATGGAAAATAGATGGCCCTAATCGAAATAGATGGTTGACCGAACTAAAAAATTGTGATTTTCCATGATTTGGCTATGTTAAATAACCAGATGGTACTGTAATTTGATTGTAATTTGTAGGATTCAGATGCTGATTATGGCGATGGCGTTGCTTCTTGATCCCGGGATACACCGAATCGACCGGGTGGTCCGGATCGGCGGGTGGAAGCCTTCGTGGCTTTCACCCCAAGTGGAGGATCAGCCTCCCCCCACTCCTGCGATCACCATATCATGCCATGTCCCAACATTTTGAGGCAATGGCAAGAGAAGCAGACTGAGAAGCTCCATTCCTCCAAAGCCTTGGCCTGCATCCAGAAGCTTCGGGAACGCTTCCAGGCAGATGGCGACATGAAATGCATCGTCTTCACCAGGAGATTTTGAGGGCCGAAGAAGCGACCCTGGAGGGCCATAGGGAAGGGACAGCGCTTAAAACGACCCAACAAATCCACCATGGTGGAACAGGAAACAAAATAGGGTTGTTGAATCTTGTTGAGGTTTAGATTTTCAAGTGATAGATGCTGTGATATACTGGATGCCATTTGCCCTTACATTCTTTTTCTTGCAGCATGGTCAGAATCAATCATACAAACGTGGATGTGCTGGATGCTCATTTTGACTGGTGCGGGATTTTGTGAACCTCCGCCAAAATTGAAGCAGACTGCACGTGCAACCCCAGCTTCTTGTTGCACAAGTTTCTGTTTTGTGCACAACAATTGGGGAACCTCAGCCCCGGATAAAACCCCCGGGGTATGTGGCTGGGATCTGACAAAACTAGCTTCCCTCATCCGCAGATACATTTCTGATTCAAGGTGAATAAACCCCCAAAGTTGAGTATCCCATTCATTTAGCCAGACATTGTGCAAATTGGTTGCCAACCTCACTCCGATCTTCCAAGTGGTGGGCAAAGCTGCAGGACTCGCGCACTTTGTCATTTGCTGGCCATGGTTTTGGAGTCTGAGGAAGAGCTGCCCGGGGTGACCTATGTGGTAGGTGGCAACGACTGCCGAGTCAGTGCCTGGGTGCGATGGTCCTGTGGCACAAACGCGAAAAAACTGATTGAGCATTTATGGGAAAATGTCACCAGCAAACATTGGAATCTATACGATTTTATGGGATTTTAACCAACTAAATGGCAATTTGTGGGGATTCAACCAACAAACACATGGGTTTCACATGGTTTAACTCATGAGAATTGGGATTTGAACAATGAGAGTTGGGTTGATATGACTTTCCCCCTGATCATATTCAATCTTCCCCAAACAAACCACTGCTTTAGTATTGGACCTATTGATCTTGGAGGGACAGTCCTGGAGGATCTCCGTGCCATTTGAGGATGGTCCCAGCAGACCACTGCCACTTCTAAGGCAGCTGGAAGATTCGTCAGACTGCCACTTCGCAGAAGCAAGCCCTGGCGAAGTTTGCTCTCCCGCACAACGAGGACGGGAGAAATCAGGCTTCGAAATTTCGTGCATGGATTTTGTTTGTCCCAGATCACGGTGATTCCAGTGTCCCTAGGCAACACAGCAACGGGAAACCACCTGGCACAGGGTGCGGCATGGCGCCAGGAGGGAGCGGTGTCCATCGTTGTGGCCACCTCTGTGTTGGCCGAAGGGATTGATATTCCCAGCTGCGGGCTGGTTCTTTGCTGCCTGGCGATTGGGGAAATCATATCATGAGATGGTAACATATTTCTGGGAGAAATGGATAACAATGGGGTTGTCTGAAGATGGGTCGTACTCCAAACATGGCCTTTTTTCTTCGGGAACGTGAGCTCTCTAAGCCACTGCAGCCATGGTGGGATTTTCTGGGTCCCCAAAAGCAGCAGGCTCAGCATCCGCTCAGCATCGTGGAAAGGCTCCCTGCTGTCCTCTGAACATCTCAAAACCACAAATTCTTCCACTGGATTTTCTGTGTGGGATTCATGTGGTGATGTGTGGCCCTAATCGAAATAGATGGTTGACCGAACTTAAAAATGGGTGGATCTTTCCATGGCAAACTGTTAGTCATAACCAGATGGTAACTATTTTCTACCTTCGTGCAGAGCAACAAATCCGCATGACTTAGTTCAATGGACTGGTTTAATGGGAAAACCTTGCAGGAAACCCTTGTTTCTTGCCTCCAAATCTAGTGATTTCAACTCCAAATTTTCCTTCAATCCCATTGAACATCCTATATTTCTTGCTACATCCCAATATTTTGATCCTTCAATCCCATTTGTTTATCTTCAATTTTTGCAGTGTTGATGCTTAACTCATCTTAACTCAGCATATCTTTGATGGTCAAATTGGCAGTTTCATCCCGCACCGCTGGGTCCCAGGTTTCGACTCGGCGGTGTCGCCTCTGCAACACGTGCAGCTGAGAGGTCGAGCACGGCGTGCAGGGAGCGAGTTCACAGTGCTGGTGCCCAAGGGAGCCAAGGCGTTTGGAGCGCTGGCTGCAGGACTCAGAGGGCGCTCAGTTCAATATCTGGTGATGACCAGTTTTTGGTGATTTTTGGGGGATTTCACCATGATTGATGGGGGTTTCATAGGGTTTCACACCAACATATGGGTATTTAGATGGATTTAGTTGATAAATGGGGATTTTACATGATTTTATCATTTATAACCATGGTTTAATCAACAATATGGGGATGTAACCGGGATGTAATTGGTGAATGATGCTTGGTTGATGATTCTTTTTTGGGGCTACACCACCCTTTATACAGTATATTGGGCACTATCATGATCATGTTTGGTCGAACATAAAACAGTTTTAAAGAACTCTGTTGATTGGTTGCCTTCGTGAGGATACAGGCACATATTTTGCCTTATATTATAGGCGCTTGTTTTAGGGCTGCACAATAAAGCGGTATCAGCAAAAAACGATGGTTGAAGACAGTTGAAAGATGTTTTTTTTTGGTTGCTAGTAACCTACCCGTTGATCATCCTTGATATTTTGGGGACCGTGATCTCACAGGACCATCCCTGCAGCAGTTGAAGGACTACGAGGTGTGCGCTTCGGACTTTCCAGAACAATGGCTGGGTGGTGATGGCTTTGGCAAATGTTCATGTTGAATCATACTTGGTGATCTTGAGTTGAACTTGGTTCAATCAACTGTTGGGTGATAACTGGGTGGTGGTTGAACCAAGTTATTGGTTGGTGATTGGCTTTACATGGCTTTACCACATTACTTGCGATCATGTCACATGTCATTCGCGTTGTCCAAATGTTCCCAGATCTGCCCCCCAGTTCCACAGGGACACCGTTGCAACGTCTTTTGTGGCAGTCATAGCTATGGACATCTCGTATTCGCGGCGTCTCTCTCTTTCTCTCTCAACAATACTAGTGATAATAAGTAATGATATATATAATATAATATAATATAATATAATATGATATGATATAATATAATATAATATATTGTAATGTAATATAATATGATATAATATAGTATAATATAATATAATATAATGCAATATAATATAGTATAATATTATATACTAATATATATATATATATATCTAAGACATATATATATATATCTATTGCGACATATGCCGTATGCCATTTCAGGAACTCATTGATTGGAGTTACCTACCTGCCATATCTGTGGTCCATTGCTTAGATTGCCAGGTGCGCGTACTGAATGTCCTGAGACTTGGCGGTTGATGACTTTTCGGGCGGGTAGCCGTTCCCCGATGAAGTATTCAGGTTGATTAATATAGATTTAGTATAGTTTATTAGTGAGTGACTATATTCATCTAGTTTATAATTTGTTTATTAGTGTTTAGCGACTATTGACGTTAATGATTAGCCACATATTACTAGTGGAATTAGTGACTATCAATGTAGTTCATAATGTATTCAGATCTGCGTTCGTGACTGAGAATCCAAAATTTACAGACCCCAGACAGCGGTGAGCATCAGGTGGTCACTCTGGACATTGTAACACATGATCCAGGTCATACACAACATATATAGTATATAAAGTATATAAAGTTGATGTTCCAATATCAAACATATCAAAGTATACAAAACATACTGATGGATGTTCCAATTTGATATTTCAAGTTGATCCAGGATCAGTGAACCATAACAAAAGCCGGGGTGGTTCAATTGGTAGGATTTTGATGGCAATTTTGATGGCACTTTTCTGAGGACCTGATAGTTTTCGATCGGCCCGGGGTTGACATGAAATCACCAGGATCATTGCAAGATTTCAGATGTGACAACGAACCGGACGCATTCGTTTCTCTGTGGTTGCATAGCGGATGCTAACAGCTGCTAGCATGTATGTGTAAATCATAGATAACACGTAAGGCAGGTTGGAAAACAGATCATGAGCAGCTATTATCATATATACGTATACATACATACATATATATATATAACTGTCATCATATATAACTGATATATATATATATATACACATACAAATAACCGTCATCTAGAAATACCATTCCTGAACCAGTTTATTACAGATGACAGGCGATCATCAATGAGACCTTCCACATCTGTAGTTGCAAAAGCTGGCCATGCTCCTTGGGGGTTTGCATCATTGGTTCCACAATTCCGAAGGCACATAGTTCCCAGTATCGGTTTAACGTATTCGGCGAGTCATGGGCAAAAACGCCAGCCCTTGGATTGGGCACTCCCCATATCTTGCGGTTTCGGAGTTGATTTGGACTGAAATCACACCAATCAAACCACAAACTAAGTCACTAAGTCGCTAAGTCGCTAAGTCGCTAAGTCGCTAAGTCACAAATTTGGCCATTCTTCTTGTAGCCACTAAGTCACTGCCCCAAGTTTTCCATCCTGCCATGGGTTTTTCCAAGGATTTTCCCGTTGAATCCCTGGCGAGCTACCGCCATAGTCCACGGGTGCACCGTTTCTTTTTCCCCAACAAGATGTACCTCTATTATGACATAGGATATATGTATATCGTATGTTTATTATATATGATTTAATATATACTGCATGATATATATATATACATATGTTTGATTCTGTTTAATATATTCTTTATACATACTGTATCTACCGTTATGCCTTGATATCTCCACTATATTCCCACCATTGGGCCCTGTTGGGGTATAATTTTGCCAAAATAATGTGGGTTTTCTACATTTCACGACTAGTGATAGATGGTTGGTTAGTTATATGTATATGTATGTATACATACACGCTATCCCATCATACATATCCCACTTTCTCCCTATTATATTCCAACCATTCTTACCCTCTGGTAATTTGTTACATAACTATGGGATCTCACCATGAAAGTAACAGGCAAATCGTCTATCAACTGGCCATCTTCCATAGCAATCTGTTAAGTTATCGGAGGTTGGATGTTTGGTAATATATATATATAGATACGCACTATATACACCATTATACACATATGTGTCTATATATATATACACATATGCCGCTATTATATATATATATATATGTATATATATATATCCCATTGTTTCCCAATCATATCACCCAATAAACTTGCCAAAATCCCCAGGAAAGCCTGGAGCCTCCGCCCTCCGTGTCCCCGGCAACTGGGCCCTTTGGTCAGCGAGGAGGAGGAGGTTTTGGAGATCAGCTCCAGCGGTGCCAGGTGGGTCCCCCCCAAAAAAGCGGCTTGCTGTGGATTTCTGCCTGCACCACCTTGGATGGTTGAAAGGGCTATAAATAATGGGAAACACCTAGCAGTCAACTGGTGCGGGTTTTCTTCTGTCCACAGTATGTCTCCTTTAGCAGTAGCTTATAACTACATGGTTACTGACCACTAACTGGGATGAAACGGCTTAATAGCCGGAGTTAAAAACCAGTGATATATGGGATACTGTAAGCTGACAGAATGACTTACTAGGCCCAAGTTGCCACTTGCAACTTGCCGTGGGATTATCCTTTCAGCGGCAAGAACATGCGTTTTTTTTTTCAATTTCAGTTGTGATGCAAGCACGAAAAGAATGTATTTGCACCCTACCAATCTAAAATGGCTGGATGGAAACGTCCGTCGTATCATATCATATCCAGGAACAGATGACCAGCAATGTGGATTTCAAGATCTGCGGGGATATTAGGGAACAAATACCCTCTGGTAAACTAACATAGCTATTGAACATGGCCATTTATAGTGAGTTTTCCCATTAAAAATGGTGATTTTCCATACTCCTGTTAGTTTACCAGGGGATATGGGAATCGAACTTCTTCTTGTTCAGGCTTCCTTTGGAAAAGGCCAAGAACTACTTGCACGTCCAAGTGTATGGATATCTGATCCCCTCTGAGAAAAGCAACGAGCGCGAAATTCTGGACTGACTCTGGGAAGGGTTCTGACGGAAATTCTGGACTGTTTGAAAAAAAATGATGCCGCGTGATGATGGTTTCCTCGACGTTATAATGAACATTCAGCAGTGAACATAGCGGAATCTAACTCTGAGGAACTCTGAGCAGGTTAATTTATGGTTAATCTATGGTTTATCTATGGTTAATCAGTTACAAGTGACAAGTGAGATCAAGTGAGATCAAGTGACCAAATGTGACCATTCTCCTGGATTTGCTGTTCAATTTTCCCGGGAAATCGCTTGGGGAATCTCTAGGGAAACCAGCAACTCTGGGTGGGCAACTTCGTGCCAGAAAATCGGGCTTGGAAGATCTTCATAAGCTAGCTATGAGCTATGAGCTATAATCAGGTTATAACCATCTAGGAAACCAGAAGTGGGGCCAATTTGCATTTTCGTAGGGTGTCAATTTTGGCGATGCTGGATGCCTTGGGTGCCTTGGATGCCTTCCCGTGCCTGGGAGGACTTCTGCAAACCTGGTTTCAGGGACAATGAGAAGAAATATGACTACAGCATGTTTCAGGCCGGCTTGAAAAAGACACAGGTCACTGGAAGGGACCAGAAATTCTGGGAGTATGGGTGAAAAAAGTCATGAAGCTTCGCTCTTTGTTGGATCCCCCAAAAAGGTCGTCGGGCGTAGATCAAATTGCTATCCACGTATCATCACATATCCCATACCAATTCATACCTATTCATACCTATTCATATCCTAATAATCATAGGATCAACATGCTATTAATGAATGTTGATCATATATCCATATATATATCCCATCTATCATATCCTAATCCTAATAATCAACCAAGAAACTGATCTGTTGGATGTCCAACGCCACGGCCACGGAACAGGTGAAATCCAGTGAGCAGGGCTGGTACTCCGAGTTGGAGCTTCCACCTGTTGGCTGCTGCAGCCTGTCGCTGGAGGAACAGACGACCGCCGCGGCAGCCCGTGACCATAGCTGGTGGAGGAAGAAGGAGAAGCCGCTGTGCCAGGAGAGATTCGGGGCTGGGAGCTATGGAGGGTGAAACTTCCCCCGATTTTCGGAAGCGATCCAAATTTTGGGGATGTTGGAAGACCCAGACTGTTGTTCTTTTTCTGATTGTCCTGGAGACGCAGCCAGTTGCCATGTTTGCAGGCTTTCCTACCCAGATTTCCCCAGGAGCACTTGGGGATGGTGGTGGGACCAGTGGTCGCGCAGAAGGAGACGGGCGAAGGGGAATGGTGCCATGAGACCAGCTGTTTAGCTCAGGTTTTCTTTGAGACCTATGACTTATTAACTTCCGGCGTAAGCCATGTTAACCAATGAATTCGGATGCCGGCTCTAAACATCTTTCCTTCGTCAGCCAGTTTTGGTTGGACCATCTGTCAAGTCAACCAAATTTTCAAAGTCCCCCCCTTGACAGTGGAGTCATAAAGGAGTACAGTAAACAATATTTGGCACAGGGCTCCGTGCCAATGGTACTTCGGTCGTTTCGTCAATGGATTGCCGAGATACAATTCTACAAGGATTCGCTTCATGAAATCGTGGATAGTGGTGCGTATCGTGGTTCATGATATCCATTACTATGTATACTATCACTGTTTCTTTTTTTGCATTTCTATTGTATTGATTAAACCATCATTTTGTCTAAATTAGAACCAAAGTTGGAGCTTCTCAGCTTGGCTCAGGGTCAGGCAAAAGACGCAGCAGCACTTCGTGCCTGCGGGGGACCTCAGGTGCACATCACGAGGATTCCTGCTGTTAATTGATATTTTACTATATTGATATTTTACTATATAATATAATTTCTATAGGAATGTTGTGAGTGTGATGATGATGATGATGATGATGATGATGATGATGATGATGATGATGATGATGATGATGGATTGCTGCTGTTACTGTTGCTGCCCCTTTTGCTGTTGCTGCTGCTGCTGTTGTTGTTGTTGTGGTTGTTGTTGTGGTTGATGTTGTGGTTGTGGTTATGGTTGTGGTTGTGGTTGTGGGTTGGGGTTGTGGTTGTGGTTGTGGTTGTTGTTGTTGTTGTTGTTGTTGTTGTTGTCGTTGTCGTTGTCGTTGTTATTGTGGTTGCAAATCACCAACATTACTGCATAGTCAATCAATCAGATTGCGAACACATCCCAGTGGAGTTGAGGTACCAAATAACGCTATTTAAGCCATAATTCCCCAAAAAGAACAAGCACAGAATCTTACGCCTGGCACACCCCTAGCGAGGTCGAATTCTGCACCAGATGGGCATTCTTGATGATCATTTGAAGGCAGGGCCACACCAACTGGTTTTGTTTGGAGGAGTGCTATTGTTGAATTGGCTGAAGGGAACCTCTCCATGAACCCCTCAATATTTAGATTCTTTCAGGCTTTTTTTAAAGCCCATGGTTTCCGGTGAAGATGGTGAAGGTTTGCTCCTTTTTTTGATCCATTGAGGCCATCTTCTCCGAATCACGTCCGACAGGTGAAGGGCCGTGAAAAGTTTCAACATCTCATCAAGCAGGCAACAGCTTCAGGCGGAATCTGCGGATGGGATCGACGCCAACCATGACAGGTGTGAACAAATAGACTGAAAAGACTTAGATAACTCAGATAACTTATAACATCGTCTAAGTGTAGTTTGGTCTGGGATTGAAAAGTACTGGAGTTACACCGCATCGAAATCCCAGTGATATCACTGGTTTTTGCGGCGGATCGCCTCCGCAGGAAAGGCTTCGGGCAAGCGACGTTCAGATGACGCCATTGCGCTCGCGAGCATTGAAACTCTGGAGAGGCAGAATGGCACGAATGGCGGACTTGGGTATTTGAAAACACGCACCAGGAATATTTTGGCAGAATGACTTGGGTATTTTAATGACTTGGGTATTCCATTCTGCCAATAATCATGTTTCTTATTGGCTTTACACCATCAAATGAAGCGCATTTTCACACATGATGCGTCGTCCAACCAGGGGGATGAGATTGGCCAAGGTTGTGTCGTCAATTGACGATGGTTCCTTGGAACCATCGTTTTCAGTAAATTGTCATTCAGATCAATCCATTGACCAACCAAATATTCCCATGTTTGACAGCTCAACCATCAATTTTTGACGATTCAACCATATATTTTTGGTTGCCTTAAACCAAATTTCTTGTGTAACATGCCCATTTTTTCATGGGTCCAACCGGGTAAAGCCAGCATTTTTGGATGGGCCCCGGCCGCTTCTTACCTGGCAGCCAGGAAACTGCCCCGGTGCTTCATGGCTCCCGAGAATCCGGATGTCATGTGCTTCCAGTTACACCGCTTGGTGCTGGGTGAACATCCAGGTGGGTTTCTACAGCGACCAGTCGCGACTGGGCCCCTTGGGGTGGGTCAATGTCAATCACCAAAAAAGGATAGAATTGGATTCATGACGATTTGATTTGATGAATGATTCATTATTTGGGAGATGATGCATATTCCAATACTGATGAATAATGATGAATAATGACCATCAACAATAGTGACATTGAGATGTGCACTATTCATCATTATTTATCAATATTTATCACTATTCATCATGATTCATCATGATTCATCTTTGGATTAATATACCCTGAAGCCTACACAGCCAGAAGGAAAGAATTGTTTCATTATGGTAGTGAAGATTTGGGGGTACGGCCTATGATGTGAGTGCCAAAATCGGATTGTAATTCACATCTCAAGCTGGTGACTAGTCTGTCATTGTATTGGTGTTTTGGGGGAATTTAACAGGAAACCCTTCTATGTGATTGAAAAAAAACATTATCCCTATTTTTATGGACATGTTATTCCCACCAAGAGATCATGGAAAAAATCATTCTGATTGGCCCATTTGGTGCTGAATTTTGATGAGCATCCCATGCACTTGGGGAAGAACAAACATGGATTATATCATATTATAATTATTCTACAACATTCTGGATTCAGTCAGATACCCTCACCATAATGTGGTGGATCAAAACCTATTATTATCAATTCTAGTGGATTAACATCCATAAATCCCCGCTATGACTTGGGGTTCACTAGGTGCCAGGGTTTTGACTTTTGACCCATGGCCATAATCAAGCAGCAAGTCTTCCGTGGGAGGGAAGCATGGACTTGCTCTACTCCTCCCAGAGCAGGTGCTGGACGCTAGTAGTCTCCACAGTGGAACTTCGTCATAGCCATAGCAGTTACTCAAAACGCCTGTTTTTGGTAGGTCATTCTATATATTATATTGTGTTTACTATATTGTGTTTCATCCCATTCATTTATCTTAATATGTTTTTACTCATATCTGTATATGAGTGGGTGATTTTTTCCATTGATTTTGATGGGACAGAAGAAGATCATATGACATCGCCAGCTAGCAAAACTGCAGAGTAATTCGCCATGACATCTTCGCACTAACGTGGTAAACCCAATGATAAACTATCCCCAATATTACCATAGATGGGTGGTAATTCAAATCATCCCCAAATAGTACGTAGGTTTATTCTTGGGTTTATCACATCATCAATAGCCATTTCAGACACCAAAATTGGAGGTACCTACCAGATATAAGACCTATGGTAAGGGCTACGTAAGCAGATTTGCCCCCAAATGTGGCTTGAATTCTATTCTTCTATGCTACAATAGCTCCAAGTTAGGGTCCCTAAATTCCCATTGACATTGTTCCATGGTTCCATGAGCTCATGCTGGAGGTTCCATCGGGCTCCTCCACATTTCTGCTTTTACCACCAGGACTTCCCAGGGCAACGCAGAACCCTTTGCGTCAGAGCTATGTTGAGACAGTGACATGTTTGATTTTACATGATATATGTATATACACTCTAATAGCTATTGAAAGTGGCCCATCTAATGATTTAGTTCATGATTTCACTAAAATGAGGATTTTCCATAGCAAACCTTTATAGTTTACCAGGTTTATTCTCATGGTCCTATCTTGAAAATGGACTTTGGTTCCCCATGATATCCAGTACGATCGTCCCAAGAGGAACCCACAGAACGATAGCAATGGATCCCACAGGACTAGAAGAGCCCTTGCAGGTGGAGGTCTGCCGGGGCGGAGAACCGTTCTGTAAATCTCCAGATGTTTCGATGTTGTTTTTTTACGCTGGAGAAATTCTTGTGAATTTTGCATTCTGACATTATCTGATAAATCATCCTACATGAATTTCCGACACCTTTTCAGATCCATGAAATGTCTCAATACGTTCATCCAAGTTCATCCATGTTTCAAGGCTTTTCAAAGGGGGATTCAGCCAAGCCGTACAGCTTCGTGGTCACCTTTGTGGGTGCGAAATCCTGCACCAGGCAGGGTAACTATTGGGAACTATGAAACATGGCAAATAATGGGATTGCAATGGGATAAACCATCTATGAACTGGTGCAGGATTTCCGAAAAATCCACAGTAGGTGGTAAACATCCCATGAGAAAATAGGCTTTCCACCATCCTTTTGGTGGTTGATAGGATGTCGCAAGCTTCCAGAGTGTTACTTAGTTCCAACCCCCAACTTTGCCATCGTTTGGCAGTTTGGGTGGTCTTACCTTTCACAGACCTAGACGCGCGGTAGGTCCAGTGGCTGGCTGAAGTGGAGTTCTCCCAGCAGCAGCTGGACAACCTGAAGGCGCACACCTTGGACGTAGAGGGAGTTTCTGAAGTCATGGAGGATCCCCAGTCGTCACCGTGGGTTTCAATACTATCTAGAAGATCACATCCCAAGATTTTCCAGGTCTAGCAGGGCCAGGCGTTTTTTTTAGTTTTGTGGTCATCTTGGACGGAGGACATTTTCCCGTTGAAGCCAGGTGTGGACTCAGCTGTCATTGGAGCTATCCTGTCGAAGGAGAGAAATGACAATCCAGCGGGATAGGATGGGACCAGTGGAAGGCTCCGTAGCTTGCGCCAGGACGTGTCCATTGCACCAAGCCTTTGGACAAGTTCCACTGACGCACTTCAAGGATGCGACTGTGCCACGAACAAATTGGCTTGGGTATAGCCTGTATAGCTCCTGGTGGACGGACAGTGCGATGGTCAAACACCTCATGTGCCAATATGTTCCGCTCATTTTGACACATCCCATTGAACTCCATGGTTTTTGCGTGTGAGGATCGATCTGGCAAGTGGGTTCCGGTCACGAATGCTCTGGTCAGTGAAGACGAGGTTCGTTGCTGGGGCATTTTGTGGAGGGTTGCGAGAGCTTGGTTGGGGGAGCCAGCTGAATTCCAACAACGTCACCGCCATGTCACCATAGTGATTTTTTGTTCGGAGTGGTGGAATCATGCCCAAATCAGCATATTTCAGGTTGGTAAATTAATTCAATTCGGCCAGATTTTTTCAACTTCAAGAAGTTGTCGGCTTCTGTGGCGCCGTGACTTCAGAAATATCGGACATGTTATCACTCTCACTGATCTGACTGTTGCGACAGTTCCTATTGGTTCCAGTATGTTCCAGTGTACCAACAACCATCAACTAGTATCAACGACCTCAAGGATCAAGGAAGTGGACCAAAATCACTTGGGAGTGCAGATGAGGTTATCAATGGGTAGTAAGTAATAACCATACCCCAGTTATATATATATATAGATAATATAGTTTTTATAATCATCCTGTATTTTTTGACAATTCCATATTCTATCTACTCCAGGATGACTGCAATATATATATATATATATTATACACGATATATATATATATATGGAATTTCCCCAGTGTTTCTGGATGATCACCCACGGATCCTATTTTTTCCTCATCCAAAGCAGCCCTCGATCGGAGCCGGGAGGATCTGCCAGATCGCTCGTATTGGCTGCTTGCACCAGTAGCACCAGGAAGTCAGGCTGGTGCCATCTGGTGAATCTGGTGCCTGGACGTGTTGCTTTTGAGGAGCGGACAATGGGACAAAAAGGTTAGAACTCATGACTTTTTGAGTCATGGAACTGGGAACATCTGAGATTTTTAGGGAAGATACTTAACATGAATACACACTCAAGGTTTAAACCGGAGGTTTAGGGTTGAACATGGACTCAGATTTGGGTCTTATGCTGGCACTTTTCGGTCTTTTTTGTGGACAACTATCGATGGAAAGAGGTGCACGCGGCTAAATTGTTATTTCATCTTATCTTCTTTCCAAAATTTCACGCATGTCTGATACATTTGCCATTTGGCAATCAAACATGGCAATTGAACAAATTCATAGCCGTGTCTATAGCATGGGGTACGTCCATAGCCATGGATTACCAGAGGGTGTTTGGGAACCTCATGGGACTCTAGAAACTGACGGAACTACTCCCATCAAGGAGCCCCAATGCATGAACAGATCCCATGCCATACCAGGGTTGTGTTTGGATACTGAAAATGATCGGGGACAATTTCCGAGATATTTGATATGGGTTAAGTCTTCAGCCACTATATCTATATAGTTGAAACATTGAATGATAATTAAGATAAGACTATGGGTCAAAGCCCTGGCACCGTTGTGTTCACAGCAAGATAGTTGGTCCTGTAAATGATTTTCGTAGGTTCAGTATGGTTAAGTCACCATTTTTCATGGCCATTTTGCCATCCAAAAAGTCGTGCAGGCCATTCATTGGGACTTCGTTGACTGGGGCTTGACTTCGTTGAACCATCTATTACAGCCGGACGCCTATAAGACATGCTGGAATGGCTGGCTGGAATGACGGTGATTTTTCATGAGCTTTTAGTGGTGATTTCATGGGATTCGATTGGGATATTTGATGGATTACCATCTGATTTGTTCCGTAGGTATGGACAATCACCATTTTTAAGAGGTAAATCATCATCAATAATCTATAAAATGGACATAAATGGGCGATTTCCCATATGTTCAATGACCAAAGGCTAGTAAGGATAGTAAGGGAGAACATCCCCAGCCAAAAAAAACGACGCGTCCTTGGATCCCCAGATGGTAGATGGTAAACATCCCAGTTACCAAGTTATGCAGGATTTCGCAGCCATCCACATGTTGGAAGTTCAATGATATCATATCCCATTATATCATCCATATTTTTTAAATGATCATTTGATATCATGTTCCCATTATTTTTCATGATATGTTGGATAGATTTCAATAGATTTCAATAGATTTCAATAGAAATTCAATAGAAATTCAATAGATTTCAATAGATTTCAATAGATTTCAATAGTTCAATGATATCCAATGATATCTTCAATGATGATTTTTGGGATTCCATCCACAGAATTCAGCTGGGAATCTCGCCGAGGTGTGAATCTTGGCAGCCGCTCGGGTTCTTCGATGGATGGCGAAAAGCCTTCGTGGCGGGATTTTTTGAGGTGAAGCACTAAAAATGGGGAGATGACCCCATTTATATGGTGGTTTTATGGGATTTTACGGTGATTTTATGGTGTTTGATGATATGGTGGAAAAAAAAACGGGGGAAATTTCATCACGACCGAAGCCCTGGAAATCATGGTTGATTTTAGGGAAATCATGGTCCATGTGAGGCCCAACAATTCTGGTGAACGTGAAATATTGTAATTTACCCAGATAGCCTCTGGTTATGACTAACATAGTCATGGAAGCCATGGCCCATTTATAGATGATTTTCCCAGCTATAAACCTCCATTTATGAGGGATTTTCCATGGCTATGTTAGTCATAACCAGATGGTAATATATGTGGATATGATATAATTGATCAATGAAGGTGATGAAAGTGCGTGATACCAGATGGTTTGATAGGGATGTGTTTTTTCCATGGCTCATGGCTGATGGTCTGTGTCAGTGCAGCCCGCAGGTCGCTTTGGGGGATTGAACCACAATAAACTTGCCATTTGGAGATGATTTGAATACCACCCATTTATGGTAGTATGCGGGATGGTTCATTTTTTTGGGTTTCCCGCATGAAAAACGAGCCATGCTCCTGTCTTGATGTTCCTGAAGTTTGGCCCCCAGAACTGAGTGGGCATCCCGGTGCGAAATGCAGATCCCAAGGCAGATGTCATCTTGCTTTGTCGGCGAAACAAAGACTCTTCACCTAGACATGGTCCTGAGCTGAGATCAGAATGGCTGTGCCAAAATTGAAGACCTGGCAACCTCAAGTTACCCTCTGGTAAACTAACATAGCTATTGAAAATTGCCATTTATAGTGGATTTACCCATTAAAAGTGGTGATTTTCCATAGCTACGTTAAATTACCAGAGGGTATGGTTGGGTTGACGTTGGTCGAATCACTATTAGAAAATCCACCCATGGTTGAACCACCATCACAGCATTTTCCTGAGTCCCTCAGCGATGCCGTGGTGCTGGGACTCATGCCCCGAACTTCCAGAGGATCTGATGTGCGCTGCCCGCTCCTCAGGTTTTTTTCGGGGTAAACATCAATGAACACTGGGAGAACTGCCCATGAAACATGGTGCTTTGGCCATCATGGAGATACCTAGACCCTCCGTTGCTACCCATAATTTTTGTGATGGTTTTACCGTAATACCCCATTGTTTTAGTAGCTTTACCAGTTTTTGGGGTATTTGAAGGGTCTGGGTATACATGGATTGATTTCAGGGAAACACAAACAGGAAACTATGAAAGTCAGTGGCGGGTGGCCAGTCTCACCTTAGACTTGAGACTCCTGTGATGGGGGGAAGAAGCCAGGGGCCTTAAGGTATACTAAACGTGAATAGAGACTAAAGACTTAAATCCAGTCGCTTTTGTGGTAGTTCAAGTGGATCCATTGAAGTTGTGAAAGGTGCGCCTCCTCTTCTGCTTGAAAGTTGGGGTTATTCGAATTATTCGATTATATTCCGTGATATCCCCACTTTACCCCAGTATATCCTCACTTTTTGAGTTCGAAGAAAGGTGTGAATCTTTCCCTCCTTGGCCCTCAAAGCCGTCGCCGTGGCTTTAGGTCTATGTGTGGATCTGGAAGTGCAGGTGGGGGATCGACCTATGAATGATGTGGTTAGTAGATGTTAGTACAGGACATCATTCCGCCAAGGCGGCATTTTCTTTGAGCTTTTGGGACAACTGGTTGTCCGGAAACCATGGCTGTTGTGGTTTCTGCAAATCTTGGTGCAATTTGGGTGCCAACTTGGCAGGTCTGGGGGGGGGGAACCGGGGAACCGCGACAGCCAGGATGAAGCTGGGCTGATGAAAGGCTACAAGTTCAGTAGGGCCTGGTGCTTGGTAGAAATCGGTGCAAGCGGTGACACAACTCAGGGCTGGATTGCGTATGGTGACGGTCGGGAGTCATAGGCCATGAAATGTCATAAGTCACAAACATATACAAAAATCAGATTGACATAGATTGACATAATTTATTCAACTCAATATATTGAACTCCGTACTGTACCCGTCGGTACCCCGAGTTCGGTAGGATGCTTCCACTAGCTCAGCTTCTCACCAGATCATGATCCTTTAAGGCCTCCGTCAACGCGGGAGTTGCGGGGCACTCAGCTGTGATTGGTTTGCAATGCACAGGAAGAGAGTTACGGCTCCACCGTCACGATGGCAAACTGAGGCGCCAGACTTCGTCCAAGCGGATCGAAATCTGCACCAAGAGCGGCTGGAGATTGAGTTCAAGGTCCCGGCTGCTGGGATGCTGGGATTGCCTGGAACAAAACAGTTGACCAGAGGACAGCCGGAGATGGAGAGCAATTAGGAATTACATTTGTCGAATTGCCCAGGGGTATGACGCAAAATTATTGAGAATTGGGTGATTTTGGATCCAAGTACCTCCTCAGGAAGTAATTGGGCTTCGATTTCAGGGATTTTCAGATGAGTTCAGTACCTTCTTCGGAAGTATTTGGATCCATGATGATCCATGTACCCTCTGGTTATTTAACATAGCCATGGAAAATGGCCCATTTATAGATGATTTTCCCATTAAAACCTCCATTTATGAGGGATTTTCCATGGCTATGTTAAATAACCAGATGGTATATAGGGACTATGATAACCCGAAAAATCGGGATCTGAAAAAAAACCCTCCATGCCACCAGGCGGATGAGTGCGAACTCATCCCCCTAACCCTGGGTCAACTGCAAGTCCTTCGCTCCTTACCTTCGTTGCCCGGGGCTCTGGGACCTCGAACGAGACTTCGGAGACCAACAGGGCGACCTGTTGGGGCCAACTGGTAGCACCCGTGACATCCACGATTTGAAGTCGATGATTGACATGTTTGCATTGTGATTTGCGTGAAATCACAAAAAATGAACGCTTTCAAGCAATCTGAAGCTGAAAGGGAAGACTCAAACAACTAAAACCTGTGAGTTCTGTCTCAATCTCTCACCTCATAACAACTGAGTACAGCCTTACACCATGCCTCCTACGACTTGTCTTATTAAGCATATGTGCCATGGGCAAATCATATGTGTGTTTTCCCATGAACGGGACTGGTCATCAATCCATCAATGGGATTTATAATGATATATAATGATATTGATATATATATATATATATATTATATATATACAGTATATATATATATATATGTATATTTATATGATATACACCATGTTTTGACCATGGCGCATATGTGTGTTTCTATCGCTTCTCCCAGGCTGTGGCGTTTGGAGTTTGTTGCCCTCATCCAGGCAGGATGAATTTCTCCACCGTGATGAATTCACTCCCCCAAAGATGTCCCAAGAAAAGACATGAAAAACATAAAAAGCCATTAGACTGCAGCCTGGTTGGAGGTTTGTTTCCATTACCACCAGTTTTCCATTTTTTCAAAAAAAAACAGATCTATATTTCTCACTTTCTCAGTCAGTTGATTCCCATGCATCATTGATTGTTGATGACCAGCGGAATTGACGAAAACTTGCCTGGTCACGGGGCCCCGTGATCCTTGGCGATGACTGAAGAGTTTTCGGTCAACCCAGCACGGGTTTGACGCAGCCGTCACCATGGGTTTACTAAGTCATTGGTCATCCATGACGACTGGATGATGACTGGGGGTATGCCCATGCCCCATGACTTAGGAAACCAGCAGTTCTTCAGGAATCTTAAGTGAAAGACCACGTCCATTCAGTGTGGATAGTGTAGATAAGTCACGAAAAAGTGCGTATGATTGGCTGACATGACATTTTCCCGGAATGGGGGACCGAAACATCTCTCAGGATCAGCTTTTCTATGGGCGGGATATCACCCCGGTTTTCATCCGTCCCCAAAGCTGGGGCCTTCATCCCTCTTTGACCACCGAGCACAACGTCACCACCATTTAAACTGAGGTTGAACCTCCCCAATGACGGAAATCTCAAGGTAGCTCTCCCCGTATGGCAATCTTGATTGTTGATGATAGATTCATCTTAAACTCACAATCATTCACAGCTTGTACAATTCATCTGAAGTCCCAATCTTTGAATATGAAATTCACATCTTCGAAGCACCAGCTGAAGTCCCAATCTTTGATGCTTAAATCCTCGTTTTTTCATCATACCATCCCCCATTTTCACCGCAGCTTCGCTGCAGGAGCTGCCGCAAGATGGACTGCTGCAGCGGACCTCGTTGAACGTCTTGGGGGAAGCGCTGACGCATTCGCAGGCGCTGGGATCACCTGGGATCGCTGGGATCCATGATTTCGCTGGGTATTTCACAGCTTTGCGAACTGGAAAAGAATTGATGATCATCACCTGGACAGGTGGCTATGGTTATGGTGAATGGGATGCTTTTACACAGGAACATACGTTTGAAGCCATTGTATGATGGAAGATATGGAAGCCGTGGCCCATTTTGGTTTGATGATTTTTGATGAGTTACCCATTAAAAGCATTTAAAAGCGATGATTTTCCACAGCTATGGCTATAATAAATAATTTAAATGATCATACCTATTGAAAATTGGGTTATGACTGTTATACCTCTGGTTATACCAACAAGTTTCAGAATGGGATGATTCTCCAAGTAGATATTGGGCTATGTCTCAAAAGTTGCTTTCCCTCGGGCGTAAGGGTCCAGGCATTCCAGCATTATGAGACACATGAATGATAAATATATTCTGAATTTATGAAGATGAATCATCATTACCTGTTGTTATACGCATAATTCCATTACTATTATCATTGTTACAATGTTCCTTAAATCATCACTCTTGATATTTCTACGCACTCTTCTTCTTCTTCTTGTTCTTGTTGTTGTTGTTGTTGATGTTGATGTCGTTGATGCTGTTGTTACGCCACTATCCCTGCGATTCGAAAACACATCGGAAACACGTCGCCAGGTGCGTTCCCTACCATTTGAGCTGCCCAACTACCGCTTCTGCTTGGAACGCTTGGAGCTCTTAGGTGATGCTGTTTGGGGCCCCATCCGTCAATTTTTTGGCGTCTTTAGGAGGTAAATCATCATCACCAAAGGGTAAACCACACTATTTGATGTTTAAATCATCTGACATGTATCATAGCCCCCTTCTATGGTTGGTGAATGGGATGGTTTATGACGGGTTTATCACACCAGAACCCATTGTATAATATATGTCATCTATAGTTCTGTAGTCTTGTGGGTGATTGATGAAAAGAAAGGGTGCAAAACCAACAATGATGGGGGATGGGGATAGAATAGGATGTAACTCAAACTATGATGTGAGTGTGTCTGAATGATGGTGAATTTATCCCCAAGTCCACCAACTTAAAGCAGTTTCAATGGGGAAAATTAAGTTTTGCACCAGTGGATGAAATGGAGTATATATATAATATATATATATAATATGTATATATATATGTATATATACTATTTTCAGACAAACACACGTGCAAACCCATGTAAACTGAGTAAGCATCCAAGACAAAATAACACGTGTTGGTTTTGTGAAACTTAAAGACTTTGGAACTATTCTTCGGGCTTGCTACAGGGCCCCACACTTCATTGGCTTTGCCGGTTCACTGTTTCTAGGCTTCGGCCTAGTATTGGATTTGTTCGTTTTGGTGTCCCCTATGGGGGTCTATCATTCCAGCCGAAACATGTGGGGAACCACACTCAAGCACCAGAGTGCCTTGCGCCAGCAAAAAGTCAAGGCCTTAAAACTCATGGCTTCAATTCATTGCGGGAGTTGCTTGCCCACTGCCAAAGAGGTGCCAATTAGCCAAAGATGAGAGTCAATCTGGGATGATCTGGGATGTTTTTTTTTATACTTCTTTCGAATTGAAGACTTGAAGACACCCAATATCAGAGTGCACATAGCTACATAGATCATGCATGATAATTAGTATGTATATACATATATACAGAGGTGTGCAGACCGTGAAATTTCAGTGTCAACATGAACCAACCATTTCCTGGATTCCTTTCAGGAACTTGGGAGTTCCATTTTTGTAACTGGTTGTGTGTGTGTATATATATAGACATATGAAAACGGGGTTACAACCTAATTTATAACGGGGGGTTGTAAGCATTGAAAACTTCAGCCCCGAAGCTCCACTCGCACATTTTGCCAACTGCGACTGATGGCAGGACAGGACCCATATTGGGTGTTTGTGAAATAGACCCAGAAAACCGTGGCTATACAAAAATCCTTGGGTCCATATGTGATGGTCACATAGTAGTACATATAACTACGTATAGTGAACTAGACTATGTGACCATTGATAGTTCACTCTGTGACCGGGTTTTTGTTATACCGATAGTCCATAGCCAACTGCCACCCTCCAGATGACGGCGCCAGGGGGAGCTTTCGAAGGCTGCACAGGACTTTGAGACCAACAAGTGGCTGAGACATGTGACTTGACACCGAAAAAGGGGTGCTTTCTCCTCAAGGTGGAGCCCTCCAACCCGGGAGAAGAAACAAATCCTGGAACTGGACATCAAACGCAAAAAAGTACGAACATCGCAGCATAAAGAACCAGAAGTATGATGATTTCTGCAGATTTGGGAAAGTCATGGCAACTTGAACATATATTTGGGAAAGCATCTTGGGAAAGCGGCTTCGCATTCAGCGGCCAATTTTATCCCAGTTCAACGAGGAAAAATCTTTCGGTATGCCGGTTTTCATTTATTAAGTTAAACAATTACTGACGGGCTATACAAATGTTTTGTATTCTTTTGTGGTGTCAACATCCCGATTTTTGTTTGGTGGTATCATTCATTTCTTTAGATATATAATCATCCAGAAAAATGAGATGATGATACCCTGACATTTCATTCTTCTCCAAGGAGATGCCCAAACACACTTATCGTAGATCTCCCAACTGGGCTTGTCTGAAGATTTGGAAGCCCGCAATCCCATGCAATCCCCTGGTTTAGAAAAAGTTTCCCATGCTGGTTCACTTGCCTTAAATTTGGGCTAGATCCAGCAGTTTGACAATGTTTGACACAAGCCCACATCATATCGTTGCATATCCTAGAACATATCCTCATGATCTGGTGTAGCCTCCGGTAGTCCATGCTTGCTCCCACTAAAGCTTTTATTTTTTTGGGTGATTTTCCAGCTAGCCACGTTTGATTCCCGGAGGGCATAACCATGTTTTGATCCACGAATTTTACGGAATCCACCTGGACAAAGCAGGCGAGCAAAGCGAGCTGGGACTTGGCCCAGTACATTCTCTTGGAAGCCTTCAGGTGGGGCAGCTGATTTGGGTGTGACTGAAGATGGGTCCACCAAATGGCTGGTTTTAAGAGGGAAAATGAGATTCTAATCCAATTGGAATTGGGGATGCCAATATTTTCAGACACCAATTTGAAGATTCGAAGTTGCTGACTAGAACAGATTCTGGTAGATTCTGTTTGGAGTTGCATCCTAGTTGTGGACTGCTTTAGTACCTACTTATTTTGTCCTCATCTTGTTTTTACTTGTTCCACCCGCTTGAAGGCAACCTTGGACTTTTATTGACCCCTGAGCTGTGACAAATTGGAGGATAAGCATTTTAATAGCCATCAAGAGTTTTGAGTATGACTTTCTAAATGAATCAGCCAGGGTTCATCCATTGAAAATCCACCGATGGCCATGAATATCAGCAAAATTTACCACTGGATGAAGAGGGGTGCACTATTTTTTGGACCCATATCTGTGATATTCTGTGATTATCTCTCCAAAACACATACCATCTGGTTATTTAACATAGCCATGGTATAGATGGCCCATAGAAATAGATGGTTTACCGAACTTAAAAATGGTGGATCTTTCCATGGCAAACTGTTAGTCATAACCAGATGGTAAATTCTACTTGGGGATCTTCCATACGGAACTGGAGTAGCCTCTGGTAAACTAACATAACTATGGAAAATCACCTTTTTTCATGGGAAAATCCACTATTTCTATGGCCATTTTCAATAGCTATTTTGACATCACCAGAGGGTAGCCGGTTTGGAATTCGACTAATCGGATTCCCTGGACCCGGAAAAACCCCCCAGCGTCCTAGGCCCAAAGATCTACTGGCAGGACTGCGCAGGGGCACTGCCCCGCAAAAGGCCTGAGAAATGCACTGCCGATGGATCTGTTTTGAGGTTAGTTAGTTGGTTTTCCATTTCATCTCAAATGTGTTTTTTTTGGTGTATGTACATAATATATGAAAATATATCATAGCATACAATGTTCCCATCCATGTTCCCATCCATGTTCTCTTGTTCAATTCTTCTGGGATTATATAAGTAAGAATAATTAAGATATGGAAAACCCATCTTCTGTAATGTCAACCCTGGATTAATAAACCCCAAACGGCTGTTTACTTGGGAGGCTACCACAAAAAAGTATTAGATTATGACTATTGGAGGAGTACCCCCCAATAAACCATGGTTTAGTCTCATCCGGGGTTGACATTAGAGGGTTTTCCCATGGAAAATCCGCCATTTCCAGTTGGGATTTCCCAACTTGCCACGATTAGCCGCGGTGCTTCCTGGGAAGTCGGACCCAGCCGGGTTGCCATAGTTCCATAGTCATGGGGGTACCACAATAGCTCGATGATCTCATAGAAAATCCTATGAAAATCCGATGAAAATGGATGATTTGGGGTACATTCTAGGAAACCTCCATATGTTTAGTTTAGTGTGATACATAGAAGTATTTGCATATGAATTCAATTCGGAATCACACTGTACTCGTCGGAATCCTGGATGAATTTGATGTTGCGACCAAAAACATCGTGCGAAAAATATGCGTCGGAATGATGGGTGGCTGATTCAAATGATGGTTGAATTTTTCGAGGGGTTAAGGGGAATCATCCCCTTAACATCCCTTAACTGGCCAGCTAATGAACAGCTAATGAACAGCTGGGCCAGGTCGTCGCTGACGCCATGGAGGCGAGCAGCGGCTCGCAGTGAGCAGCGGCCGTGGGGCAGAAGGGAACCCGTTTGACCCCGAAGCGAAATCAGTTTCGATATTTAAGCACCACGGAAAAACATGAAAAACAACTGTTTTTCTAGAAAATCATCGATTCTTTGTTTGACTTCAATTTTTTGATTGTTTAACTGCATCTGGAAATCAGCGGAACAACAACATATTCATTCGGACTTCGGACGTCATCTGGGAAGATGTCTGATCAGACCTTGGATGATGGTTCGGCTCCAACAAGAGAAAAGGTCATGATGATTTACCCTCTGGTAATTTAACGTAGCTATGGAATATCACCATTTTCAATGGGAACATCCACTATAAATGGTGATTTTCAATAGCTATGTTAAATTACCAGAGGGTAAAGCTTATTTTCCCAATGGGAAAGCCACTACTTGGGAATCTTCTTTGGGAACATCTTGGATTTTGATCAACATTTTTTTGGGGTTTCTTGAGTACATCCGAGTCATGGAGCTCTCTGAGAGTGCCTTTTCAGTTTTTTGTTGATGGATGCTTAGAATCCATTGAGTCAATCTATTCTATCAGGACTTTTCGAACTACCCATCTTGGCAACATGCAGCTTCCAGCGTGCATGTCTTGGTGTTTTTTGATAGTCAGACATATTCACCATCCAATTTTTGGGGGCTAACTCACGCCCACAGAACGCACTTGGGATGGTTTATGTGTCATTGATCATCGGCGGGTCGTGCCAGAAGACCTCGAATTTGGGTAGATGAAAAGACACCAGGGGATGATCATCATGGTGGCAAACACACAGACTATATTAATATGAATATATATATGAATCTATATAAATGTATATGAATACATATATCTGAATATATATAATTATATTATATAATTATACACATATAATTATTCTGTACAACTATATGGTAGTTGTTTCGCATAGCACTTTATAATTCCGAATTTCACCAAATCCTCAGATGGTCGCAGGCCGTGCTGGGTGCCGTCTTTCGCTCGGCCGCGGCGTTTGGACCCCGGTGGCTGGGTTTGACAGAGCCCTGTTGGTTGATTTTTTTCGTTCCGGAGGTATGGCTAGCCATAAGGTTTCCACAAAACCATAGGTTTCAATACTTGACTAATGACTTGGATGATGATTTGGGGGTTATCCCTATTTCAAGAAACCTCCATATTAAACATTATTGAACATCAAATTGAACCATATTAAAACCTCCTTTTATCAATTGGGGGTTTTCTCATAATCCATGTGCCATTCCCGTTCGATGGTGGGATCCCCAGTCCCTTCGCAAAAAAGGTCAGCGTCGCTTGCGTCGCTTGGCAAGGGGATCACCGAGACCTGGAGGATCTTTGGAGTTTTGCTCCAGAAAAGTCCCACAGAAACTTGGTTGGAGTATGTTGGAGTCCTGGTGCAGCTGGATGTCCCAAATTCCCATAACGGTTGGTTGATGAAAAAAGAGGGGTTTCTTCAGAAAGGTGCAGCTGGATGTCCTTTTCCCATTGGTTGGTTGATGAATTTTTTTTGAGGGCTTTCTGAGAGACCCCCCTGAAAACCACAGGTTTCTATGATGATAGATGGGATTAATCACAACCCGGCCCCTCTATTTTTACCAAAAGGACATTATTGTCCTGGTGTGGTTGGAAAACACAAACTGTGGATTGTTGCGAAATCCACCAGTAACTCTGAGTAGATGGTTTATCCGATTCTAATCTCATGATTTACAGTGTTTTAGATAGATCCCAATAGCTATAGCAACTGGTGCAGGATTTCTTCCATCCACAGTATGAATCATTAAGATGTTTCGATCGATTTTGGAGACTCAGGAAGACTCCTAGGTTCAGTTTAGTCTTCGACCTCGATTGAAACGCCGGACGACTCCATGTGTCTGAGGGAGTCCTTAAGATCATGGCCTCAAACTTGCGAAAAAATGGGATCAAAGTTTAAGGAGTTGGAGATGGGTCAAAATCACATTGCGCAAAAATGGGATGGGATGGAACTTCGACCCTCAAAGTACCTATAAACATTTATGTCTTACCCCATACCTTTAGTGTTGTTATCACTTGTTTTGGGTATTTGGAGGGTCTAGGCACACTCACCCCAACACACATTGGAGAGGTGGTGATCCGACAACTTGCGTTTGCGCCACAAGATGTCAATGGCAATGACACCCAGCAAGCGTCTGAATTTCATCGATCCCCTTTACCATAGCCCCCACATATTGAATACCATTTCTCGGATCCCAAAGTCGTTTGAACAGTTGTTTTCAACTGTGCCCCTTTACCTTTAGTATTCGGGAATGGTGATTGTACCAGATACCTATAGATACCTAGCTGTTTAGACCGCAAAATCAGCAGGAGTCACATGACCTTGTCTCAAAATTATGTAAAAATATTGGTCAATCTGAGATAATTGCAAATAGTCTTAAACTTGGTGATATTAATAATATACCTCTAAATCAATTAAAATTGCCTGAGGAATCATGTGCATTAAATGATATATTAACTGAAAAATATATGAAGCAAATAAAGATAAATATAAAGATCCAGATAATGTAAAAAATACATGTGCATATTTTGTAGCAAAACAAATTGGTTATGAACCAAGAATAAAAGAATTTATTATTACAATCATTTGGAATGGATAAACAATTGGTTGTGCATTGGAATTTTCCTGGATATATATGATATATAACTATATATAAATGAAATTGAGGTTGAATGAAATGATGTACCTTTGTATGAAGCTATATTTTTGAATGGGTTTGTGTGACATTGGTATTGAATATAAAACCAATTATCGGATGAGGCACCCAAAGAATTAGATCCCCATAGTTCTGTAAGCATATATATTTATATTTTCTATTAAACTGGGAATAACTTGGGTTACTTTTTTTTCGGGACAAACCCAAATATCACAATTGTTGTCGGTTGACATTCCATTATATACATACATATATACATATATATATACACATACATATATATATACATACATACATACATACACCCATATATATAATATAATATTATATTATATTATATTATATTATATATTATATTATATATTATATTATATTATACATTGTATTATATTATATATTATATTATATATTGTATTATATTATATATATTATATATTGTATTATATTATATATATATTATATTATATATATTGTATATATTATATATTATATATATTATATATATTATATATTATATATTATATATTATATATTATATATTATATATTATATATGATATATTATATATTATATATGATATATTATGAATTATGTATTGTATTCTATATATTGTATTATATTATATTATATTGTATTGTATTGTATTGTATTATATTATATTATATTATATTATATATATTATATTATATATATATATATTTTAATATATATATATAATATAATAATATAATATAATATAATATAATATAATATAGTATAATAATATATATATATGTATATAATAATGCATATACATATATATATATATAGATATACCTGTAATATTCTTGGAAAAATAGTTGGTTGAACCGTTGCATCCCCACGGAACATGATTTGACCGTCTGGCCCGCTAGACCTAGGACCAGAGGAGCAAAATTCACCTGCAGGATGTGTCCCGGGACGGATCGGGCTGCAACTGACTGTAGCTATTGCGAGCTACCCATAGCATCCATTTTTTTCCAAGGTGTATATGGGTGTGTCTGAAAATAGTGTACCCCTAAACCCAATGGTTAATGATCATTATCCCTATTAAATGGCTATAATTGGGAATATACCCTATTTTCAGACAAACCCATATAGGTTTATGTCAGATGAATAAGAAGTATAATTTTAGACAACATAATTCCACTATTTTTTGTATGCAATTCCTTTATGGCGCATATTATAGATGATAATTATAATATATGAAAGAACATTCGATGCCATTGTTTGTTTGGTTGGTTAATAATTGTGCCAACTATGACCTGAGTTGTCCATTGGTGCACCGTGGTGCACCTCAACCTGTCATGGGGTATCTGTATCACATCAAATATCCACCACATCCCCAACATATCCCCATTAGAAGCCACTCAAGAATCACTTAAAACATGCACTCGAAGTGTTTCTGCTTATAGAGTTATTTGGAATCCGTTTTCTCCGCCGTACTCTGGTTGCGCTTTTCTCAAACAATGACACAACATCCGGATTTGGAATAACTAATTGTTGATGATTTTTCATGACACCCCAAATTTTGATGGCTATATACATGCAGTTTTTTCCTTGAACCACCGCTTTGGATAGAATATAACGACATATAACGACCTCACTTTGCGATGCCACTAGAAGTGGTTTTCTTCGTAGAGGGAATCATGTGCAGATGGCCCAACTTTTCAGATTGGCCAATCATTACCCAGATGCAATCAAAATATATCAAAATCACTTGATCAAAAATCCAACTCTGGAATCAGAATTTCAGGATGTTTATGGAATTTTTAATAAACACTATGGTCTTCACCATCGATGATCCATCCCAGCCACAGGAATCCTTCATCCCTGACTTCAAAAATGCGGCCCTGGCTGCCTTGTCCTCGCTACGACCAACGGTCACCCGGCGGAATGAATCGTGGTGGCGGATGGAGAAACCATGGAAGAACGGTTGGAAAAGATGCGGATTACCCTGTGGTTATGTCAAAATAGCTATTGAAAATTGCCATTTATAGTTGATTTGCCTATCAAAAATGCGGGATTTTCCGTAGCTACTTTGGTTTACCAGAGGGTATCAGGTTCATTTTGCCAAACGATGTTTAACAATTTTTCCAACACATGTTGGATAGAATGGCCTGTTGGGAAGGTTTAAAGGTGAAAAACACATGGTTTTAGCGTGCCTCCGAGTGCTTGTTCGCGTCAAATGGGTATGGTTCAACTGGATCCTTTCCTCCCCAATTTTGAGCCATTTGAGGTCTCCAAAGGCAGCCTATTCACGTGATGTTTCAATCCACCAAAACGATACACGTACTGCCCTCTTGTTTAAGCTGATCCATTGGTATTGACTATTCCCATGTCTATCCCTATTTTCCAGCAGACTTGATGGCGACGAAAACATACTTAGTGACTAATTGGTTGTGTGGTGCACACTTACACCCCAATGACCCCCAATGTTTAATTATTACCCTTTGGTAAACTAACATAGCTATTGAAAATGGCCATTTATAGTGGATTTACCCATTGAACATGGTGATATTCCATGGTTATGTTAGTTTACCAGAGGGTATAATGAACACTTTTTTTTGCTGGTGAAACATCCCCTTTAGGCGTCGCCTGACTTCGGCGATTCGGTCAAATCCCGCTGTTTGGTGTTTCCAGAAAAGCCACGGACTGGCCACGTTTGATTGATTCAATCCCCAGATTGGCACGGACTGGTTCCTCAAATCCACCATGGGTGCTGAAAAAATTGAGGATTTGAAGCTTAAATTGGCAGACTTCTTCTCAAATCCCATTCTGGGAGTTGAAAAAGAACGGGTCCGAAAGGAACTCCATATGCACAGCGCAGACTGTGCGCTGTGCGCCTAGCCATGAGCTTCTGTATCGAACTCCGGCTTTCAAGACCTTTACAAGATCCTAATGTGCATGTTTAATCATGTTTATTGTTCACAATGGAACTCCGGTTCCACAACTCATGTTTAGGCACACACACACGTGGAAAAAGCCATGGCATCTGGATGCAAACCCAATCAACAACGGGCTGAGTATAGGAGCGAACCCCTATAAAACACAAAGGATTTCAAAGGAAAAACCATGTAAACAGAACAAAACCACATCACAAAATAACATTCATGAAGCCCTTTCCTGTTTCCGGTTTCCAGGAAAACGTAGATACCTAAAACACAACAGATTTGGCAAACGTTACCAATGAGCAGCTAATAGCCATGAGGATATCTCGACTACTGATTCTTTCTAACGGAACTCCGGCTCGGCACCACCTTTTGTGAAATCGTCCACCTCATTTTCGTTTTTTTTCTGCAAATGGGTGTTTCCTTCTGGTCGGTGCCGACTTAGGCGTTGACGGCCGATGAGTTGCAAAGTGCAAAGGATGCAGTGCTTCAAGCCACAGGCGCCGTCATTTACCGAGAAGATGATCTAAAATGCCACGACACAGAGGAGGGTTAACCTTGGTTTGGCAATGTTGTGTGGTTTTATTTCATATAAAAGTGAAACTAAACTGACCAACCAGTTTATTTTTTCTATTGGTAGTCCAACCATGTCCAAGCTATGATTCTATGATCAATTCTGTTTGGTATTGCAACTCCGTATACAACTGGCTCGTTTTGAAAAAAAAGCGTGCAAACATTTGTCCAATTCAAAACCAGAGAAGTGACTGGCTATGTCGAATACCTGACCATTTTAAGCACCAACCAGTCGTTTCTGCGCACGCGCAAACTTCCACTTGGCAGGCTATGAGTTTCGACTCTTGATTGGATGTGGATGTGACTCAAATCATTGATTCCCAAAAATGGACCGTGAAATTCTGATGGAAAAGTGGGAAGGGGCGTTTTTTTCCTAGCCCAAAACGATGATCAGCAATGTGAGACCTGATTTTGTGGATGGGTTACTCCAAGACATGTTTGATCATCATTCGTACTAACATGACCATTTAATGCCATTTTTGGGGGTATACACTATTTTCAGACGCAGATTCCGATCGGCATATGAATCATCATTTTCCTCCATTTTTCACGACTTTCCCTGCAATCAAACATGCCTTGGGAAAAAATTCCTCCGTTGAGTTTGATCATCCCACTTGAAGCCCATTCATTTATATGGCTATGAATCAATACCTATTAATACCATTTTTAGAGGGATGAACATCCATAAATCCCAGCTATGAATTGATGTGAACAGAAGGGGTACTATTGGTTTTGACACACTGCCATATGCCATTGATGATTTTGACATTAAAATCTCCGTTTAGCGATTCCCCTTGCCAAGTATAGCTTATTGATATTTATATATAGGGGATGCCTTGCTGGCTTTTCCAGCCATGTTTCATCGCCAGAGAGTTTCAATTCTTCCATGACTATCCTACGAATATGCAGTATACACTGAATATCCCACTAATATCTCATTATATCACCATTTCTAGAGATAACAACCAATGATATTCCTATGTTTTATCCATCAACCAAGCATCATTTATCAGATGTAGATCATAGATCATAGATGATCATAGTGAATCCCTAGATTTTTTTATTTCTCAAATACCACCATGTTAATTTAACATAGCTATTGAAAATGACCATTTATAGTGGATTTACCCATTGAAAATGGTGATATTCCATGGTTATGTTAGTTTACCAGAGGGTACCACCATGTTTAGTGACGCCCCTTATTAATCGTGACTCCCCTCCGCCATCGTGGAAAATCGCTCTGAGGACGCGTGGAGCTGCTGGGCGCCCTGCGTGCGAACGCCTCGGGCACCCGCTCCACATCCTTCGAACGCTTGGAATTCTTGGGGGATGCAGCGATGCAGGTAGCCACCGGGGCCACCGGGGCCACCGGGGCCACCGGGGCCACCGGGGCCACCGGGGCCACCGGGGATCCGAGAGCAATTCTATAAGTCACTGGGATGATAGGAAAACTCCGTGAAAATTTGGAGATCCAAATTTTTCAGATGGGTCATTTGACAAAAAAAATTCCAGGTTTTGAGATATGTTTGGTGCTTAAATCAACGTTGTTGCGTGCTGAAATATAACCTTATTTTGGTGCTTACCATCTGGTTATTTAACATAGCCATGGACAATCACCATTTTTAATAGGTACACCATTTATAAATGGGCCATCTATACCATGGCTATGTTAAACCAGAGGGTAAATTCCACATGTTTGAAAGGTTCAGATGGAACTAGGTCAGGATTGGGTTACCTCAAAATGGAATGTTTCAGTCTGCCAAGGGATAAACATAAGGACGAAATCTGCGGCAAATTCTGGGCAATTTTGACCCATAGCCACATTTTCTCCAGGTGAAATGCCTAGGTTGAGGTTGTGAAGGTGAGATAGATCTGAAATGACCTGAAGGACTTTATTCATGTCCCCAACATGTTTTTTTTAGCACCTCCAAGTGAAACCAAGCTGTCTGTGATTTGCACGGTCCACTGCAGCCAGCTGATGCCAGCTGTCCTCGCCCGTGGCAGGTCCAATTTATTGACCCTGCATTGGTCCCAAGTCCCAGATAGAACACTTGTTTCAGTATGTGATGAAGATGATGTTTCCTCCAGATTTTCCAGATGTGAATGATTTTTCTATCTATTTGATATATCATGAACCATATATCATCATATATCTAGATCTGTGGTCAGAGTAGACTCAACCCTGCAGTGCGCCTGGCGCAGGTCATGGTCAGTTGGCATGTGATGCAGGCGGGACGTACGGTGGAGTGATCCTCTGTAATTTGTTGTTCTGTGGACGCACCAATTTGTTTCTGAGCAAACAGCCAGATGAACAGTGTGAAAAACCACGAAAACCATTGGTTGGTCGTTGATTTTGAGGGTTCTACTAGCCTATTGACAAGGGATCAGTATAATCTGTTGTCGGAATAGCAACAAACCGTGAGAGGAAGCAGCTCGCAACGCCGTAGCCTGGGTCCAGTCACCGAAAAGTCCCAACCTGCCAGTTGTTTCCAGAGTTCGACGAGGGAGAACTGCCGGCCTCCCTAGTCCGAGTCTGGTCAAGTGGTGGTCATAATCCTAGCCAGCCTTCCAAACAGTGAAGAAACCGTGTGGAACATGATTCCTGTTCAGCAATCTGAATGTAGTATGTCGTAGTAAATGCAGGAAATGGTTACTCCAAGTTGTTCATTTGGGTATTTGTGTGACAGAAGGGGTCGGGTTTGCTATTCGGATGACTTGGGGGTTTCCAGCTATTGTGTCCATATGCCCGGAGATGCGGCTGTGCGATTGTCAATGGTCGTAGAGGTTTGTACACAATTGGTTTCGGATTTTCGGCAAATGATGGGATTTGCCATTTGACCATCCAACCAAGGCGTCTGTAATCCCCCCATTTTCATGGTCGTTCATATGCCCATTCATTGAGGAATCCATCTTTCATGATGGTGGGATGACCACAGCCCCCCATTACTACCCCATGTTTTTATATATATATATAATTACTCCCATTGTTGATGATTAATCTCCATTGAACTCCATTGTCAATATTACAATCTCCCTAGTGATGGTTAAAATTTGTTAATTCCTATAAGATTATCCCATCTGTTTACATATCCCACTATGTATTATCCCAGTATATCCTAGTACAATCCCATTAAAATAAATCCCATAAAAAATTGCTTATGCCTCCCAAAACTCCCACAAAAAAAGGCAGGATTATCCCCGTGAAATAGCCAAACTTTACCTGGCGCTGTAAGGTCCGATACTCAGCAAGCCTTGCTCTGCAACTACTACATATCTCGCAAGTTGGTTCGCAACTTCGACGAGGCGATGCCCATTTTGGGGGTGTTTTTTTCGTTGAAAAAACAGGACGTGGCCCGAAAGAATGGATGATTTGGAGCCAACAGGGGGGAGATTCACCAGCAGATGGCAAGTCAAGCTGAAAAGATGATGGTCAGGGTTGGTGATGAAGCCACTAGGGTTTCCAGTTGGGAGTCGTCAGGAAAGTTATTCATGATGTCGCCACTCCAGTGGTGCGAAAAATATCCTACCGTTAGTACGGGCATAGGTTCAGAATGAATTGTAACGACCTCACGTCGCGACATCACTGGAATGGTGGTTCATAAGGGTAACTATCCCACAATGACCTTATTTCAGGTTGGTGAGTGATTGATTTTTCCAGTCAGATGCAGCATGTCCCAGAATTGGAAGTATGAAGGACCAATTGACGTTCCAAAGCCATGAATTTCACGGACAAAAACAACGAGTTTCCGGTTAAGATCTTCCGAACAGCACGTTGCATCCCGATTTTTGACAATTCCTGTACATAGGTTCTAGATGTTCCCTTAAACCAATCCATTCACCATCCAACTATCCCTATTTCTGATGCTTCATATCCTATTTTAGTTATTCATTATTCATGTTTAAATCCCAATGTTTCATGGTTAAGTCTCTCATTTTCATCCATGTTTGGCTAAAATCATGGTACTCCCAACTCCCAAAAGTCCATAACAAAATCCCATGCCCAGCGCTTCCGCTGCAGGCAGGTCTGCTGCATGTTTTCTTCCCTGGAGCCCAGTCGCCGCTGCGAAGTCCCTTGCTGAAGTACCTGAAAGCCGTGCGCGGCCAGGACGCTGAAGCCTCCGAGAAGATAGCGGATCACGCCCTGGGGCCCCTGGGTCTGTCAACCATGACAAAAAAGAGGGATGATTTTAGCTATGGCAGATGATTTAAGAGCTGGTTGGTGGTTTGGATCATTTTTTATTATCCAATTGCATGTTGCTTTTGGGACCTATTTTTGACTTCAAGTCAGACTAGGGTACCCCCAAAAAAACCGCTACATGGGACAAATCAATCTTTCGTTTTTAGGGCTTCAATTTCCGAGCCATAGCTATGTTGCAAACTCTTTCGGTACATTGCTGCGTTGTGTCGTTTGTGTCCCACTGGTTCATCCGGAAATCTATGTTTAACATTGAAAAAAATCCTTGGGATCAGATTTCCAGTAGCCAATATTAATGAATCATTATGAACTAATAGATTTCCAATGATTTCCAGTAACCAATATTAATTATATAATCATTAATCATTATATGAACTAAGTTAATCCCCACAATCTATGATGAAAAAATATGAAAACCATTGGGATTAGTACACAATCTTCACCTACTTGGCATGAACATTCGAGCATTGTTCAACCATGATGAACCATGAAAAGTTATGATCAACCATTGGAAAAACCACTATAGATGCATTAAATGATCATAAGGGTTATATAAGTTATAGATGATTGCACTAACCTAGCCCTAATCCTCATGGTAAACCATTATATAAATCATTCTTTTTTTTTACCATGATATAAACCATTGTTAACCATCATTAACCGTTATTAACCATTATTGACCATTATATATCAACCATTACTAACCATAGGTTAACAATCATAATGCCCGAGAGCTCCATAGCAGGAGGCAGGTGACTTCCTCGTAGGCGAGAAGAGCGACCTTGCGGCGGGCCTGCAGAGGAGCCTGGCTCACAGCGATGGTGTGCAGGGGAAAGGATGAGGACTTGGGTTTTTTGAAGCAACCAACACTTGGGAGAATTTGGGATAACATTCGGATCTAGCTTTGATAGTTTCTTGAAGCTCTATTTGAATGTCAATATCAATGGATCTAACTTAACAGATTTAATTCGGCACTAGACATTGGGACTTGGACAAGCCAAAACTATGAGGACAAGCAGCCAAGAAATCTCCATCCAAAGGGGATTTCGAGCAACATTTGTTGGAGCTTCTAATCCCTTCCCCCCTCATATTAAACATCCTGCCAGAAACCATTGTCAAATTGTTATTGGGGATCTCCAATATTAGGGGGAAGGGCTTAATTTTTAGAATTTGGATGTGAACCAAAGATTGGAACACCGCTGCGGACATATATCACAGCAAATATATGGATGTGGGTCAAAATGGAAGACCGTTAAGGGGACCACAGATGTTAGTCATGTCTAGTTTAGTATTAACCATCCATAATTTTAAGGGGTACCTAATTTTGACCCATAGCCATATGCTGCCATATCACATGGAGGATTTCCAGCCCGCCCCACTGTGAGTTATGGCTGCGGTTTGGGACATCTTTGAAGGCTCGGAGATATGATGAAACTCCCCGTCACATGTAATGACCGTTGGTTATATATATATGGGTATGGATCAATACCTATTAATACCATTTTTAGGGGGATGAACATCCATAAATCCCAGCTATGAATTGATGTGAACTACAGGGGTACAAGGTTTTGACACACTGCCATATATATATATATACAGACAGGCAGGCAGACAGTAAATGAATGTAAATGATACATGAAAAAACAGCGGAAGTTGGATATGGCGAGCGATTTAGATAATAGTATTAGATGTATTTGGTACTCCAGAATCTATCCATTTATATAGCGTGCTACTTCAGCTCACATACGATTTTTGAATCCCAAACATAAACTATTTGGATTATGATTACTGTATATATATATTATATTGTTGTTTGGACACATCATATTTCTGACTTTGGAACCGGAGATAGATTATTTAATACATGTTTGCGTAAGGAAAGCCAGCAGAATACACTGACAGATGTTCCATCATGTTCCATCCATGTCGTGCCTTCAACGCTGCAGGAATGACCCAGGAAGTGAGGCGACAAATGGCTGGGTAACCGTTGTGGTAAGCAAAAATCCATCGCATTCTTGAGCCATATACTGTTTATGTATATGATATGCATATACCAATCTGAATACGGGACATCATTTTTTAGATCGGGGGGTAATGGAAGCCCATTCTGATAATCTATTACCAGCCAAGCGAAACGCTCGATATCCATGCTTAATTCAACAGATATTCATCGATTCATAATTCATAATTATGATTTGAAGTAAATGAATATCAAAAGAGAATCTCCAAAAACCTCTTTGCTGATGTTTTCACATGGGTCATGGGTCCTTTGGAGGTCAGGTTCGTTAGGCCGTGAAATGATGGGCTGGGTTACTGGGTTGGACCTGCGGTATCCTACGGTCAGAACAGCCGCTACAAGTTCATCGCAGACGCCTATGAGGCTCGCTGTGGGAGATGGGCATCCATTCCTGGCCACTGACATTTCATATCTCATGCCTCTTGGATGATCTTAGTAGAAATCCAAGCAGCAAAAAACCTGAGTTCCTGGTGGACTAAAGCAGCATGTTGGGATATTTTTTGGGTGGGTTCATGAAATGATTCATCCAAGCATATTTTGGGGCACCTGGTTTTTGAGGAACTCAGTGGTTGAGCCTTGCAGTTTCCGGAATCTTCACAAGAGATTTAAGTAGATACATGGCCAAGAACTGGCTGCACTCAGATCAATTGAATCAATTGAGCAGTGTTCAACACCCCTGTTGGTCGATCATTATTTGGGATTATACTAAGTCTCAACCTTGTTTCGCGGGGATTTTTTTTAGGAGTTTTCACCAACCGTGTCCTCTTGGATTTTTTTTCAGCCCTGGTGGGCAGTTGTGACTCCAGTTCCATGGGTGGCCATTGCTTGGCTCAAACCTGGGTAGCACGGTATTAAACATATATCTTCGGCAAGCGATTGTGCAGGCTTGCCCAAAAAAGATAGATGAAAAACATGCTGCAAGATGTTGACAAAGATCAGACATCTGAAGAGACATAGATCAGACAGTGATCTTAGGCATTTTTACACGGAGACATAGTGACTTTTCTCGTGACATATCATCCCTCCAAGTGAGCGCCCAGCTGGCGGTCCATTTTTTCGTCCAGACGATCCAGGCATGTGCGATGCTTGAGGTTGCCCCTGGTCTGCGATGAGCCAGTGGCAGCCACAACGGTTCGTCACTCCTCCAAAAGTCTCAGAGTCCACCTGTTAGTAATTATTCAATGGATTGGTTTAGGGGAAAATTTACAGGAAACCCCCATATTCAATGGTAAAAACCATGGTTTCCTGTAAATTTTACCTTAAACCAATCCATTGAATTATTTGACCAGTGGACTTAATGATTTTCGATGTCCACGAATTGGCAGCAACTACTCCAATAGTCTTGAATACAGTAAGTGAACCTACGAGAACAAGATGCAGCAATATATAGTCATCCCCCAAAAAGACACAATATTTTTACAAAACATCCCGAGTCATCCCCAAAAAGACACAATTTCTACAAAAGTCAATCCCCAATATCCCCATTCAAATCGTTTTCTGATTCTCAGACACCTACAAGGTGGGGCCCCCCAGTTATAAGTTGGTTTATAAACCCCATGAATACTATAGTTATAAGTACCATAAACCATAGTGACATTGGAGTTATAAACCAACTTAGCTAACTATGGGGCACCACCTTAGGCTGGCTCCGCCTGCAGCTCCCAGCCGCCTCTGGACTCTGATTGGGTGGTTGAAGATGGTCGACTGGTCATCCCAAAAAGCAGGAAAACCATAGGAAAACCATAGGAAAACCATAGGAAAACCATAGGAAAGCCATAGGAAAACCATAGGAAAACCATAGGAAAATGGGACTTACCCTCTGGTAAACGTACAAAAAACTATGGAACATCACCATTTTTGTTGGGAAAATCAACTATTTCTATGGCCATTTTCAATAGCCAACTGTTAAATTACCAGAGGGTAAGCAGCAAGAATATCGGAATATGAAACGCTATTTTTTGCAAAATAATTATTTTTCATTTTCCAATGGTTAGCTGCCATCGGCACTCTTAAGAATATCGGAATATGTGGATGTAACCATGAACTATTTGGATCGCAAAAATCACGAGCGAACCCGTCACGACGTCACCGGAATGAAGAGAATTGTAACTATCCCAAACTGGCGGAACTTTCCAGGTGGGTGAATTATTGTACCCTCTGGTAAACTGACATAGTTATGGAAGCCATGGCCCATAGAAATAGATGGTTTACCTATTGAAAATGGTGATTTTCCATAGCAAACTGTAACAAGTTACCAGAGGGTATATCATTTATCTTGGGGTACTCAATGTTGACACAAGAATTCTGGGTACTTGATGATTATTGCGACATATCATCATCATTCATCATCTATGCTGATGAAATCCACAAATCATGGCAAATCCCAATTCAATGGGAATTCCAGGATCCGATTCATTGGAGGTACTGTACCATATTTCTGGCCATATTTTGTGGGGATATTCCCTTACACAGGCCTCAAACATAGGCCTAACTAATATGGAATCGGTACCTCCAATGAATCGGATCCTGAAGATCTCCCATTGACCAATGGTTGCTGCTGAAGACCCGAGATTTACTGTGGCATTCACTGAGGAGTGGACCGGATGCAGAGGACAAAAAACTTCAGGGATATGGTCCCCGGAAATCCTATGGGTTGTAATCGTTTTTTTCGACATAGCAACCCCCAAACAGATAGAAAAGTAACATCCGACTGAAATAGTGATGATTTACGTTTCTATCATTTTTTTTGGGCAGTGTGTCAAAACCTTGTCAAAACCTTGTACCCCTGGTGAACATCAAAATAGCTGGTAAATGGATGTTCATCCCCCTAAAAATGGTATTAATAGGTATTGATCCATACCCAAATAATGATGATTTACTGTTCTATCATTTTTTTTGGGGTTATTATATATATATATACATAGCTATGACCCCCCAGGAGAACCTTCAATAAACGATGCGATTAGATGCAATTAGTGCAACTACATATCACACCATCCAACAATTGTACGATCCAACTGACGATGGTGATCAACCAATCAACTATGCTCGGGAAATATCAATAAAGATAACCTTGGGAACTATTTTTTAGGCGGGAAATTAGGCGGTTGATGGCCGTTCTATCCTTTTGCGAACCCGTATAATATGTTCGAACCCCGAAGAACATTGAACAAGAGGGCTTATAGCTGGAAAAGTGCGCTAAACAGTCATATAGAAACAACTGGAAATCCCCCTTATGGTACCATCTTTTCTTAAACCTGTGGCAGAACGAGAGATTTTAAAAGTGTTTGTGAGAAAAAATAAAAGACATAGATCATTCAGCTGATCCATGTTGTCTCTACTTACTGTATACTTATTATATCTTATTATAATGGAATGCCTCAAAAATACTTGAACTCCAAAACTAGATCCTTCCATGAATATGGCCAGTCACGATAGATATGGCAAGTCATTTGTTGGGCCATAGTACACGATGCTTGATCCATTGGTTTTACCAGCCCAAATCACAGGTTATTGCACAGGTGGTACTTATTGCATGTTTTCCCTGAAACCGCTCGTCAACATTCCGAAGTCCCCATTTCTGGTGAGAGTTCTATGCATGTATACATATATATATATACATACACATAATGTACACATATATATATACATATATATATACATATACATATATAATATATATACATATATATATATACTATATTATATTATATTATATTATCATATATCCCAAAAATGAAAAACTGAACTCCAATGTTTTGGTGAATCAATACTCAACGGTTCACGTTTGGGCCAGGAGACCAGGGAGACTGCGCAATGCGAAGGTGCGAGCACAGCTGCTCACCAGGTCGGCCTTGTCCTGGGGCCAAGGAGATCATTCAGATCATTCCGGCAGATATTTTTCACTGTAGTTATATATATACACATATGTAATGTAATGTAATGTAATGCAATGTAATGTAATGCAATGTAATGTAATGTAATGCAAGGTAATGTAATGTAATGTAATGCAATGTAATGCAATGTAATGTAATGTAATGTATGTATGTATATATATGGCTATACATAGATGTAGCATTAGATTATTGTATGTATATATATATGTATAGGGAAACGGCTGGAGGTGATGATTGGAATGAACTTGTTTCACGATTAGTCAATGATCATTTATAGGCTTTTGAGCTCTCCTTTTGAGCAGAATCGTTCTTGGGTCTCGACATCCGAACATTGTGATGTTGCAGCTGCCAAGATGTAATCCAATCCAGGTTTATGATGGACATAAAATGCGGATAAGATGCTACTGTATGCGTACCCTCTGGTAATTTAACAGTTGGCTATTGAAAATAGCTCATTTATAGTTGATTTACCTATTAAAGATGGTGATTTTACATAGTTATGTTAGTTTGCTAGAGTGTAACGGAATTCGCCTCCCACCTCGCCCCAGCCCCATATCTGTATGCCACAACGCAAGTCAACGAAACCATCATGCATGAAGCACCATCAACAGAGCAACTACTTTCGAAAGGCACTGCAAAGCCTACATTCTTGGGCGCCCCCCACGCCCCACCCATTTGTATGACACAAGGCAAGACCCCAAGCCTGGTAGATCTCGGGTCCATATTGGATGTGGTCTAACACTGGGAGTGTTTTTTTTCAGGAAGGGACATACAAATCTGGTTGGTGGTTTCAAACATTTTTTATTTTCCATTTCATATATGGGATAATCCTTCCCATTGACGAACTATTATTTTTCAAGATGCTTATTGCACCACCAACCAGAAATGATGAGGAAATTATGAATGATTAGATCATTGATTAAAGTCTAATTATGAATTATGAAAATTATGATTAAAGTCTAATAATCATTAACTTATGAATTATGGATTATCATTGATTAAAGACGATCAAAGTCCAAAGAAACAACCCCGAAAAGCGTTGTAGCTGCTGTGTAGCTGCTGTGTTGAGGGCACCCCACAACATGAGATGACTAAGCAAACTACCCGGCCTGGTAAACCTACAAAAAACGATGGAAAGATCCACCATTTTTGTTGGGAAAATCCACTATTTCAATAGCCATTTTCAATAGCCAACTGTTAAATTACCAGAGGGTAGATAGAATTATATAAGTGACTCACAAGTAAATCCATGCATAGATCAATATGAGTAGATAAGTCAATGAGTCAGTAGATCAATAGAAATTATCTATTTATTATAAATGTACACACACACACATGTATGATGATATAAAGAAAAACATATTCATACATATATGCCACACACACACATGCTCAGAAAGAAATCCGTCTGCTTCATGTTATGTTTGATCCCATGTTGGCCACCCAGAGTCCAAACCTTCAATTTCTTTGTTAACAGTGATTTTTGGCTGGTTTAGATGGCATTTTTGCTGAGTAAATCAGTCAAATCAACAGTTGCAAATTTGGAGGCTTAAACTCCACATATCTCACTTTTTGGCCATCTCCGGCGCTAGGGCGACGCTCCCGTGGCCACCATGGGCCCCGCGCGGCGAAGAAGTTCAGCTGTGCGCGAGAAACGACGCCTGGGGGAGCGGCGCTCGATGGTGGCGGTCGCCAGGCGCCTGAAGGCGGTGACTCGGCAGATTTTTGGTCGGATTTTTCCATGGTCGATGAACAGTTTGCTACGGAAAATCCCCAATTTTTTGAGAGGTAAATTGGACAATCCCCCATTTTTTTGAGAGGTAAATCATGGTAAATCAACTATTTCTATGGCCATTTTCAATAACGATCTGTTCAATTACCAGAGGGTTCGCCATGGAAAATGGGGATTGAAGTTGCAGTGTTTTGGCGTTGGACTTTTTGGGGATTTCACCATCAAAAATAGGGATGAACCATGAAAACCACGTCAAATCAGATCAAATCCATCGAGTTTCTGGCGATCAAATCCATCAAGTGGGGATTTTTCACCATCAAAAAAAAGGATTTCACCAAGCAATTTGCTGGGGGATTTAGGAACTAAACAAGATTGTAAAAATCTGCATGACATTCATGGGGATTCAACGGATTTCACCTAAATTGAGAATGGATTTTTGGGGATTCAACCAGAAAAAAATTGGGGTTTTAGGCATGAAGCAATGGGAGTAGTATGGGGATATAATGGGATACATAGAAGCCAGGTGCATGTAATGATTGTTCTTGGACAAACACCCCTGATTTTCTGAACGTAGCCTCTGGTAAACGTACAAAAAACTATGGAACATCACCATTTGTTGTTAGGTAAATCAACTATACATGGGCCATTTTCAATGGGCAACTGTTAAATTGCCAGGCAGCTCTTGTGGTTTCTGAACGGACTTTTTAGGTCATGGAGGAGCGTGGCCTGAGTATGGTGCCAGAGGAGAATGATGAAGAGGAAGAGGCCAGGATGTTCATCGGTGGGGGATGGTCCATCAATCTTTTGGTGTGGTAAACCACCCTAAACCATCCCCGAAATCTCCAAAATTCGGGGTATTCAAATCATCCCCAAATGCTAGGTTTATGAATTATTGGGTTTACAACATTAATGAGGGATTTTTTATATATACCCATAAGGATTCCCATTATAAGAGGGATGATCAAATTCACCACCATGTTTTGACGCACACATCATCAGAAACCAGCGTATTGTTGGTGTATGACATCAGCAAAAACAAGGGGAGCACCCCTGTACTTAGCTGTTTCGTCACTCGCGTGCTGGCACTCAGCACTCGCGTGCCGGCACTCGCGTGCTCAGCACTCACTCAGCGTTGCGCGTGCTGCGAGCTGGAGCTGCTAAGCCCCTGTATGTGCTGATCCGGATGACGCGTGATCATGGGATGGGGGGTTGAAGCAACAGTTCTATGCGGAGCTGAGCAACAACGGGGAAGATATAGGAATTAATCACATTTGGGTGTCTGAATATAGGAATATATTTGAATATCCCAAGATATAGGAATATGTCATTCAAAATGAGGGGTATTCATATTTGGGTTGAGATGACAAATGGGTGTCTGAAAACTAAGGAGCTACAAGCTACTGTACCCCAAGATCCCCAAGGGAAGCATGATGATTCAACCAGGGGATTGGGAAAAGGCAAAAAATGTGATGGTCCTGACGATCAGGATGCGTCAAGGAGATATCAGCGGAGTTGTTAGCATTCAACCATCCATGGGGCTTGGTCATTTTGACCGTGCCCATTTTTACCATATTTTACATATATATATATATATGTATATAAACATAATAGACACACAGGTTTGTATAGTTAGATATATACAGAGAAATAGTCACTTCGGCCAACAAACCAAGGTTCAAAAATCACCAGCTTTAACCCTCCAGCCCACCAGTCGTAGGGTTCTCGCTGCCAGGATGACCTTACCCACAATCTGTTTGACAGGGCTCGTTCCTTCTCCCTCTCTGCTGCAACTTGACGGCGTTTGAAGCGATCTTTCCACATAGGAATTAATTATTTTTTTGCACTTTAACTGTGGCAAATAGGGATTTACCATGAAACATAGGAAATTAGACATGAAACACAGAGATTGAATTATATTTAACCATCAAGAGATGGGATGTTCGATGGGTTTGTGACAAGACGTCTGTCCTCATGGGATTACAATGAGGATATCATGGGACACAAGATGATACCCTCTGGTAATTTAACATAGCTATTGAACATGACCATTTATAGTTACCCATTAAAAATGGTGATTTTCTATAGCTATGTTAAATTACCAGATGATATAGATTATTAAATTTATTAAGTCAAGGAAAGCTACATCCCTGAAATCCACTTGCTTTTACTGAACATCTGCAGAGGCCCGTATAATTTTCTGGGAATAAAGGGACCGCCTTGAGGCGGCGCGGGGTTGTAATCATTGTGGTTTTGGAGTTTGAATCAGGAATGAGCATGATATACCCTCTGGTGAACTAACATAGCTATGGAAAATCACAATTTTTAATGGGAAAATCCACTATAAATGGCCATTTTTAATTGCTATGTTAGTTTACCAGAGGGTATGTTAATTTACAGTGAACTATGCTTGCGCGACATGCATTCTTTATCTTAGCATCCACAGGTCAAGATTTCAAAAATTAAGTGCGGCGCGCCAACTTCGGCTGTCAAAGCTTTCATCTCTTTCTTCGGTTCTTTTTCTTCAGCTTCCATTCTTCGTTTTACACTCCCCACCCCCGCGGTGAACATCAGCGAGCATCTCCAACGCACATGTCAAATGCCGCCAATTCTTACTACCCCGCCTGTTGCAACGTACGAAAAACTGACCCTTATCTGCAACTGTCTTCAAGTCGTCAGTGACCCCTCCCTTTAAAACATGCGAGCGCATCTGCAGCCATGACTTCAGAAACTTTCATATACAATCATATATATATATATACATGTCACATATCTATATATTATATACCTATCTCTCTCTCTATATATATATATGCACACATGAACAAACATCATATGTTGAAATTTACCAAGATCCGAAAGGTGAGCTCGATCGCTGCTGCAGCGGCCTGGGCCGTCACTCCGCAAGATACAGCGCCTTGGTGTCGGGTTTTTCCAGGTCATCCAGCCATAGAAACATAGCCATTGTGAAAAGAAATCGAAGGATTATGGGATGGGGATGAGTATGGATGAGAATCACCCGTAAACGCCACTTTTTTCATGAGAATGGTACCCTCTGGTTATGACATACAAAAAGCCATGGAAGCCATGGCCCATTTATAGGGTGGCTCAACATGTTCACCCAAATGGATGGTTTCGTGCTACAGAATGAAGAATTTTCTGGGTGTATTGGTGCCCCCGTGTGGATTTGTACATGTTGTAGCCATTTGAGGCACATGATATTGGCATATTTTGCTCATATGGATGTGTTGGAACATCGTTTTTTTCCGTTTTTTTTTTGATACCAGGTGATTGTGGCCATGAATTGTGGGGAAGATGATGATTCACCATTGGATGTTAGGGGTCCATGTTCATCATGTTCCCGACGTCTTTGAGAACTGGGAATGATCAGCGGATTGTCATCAATCCATTCATGGCAAATTCTATGGGTTTTAATGGAACAAATTCATATGGCTTCATCATAAAATGGGATCACTAATATAATATATATATATTTATAATGGTAATTCATGAACATTGTATTCCATTGAAGTTCCAATTCTATAAATAAATTATATAAATTCGCTGTAAGGATGGGATGGATGACAATCATCCATCCCACGGCAACTTGTCCATGTCAACCATGGGGCCGCCGTCAAACATGGGGGATTTCACCAGCAACAACGGGGGAACCAAACACCCAAGAAAATGGTGATAAAATGTGTGATTTCATGGGGGCGCACAATAGCTGATGATCTCTCAGTTGACGCACATCACTTGTGAAAACCTAGGGCTTGTGGGGAACGCCAGTTTCCATGGATCTCTAAACAAACTTATAACCTGCAGGGACCTCGTCTTATATAGGTTTCTCTGCAGATTTTCATAATGATCTTTGAGGATGATTAGTTTGTTCGAGATCATGTATATTTTCCATCCCAGAAACCCAATTTGGATGGTAAAACGACTCATTCCAATTCTTGAATCATTACTTTCCCAGGTAAACATGCCATAGCAAACGAGAACTTTATTCAGTTTTTGTTCAAGTTCGTGTCCAAAGAAGTCATCAAAAACAAATCAACATACAAAACATCAACAAATTCCACATGTTCCTCCGGATTTTTTGGGAAACCTGCGTCGCAGCTCAAGGCTTCTACTGCCTCAAGCTGCACGCAGGACGTGTCGCCCAGATCCAGCGATGACAGTGTGGCTTGGCCAGGAGAACTATCGAGAACTGGAAAATCTTCTGGGAGAATTGTTTATTACTGTATACAATATGTATATATATATATGTATATATATATTTCTTTTGTGTTCTTTTTACATGATAAGAGTTAAGACATATGTTTTTCTCTCCCATGTTTTTCTGTTTCTGATCCCCGGATCATCATAAAAATGATGGTCCCCTGGCTGGGAGATGGCTCCCTGGTTGGTCCAACGTCATCATTTTCTCCATGTCGTTTCTAGATAAAATGGGGAAAAACCACCATTTTCAGACAGCAAAAACTCGACCCAAACCTGGGATTATGGGGATGATGGGCATGTTTTTTTTGGATGTAGCGCATGGATCCTGAACGCTCCGAGGGGATGAATTTTGATCGTTATTTCTTCGAATTTTCTGGTGATTTTCAGCGCTTATCTAGCAACTTCCGCAACGACACATCCCCATCCACAGTGACCCTGTGCTATGCCTCAGGTCCATTCACCCAGCAGCCTTGGATCTTTCTCCTCAGACTCCACGGTGCATGTGCTGGGTGAAGCACTTTTGAGAGCTCGTGAAGAAGGAGAGCATCCCACCAGGGCAGGTAACGTCTTTAGTCGGGGCCTCGGTGTGGCCTTGTGGGCTAGGCGGCTAGCAACTTGGAGCTCTAGAATTTCAGCAGCCCCCAATCAACCAGGAGCTTTCCTGCTTACCCCTGGTAATTCGACAGTGCCATGGAAACATTTGTAGATGATTTCCATCTGATTTCCAACAAATTCTCCATGGCAAACTCTTGGATTTCCAGAGAAGGCATATCTCCACTTAACCCCCTATTTTTGATTTGGTTGGTGGTTTGGAACATATATTGGGAATAATAATCCCAACTGACGTTCATATTTTCCAGAGGGGTAGGTATACCATCAACCAGTGATGCTTAAATCAAGGTATCTCTCCATTTTTGGGCCAATTCCTGCAATTTTCGGTCCCCAAAGGTCACTTCACCATGGGAATTGCCTAGTGACAAGTGAGCTGAGCCCAGCTCAATGACAATGAAGTCGCAAAAACTGGCTCGGAAGGAGTGAAGGAGATTGAATTTTTGATGTTTTATAGATATATTTACATAAACAGGTTTATATCTAGATATTAAATATGCCTTAGCAAAACTGATCATTTCACATCAACACAAAGAGTTTCTGGGGGGTAGGAGGAGTCGTTTTCATCCCGGGACCCCGAAGAATCATTTTTGTAGCAAGTTTACCATAGCCCGGGTGAAAGAACTATGAATCAATGGTTTGCCGCTCCATTTATTGATACAATTTATTTATTTATTTATCCCTTTTTGCTGGTAACATCTCCTGTTCGGTAATTTTTAGCATGTTAAACACACATTTTTAGGGTAACATCATGCTGTCCACCATGATAAATCGATGTCACCGACGATGTCAAACACCCCTTCCAGCAACATGTGGCTGTGTGGTGTTTCCTGAGTGCTGGCGATTGAAGTGTCGCCATGAAAGTGGAAAAGCGTGAGGCTGGGGCCAACATGTATTATGTTTAATGTTTGTATGGAAAATGTACCCCAAAATGACCTTACACTTTACAAGGCCTATTTCGGATTTGTGAATGATATGATTCATCATTCTTTTCAGAATTGATATGCCCATCAAACAGTATAAAGCAAATCATCCAACCAGTCGTCCAAAATTGGCTCTGTCTGTTCCCAAGAGGCTCTTCCGGCACCACCCGTCCGGCATGGTTTTTGGCTACTCTGCCCAATGGAGGCAGAGTCGGCAACCGTTAGTGTTCAGCGGCGCCTACTACCGGTGCCGTGGCTAGTGAAATTGAACCCTGTTGGGTTTCGAGAGATTTGGGTGACTTCCCAGCCGACACCACTTACAATATCTTACAATTTGTTTTGCGAACGCTGTGGTGGTTGGTTTTGAAGTCAGTTGTCCGTTTAGAGGATATCTACTCGGACATGGTGTGAAAGCTCAGCCGCTCAAATCCCGCAGAATTGCTGCTGAATCCCAGCAGTTTCACTCATGGCCAGTGCCATGATGCCGAGGGAAAACTCGGTGGCTGTGATAGCAGCTCAGCACGCCATCGCAGCTTGCTGTATTGCTTGGTGGTTTCAAAGACGTTTATTTCCTTCCCCACTTGTGACTTGAGATGACTTCAGTGTCGTTTAGATGTTTCAAGGGGTTGGAATCTGAAGCACCAAGCAGCTCTGATCGTCGCTTGAGAGCAGATTTAAAAGAATCGACGGATCTCAAGATCCAGAGGCGCTTGAAGGTTTGTTGTGCTCTATGATGAAGCGTGGAAAATCACAAAATTGATATTTGTGGGACTTCCAATTGCCAGATTGCATGTGTTTGAAGGCATGTTTGTTTTACTGCGAGTTTTCATCCATTTGTTCCCCTTTGAAGGTGCGCGAGAGAAATCTTGATGACCAAACCCACTTTTGCAGGCGTTGATTGCCGCCATTCTCTTGGATACAGGCGGGACACCGGGTGCGCATCGGCATGGAGAGTCCAGTTTCGACTCGAAAAATCACTGGGGTGCCTTCACTGGGGCAGGATCCTTTCAATGCGTGACATCACTTTCGTTGTACGAAAGCTTGTCCAGCGCTTTCGCGACTGGAAACCTGACTGGAATCTGACTTTAACTTGAATTTCTGAGCGAGGCGTGCAGTGATGTGCCTGCAAGGCTTTTGTCGCCAAAAAAGTGCATGACATCACTTTGAATAGTCTTTGGGGATGAAAATCCACATGTTCATGGGTCAACATCATTTTTGAAATGATGGACCGATGGATCAAATATGATGAAATCACCATGTTAAATGGTCAAGTCCCAAGAAAGCAGCACTCTTTTCAACTTTTTTTGGCTGGGAAGGTGGTGATTTGGATCAAACCTGGTCCGTCTTCGCGAAAGACTTCGACTTGTCAAAGGTCAACGTACAGGAGCAGATCAGGACGGCCATGGCGCAGGGATCTCGAGGGTGCCAGCGTATACCCTCTGGTAAACGTTTACCAAAAAACTATGGAAAATTCACCATTTTTAATGGGAAAACTCACTATCAATGGCCATTTTCAATAGCCAACTGTAAAATTACCAGAGGGTAGTTTAAACATTTTCCGGTAGCCTGGAAGCACTTCCACGATGCTTAGCTAAGCCCAGCTTCGCTTGGCGACAGAGGAGCTGGCGGCAGCATCTGCGTGAGGCGGAGAAGAAGGAGTTGATCGAGAGTGGAGTGCGGCTCGATGGATTGAGCAGCTGCGATCTAGCCCAATCGGTTGATGATAGATGATTATAGAGATTATGGGGATCGCAATCCATGAGGGGAATCCCGTTCTCAACCAATCAGTGCAGCGAAGGGACGACGTTGTGGGTTTTGACATGTTTTGAAGACTGCTCATTTGCTGGGAGTGGAAGTATTCCCCATGGTTTGGATTGGTTGGAGGGTAGTGAAAATTCCCCCGCGGAATCCATAACTGTTTGGTTGGTTGTGAAACCTTTCTTTGCCTAAGATTTTAAGCTGACCTACAGTAGGATTCTTCAGGGGGGTTGAAACTGAGAAACCGCGGTTCCTCCAAGACTCCAAGACTTTCGCTTCCTTGCAGAATTCCTGGCCTATCGTTAATGCAGAGCAGAAAAGGATACAAAAGGTGTGTCATGTAGCTTGGAATCCATGGATATGCCTGGTTGCGGGGAAGGTTTTCACTTTACTCCAGGAGAGTCAAGAAGATGAGATGCTTGGGACATTGGGACCTTTGTTCAATGATCATTGTAGGTTTTGATGACAGTAGTGGCCGTGATGGAAACACATCGTTTGCAGGTAGATCAGGTAGTAGATATGCCAACCCTGGATGATGATCAAGGAGTGTTTTGTCCGGATAGTCATCATCCACTGCTAAGATGGCGCCCTCAACCCAAAACACACATCAAAATCATCCCAATCTCTCCATGATCCAATCTTGAAATGCCATTTCATATATGGGATGTCATCCTTCCCATTGACTTTCATATTTTTCAAGATGGTTAAAACATGTTAAAACCACCAACCATATTTTTTTTTGGGGGGTTCCTTCCCAAAAATTTAGGGCTTCTTTTGGTCCTCGAAACTTCACGGTGCCGAACATTTCCGCACTCCCAGGCTCTTGCCTCAATCCCGTGCGGGTGAAAAGGGGCCGTCGGGAACCGGCCGCGACTTGGTAGGCACTTGGAGGTCACCCTGGTTCACCCAGTAACTTTAGGTGACTTGGTGAGCTTTTGGGGGCTATATATATATAATATATATATAATATATATATAATATATACATATGTATATGTCTTAAAAAAATCTTCGATTATCCATCAATTATCCATTAACCATCCACTATCCCCATTGGGTTTAGCACATTATTCCGCCCAAAATGCCTGGAACATCAGCCCTCCAGCCCTTAGGTTCCCTTGCCTCGGCTGCCTCGACCACGGCGACGGCGCGAACGGATTTTGATGTTCCAAAATTGGTGGAAAATGGGGAGTAAACCACTGGAACACTTGCTCAGTGGGCCATTTCCCTACACCTGGTACAGTGGGTGTGGTGATTTTCCGGCACAGCTGACAGATTCAGCTGAACCACTGGAAAATCAACCAACATTGCTGGGGGAAATGAGGTTTAACCCTCACAACATATGTTTGCATTTTTGGATGGTAAAACTAGGGTTTCCTATAGAATTGTCCTTGAATATATCATACCAGACCAGATCCCATTAATTGTGGTATATATATGGGACCAGGGCTTTCGAATGATATGTGACTTCTGCAAAGAACTATTCTTCACTTAGATTTGGAAAGCAGAACCTCTGTAGATCATATTTAGGATCGAGTCATAGGCAATGCTGGGATTTTTTACAGGCAACAAAGCTGGGAAAATGGTCAACTGGTCAATTAACATGATGTATGTCCATACAGTATACCCTCTGGTAAACTAACAGAATTATGGAACATCACCATTTTCAATGGGTAAATCCACTATAAATGGTCATTTTCAATAGCTTTTTGTACGTTTACCAGAGGGTATATGATTCATCCTGTGACTGCGGTTTTTAACAGCGCCGTCCTCCGACCTAGCCACGGCGGCGCCCTTTGCAGGAACCAGCGGCGGCTCCGGAGTTTGGACTTTTGGCCAAGGGCGAAGCGCGGCGGAAGCTGATGGAGTATTGCAAGAGGCACCCGGCAGGGCTGGCGGGTCCTTGCCAAACTTCCACAGCCCACAGGGGATTTTTGTTGGCATTGCATTGTGGTATATATTTCTCTAGGGGTTATAAAGTGCTTCCTGCACCATATTATGGCCCCGTGCATTTAAAATAGAGAACTTGGTGCTTCGCAGGGATAGATATTCCACCATGAGTATAGTACTGGTTTTTCGGTATTTTCAGTTTCTGAGGGGATCTTGAATCCATATATCTGTCCACAGTGGCTGTACACTCATGCCAGGGTAGATCTGTAAATCAACATCCTTCGATCCTTCGAGCCGTGTCTGACGGAGGCATCAGCTCAAGATGAAGTTTGAAGGCAGTCAGGCCCGGAAGGCATGATGCTACAATGAAATGGGCAGTATAGCTACTCGGTTGGTTGGTTGGCTTGGCTGACTTAGTGATTTCTCATGATTTCTCATGATTTCTCATGATTTCTCGTGATTTCTTATGATTTCTTGTGCTAAGATAGATAGTAAGTGGTTGGTATGTGGCGTGACAAGCCACTTCGCAGTCTGGCCCCATGGGGATTTATGAACCACTCACCAGCTGCCAATCTGTTGCTTGACTTCCGGGCTTGAAATCAAAATATATGGCTTTGTCTCAAAATATGGAAACAACAACACAAATCCATTGGTGGTTGATCATCATTTTCCCTATTGAAATGGTTGTTTGGGGGTAGACCTCATTTTCGGACGGACCCGACCCTTTTTTGATCCGTAGAGTTCCATTTTAGTAAAGGATCCGTTCGTAAATTCTATTGTCCAGATTACAATCATTGTATTTTCAAGAGATTTCTCCTGTTTGTTTGGCTCAACTGGATGTTCTGTCAGGAAGGGCATGTGTTCAAGTCGCCAGCAGCTCAGCTTTCGTTCTTGTACTGGGTGCGTTGCGGAAGCGCTGGTTATCGCTGGTTGCTGAGGAGAGTGATCGTTGACGGCAAAAAGTACACGGAGGCGCGTGAAGGTCAGAGTGTTTTTTCAATGTGAAACCTTGGCTCAAGCTGCAAAATCATGAAAATCAGGCAAGAAAAATCCAAGAGAAAATCTCATCACATCCATTAAAAAATACCCATAAAATCTCCTGAAAATCCCTCAGAAAAAGCTGAAAATCGCCAGGTCGAAGGGGCTTCCAGCAGTGCAGCCCAGGACACAACCGTGGGGATGGTGCCGCCAATGTGAATCCCACACTACGAAAAAAATCCAGATCCTATTTTGAGAGAATCATCATAAGAACTAAATTATAGGATCTAAATATATCTAAATTATCATAAGAATTCATAAGATCTAATCATCATAAGATCTATTTAGATCCTTACTCTTTGAGATAGATAATTGATCTAAAATTGTAAGGTCATAATGATCTACAAGAATATATCAAGGTCGTGAGGTTTCTCTATTGCACTCTTTGTGTAAGCCTCCAATCAGAATCCCAGGTTGACATGGTGGGTTTATTGCAGCAAGGGTGGGGATCCATGCTCACTTCATTCATCACACTTTACCATACTAAACCTCCTGTTCGCGCGCATCAAAACAACACAGAATTGGAATATATTCACAGGCAAAAGTGGGCTGCGCAAAAGCCCCTGTGGATAGGATCTGGCTTCGGAAATGGCGTTGTGGGAGCTCCAACATCCACCTCCGCCTCCGCAAGACCCAGTGCCACCGGTTGAAGGCAAGATGATTTTGGATAGCAGGGGTGGATGGGCAACGGATATCTCAGTGAAATCTAGGGCTGCCGCAGCGATCGAATTTCGGCAACATGTCTTGTCAGAATGATGGATTTGACATGTTTCAGACGCTGTTTGGTTTGGTACAATGAGCGGATTGCAATTACCAATCCGTGTGCTAACCAAACCTCAAATTGGTTGGATGCATCAATTGAGAATGAATTGTGACCAAATACCCTCTGGTTATTTGACATAGACATCGGGCAATGGCACATTTATGGAGAATTTATGATAATTTACGCTGATTTACCTGTAAAAATGGTGATTTTCCAGTTCGCTAGAGAACCAGAGGGTACCATCAGGTCTTATTTTCTTGGATCCGAAGCTCTGAGGCCAGGTGCCGAATGCACCTGAGTCCATTCAGGCGGGCAAAGCCATGGTTCTTCAGCAACTGCCAAGTATCATCATTATCATCAAGTATCATCAAGTATCATCAAGTATCATCAAGTATCAATGGTCAACATCAATCATATATATATATATATATATGTATATATATATATATAAAATTATATATTATATATAATCATATAGTCAAGAACTTGCAACAAAACCAACATCAACGTTCAACATGTTCAACATGTTCAACATGTTCAACATTCATCAAAATGAAGCCCTGTACTACATTATATAACCCCGTAATCATATCATATTATGTTTATATCTACCTGATACAAGCCCTACACTTGGTTCACGACCAAAAACGATTGGATTTCTATGAATTTCTGGTGACGAAAGTGATCTCCGGCCAGGCTGCAGAACGGCCTAAGGGAGTTGCCCGTAAGGCCGAAGCCTTCGGCTGGGTTCTGACCGATTCCCAAGAGAAATTGTAGATGATTTACCAAAAATGGTGACTAATCTGATAACTATTTATAGTTGATGAACTGACTAAGTATTTATAGTTGACTAACTAGAAAAATAGTTGACTTTGCTCTTAAAATGGTGATGCAGTTTTGTATGATAACCAAGATCCATGTAGAAGGATTCCCGACAATGCTGGGATGACCACAACTCATATACCATGTTTTGAGCATGGCGCATATGAATTACAATCCCCAAAAGTGGTGTAGGGAAAATTTGGAGGACCTCCAATATTTCATGGCCAACATCATGTTTGCCCCCAAGCAAACCCCTCAATGAATCTACTTAGACCTCAATGAATCTACATGGGTGAAAGTCTCAAGTCATAATGGGTATAGTATTGGTATATTACCCCAATATTTTGAGGTACTTGGGAAGGTCTAAATTGAAATTAATGATGCTTTGCAGCTTGGCTGAGGAGCTGCAGAAATACTGCAACTCGCAACTTGGTGGCAACATAGCAAACTGGAAAATCACCATTTTTTTATAGGAAAATCACAATTTTTCATAGAAAAAACACCATCTATAACTGGGAACACCAGCCATATGTAACAAACTACCAGAGAGTATCGGAGATGAGGGAGTCCACCATTTTCGATCATTTGGTTCTTAGCCAAGCCAATCAACAATCATTACGCCGTAACGTTCATCTTCAAAAAATGGGGCCCCATGCAATGGATGATGAAATTGGTCCATGCGATGCTGAAGAACTGAACAAGGAATTCACCACCTATAACCCATAGGATCCATGTATGCTATATATATGGTAACATGGATCCCATCAATATACCCCATTTATGTTAGCATATATACCAGCACCATGGATCCGTCATGGGTAAGAAAAATGGCACGGGCCCATGGCTATGATCCAAGCAGTTTCTGGGATCCGAGCAGAGGGTCGAGAGGCGCGGCTTGCACCAGCCAGATATCCAACCAGCTAAGGGTGGTGCAAAAGTTTCGCTTCAAAGAACTGGAGGTCAGTGGTGGTGAACAAATCATGGGGAGCGAAAAAAAAGGGTTCTGATATGTTCTGAAAACTCCTTTAAAGGCGGACGCTATATGTCATAAGCGATAATTTACCCATGGTGCTGAGTTATAAGTTAGTGCTTCACGAATGATTATGATATATATATATGTATTTTATTACTTTGAGAACGGCAGATTCACTGATAACCCAATCTGATTCTGATCTTTTTGTATGTGGGCTGTAAAGTTATCATCGACTAATGAGATGTAGTAGTTTTGCAATACTTTTTCCAACTACCTCTAAAGGCTGTGTCTCCGGCTTGAGATGTAGGCCCACAACCTTCCAGAACCCTAGTCAACTCGCTAGAATTTATGGTGGATTTGGGGGATCAAATCGAGGTTTCCAAAATCATCCATTTTAGATTGGGATTTTCCATGGAATAAAACATCCAGCTATGCGGGGAGACGGCACGTGGTTGATCTTGTTTGACTTGGAAGGTCGTCCAAACGGACAACAGCAAGATGTTCCAGATGCAGGTGGTGCTTGGTGATCGCATCTTTCCGAAGGCATGCCGACTGGTGATGGCGACTGGTGATGGCGACTGGTGATAGACTTCTGATTGCTGTTGTAAGACGTATACAGAAGTTGCAGATTACAGGAGTTTATAGGGATATTCCCAGTTATATCCAGTTATAACTACAACTACATTTTTTTTAAAAAATAACATTGATTTATGCTGTATATTCTATGCATGTAATAATCCATACATGGGTCACGAACCATGACCAAGATTGACCAACTTGGCCAGGGGCTTGCCACAACGAAACCAGCAGCACAGGACAGACGGGCCCGCGGCTTGTCGATGTGTTCCCCCATGTTCCCCCCATTTTCTGTTGGCCAAATCGGGGTGCCCTGGTTTAAACCCAAGAAATCCCAAGAAGTTCAGATTTGGCAGGACAAGGCAGCGGAACTGGCTTTGTTGGAACTGCGAGGCGGGGTCATGGCATGTCATGGCCTTGGCCACGTATCGGCTAAATTGCCATCATACAACCAGCCTCAACCAGCAATGGACATCCAGGATGCGTCGATTGGGGAACTCATGTGCTAAGGGAAACACTGACATTCACCGTTCTTTTGGCTGTTTCCCTGTGCACGTCCCTTTCGGTGATTTTCGGTGCTTGGTGGACATCTGTGGTGGGCATCCCTACTCATCTATCCAGAAAGAGTTGACCCCCCCATAAGTTGGGATATTTTTACCCTATAACTCTAGTACAAAAGTGGATGTTAATAACAAGAGTTTTTTCGATATCGTCATAGGGTTTTCATATCATTTTATATCCCAACAAAAGTGCTGGGCTTTCCTGTTGTGAAAAATCTCCACTGAAGTTTCACTGGAGCACGTTTCCAATGACGACCAGGCGCTGGAGACGAAGGTGACCAAGGCAGCTGTTTCCCCGAAGCGCCAGTCGTCATGGGACGGTCATGGGAAACCCCCCATTTTGGGATTATTGTTGGATGTTGGTGAGTCCCAACTTGGTGGATTTTGCTGCTGATTTTGCGGAAGACCTGAAGACCTTGGCGGGTTCTGTGTAGAGATCTTCAATGTCTGGAGGGTTCATCAATGGAGCAAGAACCGGAGGTGTCCAATCCAGTCGGAAGTTTTTCAAGGAGATCACTGGCTCAACTGGCTCAAGATCATTCAACCATGTTTGTTCCACTGTTGGTTCAAATAAGACTGGGAAATTCACATAGCTATGGAAAAATCACAATTTTTAATAGGTAAACGATTTCTATGGCCATTTCCAATAGCCACCTCAGTTTATCCCATTAAATCTCCGTCTATCCCATTCATATTCATATCGCATTAATTCCCATTACCCTCTGGTGATGACTAACAGTTGGCTATTGAAAATGGCCATAGAAATAGTGGATTTTCCCATTGAAAATGGTGATTTTCCATAGCTATGTAAACGTTTACCAGAGGGTAAATCCCATTAAATACCTATGAATCACCATGAATCACTGGCGTCATGATGTCCCGTAAGTCGCACCAGGTGCACCACGTCCGGCGCCGCCTCCGCCTCCTCCGCCTCTTCCGCCGCCGCCGGAGGCGCTGAAACAACACAGCCGTTCAGCCGTTCTACAATGTGGTGCCCCCAAGATAGCTAAGTTGGTTTATAACTCTAATAACTAGGACTTATGGTAGATATATCTATAGTTAATGGGATTGTAAACCAACTTATAACTGGGGGGGTACCACCTTGTAAGGTAGTAGGGATTTAACCAATTACTGTAATATGGGAAAACATGGGGATATAACGGGATATAATTAATGACATTAATGGGATATTAGCACGTAGGATTGTATAAGTGATTGGGATGTATTGGGATTTTATAACCAGCAATCTGATCTTTGGGTGTGTCTGAAAATGGGATATATGATATATATATATATATATTATATACCCTCAAAAATGGCGTTTAGTGGGGTGACATATTATCAACCGCTGTCGAGACAACCCCCATGAAAAAGGGGTATGGGAGAGAGTAATTAAGGCTCTAGCCAACTTAGTCAACTACCAAATATATTCAGATCATATATAATATAACATACATAAAATATCATAAAATCATGGTATAGCTATGTGCGAATATGGATTCAAGGTGTACACACTTAGCTTAACCTGGAGCTGGAAGGACAGCTCCTGTCCTTGGACCCTCCGTGGGTTCGATGAAATTTCGCCGACCAGCATCGACCAGCAAAGATGTTTGAAGAGCAAAGTCTTCAAAGATCAAAGCCTGGTTACCCTCTGGTAATTTAACATAGCTATTGAAAATGGCCATTTATAGTGAATTTTCCCATTAAACATGGTGATTTTCCATAGTTATGTTAGTTTACCAGAGGGTAAGTATTGTAACGTGTTGTACCCTCCCCTAATCAAACATGGCATTTCTTTGGGTGATTTTCCTATTGAACCCCGCATGAAACGAGTGAATTTCAACATCTTTCATGGAATCGCTGGAATGATGGGAATTTAGGATTCGGGGAGTTTGACTCCCCATAGCTGGCCGTAAGTTTCAGCTTAGTAAACCAATGTCATTCAGCCAGAATATGTATATAATTGTATGTATAATATATATATATATACACCATATAATCTGTATACACACATAGAATTCGTGGATTTGCTTCAGGACCTCCCTAAACAACAAACATGAAAACAAGTCATTCCCCAGCCATTTCGTGTGTTTCCTGCCAGCAAATCCAGGACATGGGGGACCAGCGCTAAGCAAATAAACATTCGTCATGGTCAATAACGACTTGGATGTCTGGGGTACTTTCGTTGGACACAAACATATAGATTCTATATAGTTTTAACCAGCTAGGAATCCAGGAAAAACCCCAGGAATAGATATGATTCATGAACAAATCCAGGAAAAAGCCAGGTATAAACTAACATAGCTAACGAACTGGGTATCCCCACATCATATTTTTGTTGGTTGCATACTCCATTATACCCCAATTCTATCCACAAACATGTTGTTTTAACATGTCTGAACCTATAAAGCTAAGGTAGCTATCTACAAATTCCTTTGGAGGATCCCCTTGCAGGCGCAAGTTACGCAAGTTCCTGCGGAGAGGCCCAAAGGAATCGACCGACAGGAGCGAGATTCGAGCCATTTTCGAGCTATTCCTGGAGCTTCATATGGGAGTGGGTCAAAATCCCATTATTATCAATTGGAATGGGATGAACATTCATTTACCATCTATTTTTGGGTTCACTAAGTACCAGGCTTTTGACCCATAGCCATATAATATTTTAATATTATGATTGGTTAAGAATGGTGATATGATATTATGTGAGATTGTGGTAATGAGTTTGGTTTGATAGTATGATCTGATATATGATATACAATAAAAGCAGGTTTGGTGTATTATAATAATACACATCGATATATTATTGATAATATTATCGATGTATTATAGATCTATATTTCAATATACTATTATTACTAGTATAATACTATAGTAATGGATAATATTCTATAATATTGTATCATGCATCGATAATAAAAAAAACACGATGGATGGATGCAAGCAATGGTGTCAACATCCAGTCGTCCCACCTGTTGGGACTGGATACAATGAATTGGTTAATGATAAATTTGGCTAAGAACTATTATTGGTATACAGAAATATGATAATATTATTGGTTCATGATAATATACAGTTATATTGGTTAAGAACTATGATTGGTTTGATTACTTAGGGTACCCCTCATGTATGGAAACCTCCATTTCTCCAAATTAGAGACTATCCTGGTTGGTGGTTTGGAACATGAATTTCATGACTTTCCATATATTGGGAATAATCGTCCCAACTGACGTTCATATTTTTCAGAGGGGTAGGTGTACCACCAACCACCAGATTTGTTTTGATTACTGTATGTATTTCTTAACTAATAATTACTCTTAACTACTCACAACTACTCATAACTACTATAACTATATTATTAATGATAATTATTTGATAATATTGGTTAACTATTATATTCTATAAGATTATTAATATTTATTTGTTTTGAGTAGTAGCGAATTGTGGTTAATAGTGGTTAGTCATGGGTAAAAATGGTGACTTTAACACTGGTTAACCATTGACAATGGCTATTAAAATTGTTATTAGCAGTGAATGTTAATAGTGGTTAATAATGGTTATGATAATGGTTCAAGCACAATGGTTCAATAATACTGTTTTTTTTTTTAAACCAATGATTAACGATTTATATAATGGTTAATGAATGCTACTGTATACAATGATGGTTAAGGGTGATTAATGGTTATAATGGTGATTAATGCCTAGTCATGGCTGTTAATGATTATTAGTGGAATTACCCTCCGGTAATAACAATCTTTAGCAGTCATGGCAGTTAATGTTTTTATGTTAAACAGTCATGATTCATGGTTGTTAATGGTGATAATGGTGATGGATGATTACTGTAGTGATTCTTTTCATGGATGAACCGGTAATCCAACGTCCCAGAGGAGAGTTTTATCGATTTAAGCGAATGAATAATTAGAGAAAAGGTGTGTGTGTGTATGTGTCTCTTCTTTTATTTATATATATGGACATGTTTTGTAACTTGATGTTTGTAGCAGATCATTCCAATTAACTTGTTTGTTTGTTTTTTCCTGGGAAAGTATAGCAAGGTGCTATTAGTTTGCCTACATTGTTACATACATCGGTGAGTTACGTGTTCAACAAAAAGCATCCTTTGGGTCTGCAACAATTCAGCTCTCCGAAAGGTAACCAGCCCAATAATCTTAAGGGCTTTTTGACCACCAACTACCACTCATAAGGGTTTAACCTTCTATTGCGGGGGGGGTCACCTTCCTGGGTACTGTAGTTGAATCCCCGTGAGGGAAATTCTAGACCCTCTTTGAGTGCCTTGGACTTGGAGGGTCGAAAAGAAACATGAGAAGTAACCATGAAGTCCTGTAAGGCCAATCGCTCGGATAATCATAATCTGGACTGGAGTTTTGAAGATCAATGGAAAATCTGGCTGTTTGTCGACATGGCTCTTCACCATTGATCTTCGGCGACTGCAGCGATGATCCACCGCGGTAGTGCATCCCGCTGTGACACACAACGGTGCTGACATCTGACCATGAAATGGTGGTTGTTCGGGTCCAAACCAGTTCTGTGTACCCTCTGGTAAACTAACATAACTATGGAAAATCACCATTTTTAATGGGAAAACTCACTATCAATGGCCATTTTCAATAGCCAACTGTTAGTCATTACCAGAGGCCAATCAGGTACAGTGTGTGTGACATCTGCATGGGTTCGTCTGAAAGGGTACCACTAAATTTGATGGTTCATTTTCTTGTGATTCGCGCCGTGATTCCCATCATGAAATGGCTATTTTTCAGGGCGAAAATGTGGGGATACTGCAATTGGTAGCACTGGGGAGCGTTTCCAATGAATTCAAATCACACCAAAGGTTCAGCCAGAGGGTCAAAATGACCAATGAAATGATGTTTCCTATCCTCAATCGAAATGTGATGCCGACTGCCGGCAAACTCATAGCAAGGCCAACACGACGGCCATTTTCGGGTCACAACGCCACGGTGGCTGCAAGGGGCCCCTTTGGGCAACAATGGCCGCGGCAAATGGAAGGACCTGGCAAGAACTCAAGAGCTGGACAAATGACCATGAAAATTCTCAGAATTGCATGGACCCAAAAATTCTTCTGAGTTCTTGCTGGTTCCTGCAAGTTGCATCGCTGGAGATCCACTCACAGCTTTCTGCTTCCGGGAGCTCACTATGAACTCGGGATCGAATTTCAGCATCCATCGGCGATGCTTCATGAAGTATGCCAAGCTTTCGCGGCATTCAGGCTTCTTCTTGGTTAAGCCATCAGACAAATTCCAATCACTAGCTAACCAAATCAGCTTCGTGCCACAGTCTGGCAGTGACTGCTTGAGCTGTTCAGCTTGCAAGGCGGCACGAATGTTGGAAAGTCCTAACAGTGGTGACTCATTAATTATTATGCTATCATAGCCACCACGGCTATCTGTACCAAGAAGTCCAGGCACTAAACGAACTTCAGCTACGGATGCTGTCAGCAAATCGCGGCTCTCAGAAAGCTTGCCAGCGCCATTCAGTTCAGCCCAAAGTAGCCGGGTGCGGTAGACCGCATCTTCAGTCTCGACCAAGGCTTGCACTTCAGCATCGTTTGAAGAGATGGCCACGCGCTTGAGTTTCCAGCTTTTCCAGGCAACTAAAACCATTGGGTTTGGCTTACCCATAGCTATTTCAGGGCCAGCTAGGAAAACAAGCATACCACCAGTAGAACCCCCTCTAGGCCTATTATTATGGGCTTGATCCCCCAAACCAACAACACAAACATCTTTCCAAGTCTTGACATGTGGCAGCTTGAAGAACTTGAGCTGAGTGCTATGCTTGCGAAGCTCACGCACCAGCTCTTGGATCTCCTGGGCAGTGCGCATCACCGGTGAACCTGCAAGCTCGGTGATCAGCAAGTTGCAACGCGCGCAAATCAAAGGTTGTGTTTGCACCGCAAGCCACTGCAAAGCTCCCAGAGAAGTTCTGCAAGCGCTGATCTCCTTCGGAGTCATAGTTGCATCACCTTGGCAAAAACGTTCTGGTGTGATATCAATATCTTGCAAAGTCTCCACATAGTATGATTGATCCACAACTAAACAACGGCCAAGGGTTGCATCATTCACAATCTCCAAATCAATGCCAGCATGTCGGTAGGCATTCAGTTTCACGCTGCCCCACTTGTAGCGCTGATCAATGGACTGCTTGATCTGCTTCCAGGCAGCGCTGTTTTCATTGCCAGCGCGGTGGAAGTCGTCCACATGGCCTGCCATGAAACCAAGAGGACGAGTCAAAACATCACCATTTTCATCTTGAACCTTTTCAGTCCACAGCCAGAAACATTTGTCACCCTTGATACGAGTGCCACCAAGCTCAAGCATTGACTGGTTGACATTCTCCCAGAGATTGTGAGGAGCAGTTGTACTGCCGTAAAAGTTCTTGAGGATTCGCATGACACCACCTTCAGGAATTTGAAGTGCTTCTCTAAGTTCTTTCACTCCTGAAGTCCACAATCTCTTTTCCTCTTCAGTGGGAAGAGTTTGAAGGAAGGCTGTGCTCATGTCAATGCCTTCTATGTTCCATCCCATTTGCATGACAAGCTGGTAGCTGAGGTTGCGAGTCAGCACCGCTTGCACAGGAGAACTGGTCTTATGAGCTTCGGTCAGCAGGTCGGGATGTTCATATCCCAGCAAAACGATTCTGGCTTTCGCCTTTCGGCGGGCATCAGCTGTCAAAGTGGTGCTATCAGGGCGTTCTGAAACTTCTTGTCGAGCCTCATCAAGCGACTCTTCTGGTGTTGGTTTCCATGTCAACACCCAGCGGCAGCGCATCAATCTGCCAGAGTTCTTTGCTTCATTCTCTTCAGCTAAATCCAAGCATCTGCGGACTGCAGCATTGGAGATGAAGGAGTTCACTTCCTTGGTCTTGGCACGGTCGAAAAGTTCGCGATGTTCAGGTTTCAGGCGGGTCAACCTGACTTCGCAATCTCGCATCTTTTGTGCCAAAAAGAGGCTTGGATGTTTGACAAACTGTTGTTTTTGGCGTTGAGGTCACATCCAACTCTACAGAAAGCATGTAGCACTCCTCCACTTCCATAAAACAGTTGTAGAGTGCTTGTTCTTCATCTTCAACACGCTGTCTTTTGGATTCAGGCTCATTTGAAGGAGGTGGTTTGTCAGAAGAAGCTCGGGGTTGTAGAAGAGGTTGTTGTTGAGAAAGGCCATCATCCGGAGCATCACTATCACCACGGCCACTGCCTATGCCAGTGTTGCCAACATCTTCATCGCTATCAGGAACGTATGTGGGATCACCATAGTCATTCAAGGGATCATCAGCTGGAGTAGAAGGTGATGGAACCACATCGTTTTCATCCAGTGCAGTGTCAGGTGGCACTGGTGGCAATTCTTCCAAAATGGAAGGCATGGGCTCAGCAGGTGGTGGTAAAACTTGATGCCACTTGGGTCCGGACTTTGTAGTGTGTCGCGTTTTGGGCACATACTCAGGCATTTTCATGGTGTCAGCATCAGGTTGAAGGGGAAGATGTGGACCCTCTTCCTCGTTCTCGTCAGGCTCCTCGTTGGTGACATCGATGTAGGAACGGTTTGGAATCATATCAGCTAGGCTCTGCCATTGAGCAGGATCTTCAGGGTTGTGAAGCTCATATTCCAAACGTTCTCTTTCATTGACTTTTCGCACACTATGAACTGAACATCGATGCATAGAGCCACCAACGATGACCCAGACAATGTGCCTACGCTCATCACCTTCATGTTGTCCATGGATGACTTCATGAAACACCACACGTCCAGGACCAAGCCATTGAGGTCGGCTGATCTTTTTGAGACCGCCACGGGGACCACCATCAGCGGAGTATTTTCTCCAAATCTTCACTAAGTCCATGGGCTTGAAGACCTGGAGAGGTTGCCTGACCTTGCTGTTCTTGAGTTTCACCAAGACTCGTTGCGCATGAACTTGACGAGCCATCGCCTCAGCTTCGCGGCGATTCACCATCAGCTGCGTAAAGTCCAAAGCAGCGGTTGATGGCGTCAGTTGAGCCATAGCCCGCTCATCTTCATCATCCAAGGTGAACTTTTGGCCATAGACCCATTGATACGGTGAAAATCCACGCACCGTTTCGGTTGAGTTCAAAGCCATTGTGGTCAAGGCCAATACATTTTGAACAGACATCTCAGGATGAGACAAGGTCAGTTTGGAGGCAACCGTTTTGATCTCTTGGACACATCGCTCCATAATGCCATGACTCCAGCTCTCCTTCACGGGTGGCACTTCCAGTTGGATGCCCACGTCAGAAAGAAATGAGCGCATCAGGTCACCTCTCATAGTGAGTGCATTGTCAGGCACCAAGATCTTCATTTTGGGTTTGTCTTTCAGCCAGCACTGATAAAGTCCATCCAGTACTTCTTGGGCTGATTCAGTTTGTTGTTGGTTGATGCCGTACTCTCTCACCACATGGATGACCTTGAAGTGCGTTGCAAAGTCCATGAACGCAAGTATCTTGTACTTCTTGTCAGAGTGTGGTGGATTCCATTCGAAGGCATCAAGTCCAACCATTTCCCACGCTGAAGGTGTTGCTCTCAAGGAAGCTGGAGGAATCTTGCCACTTGAATCACCGCCTCGTTGAAGAGCATGGCAATCATCGCAGTGAAGTTTGAGAGCAGCTTCAACTTGCCACTTGGCTCGACCACTGTCCTTCACTATCCTGGCCAAATTGTAATTGTTGGGGTGGCCAGCAGCTTTGTGATACTTCAGAAGTTGAAGTTGCCAAGTGCGAAGATCTTGTGCTGAAGGTTGTTCATCTTGGAGCATCTGCGGCATCAAGTCCAACCGCAAGGTGTGTTCTTGCTCAGCCATGTTAAGGTGAAGAGGTAGTGGAGAGTGAAGTCGATGAAGCCACTTTTCAGGATAAAGTTCTCGGCGCCAGTGTTGTGCAATGGACTTGCACATCTTCCAAGGGTAGTACGCACTGCGGCTGGTCTCCAATCCCTGCACATAGTCGTGGTCATGGTTGCCCACGCAGGTCTTGTTGCGGTAGGTCTGGAAGAAGCTGTTGGAGCTTGTGGCAATTGTCCATCGCTTCTGCAGCAAAAGTCCAAGCTCAGAGCGAAGGTCATACCTGCAACCATCGATTCGACCAAAAAGCCAATCACGGTCAAGTCGATGAAGCTCACGTTGCAAGGTTTCCAGCCAGGATTCTTTCCAGCCATAGCATCTTGTAGGCCATTCCCAGAACAGCTCAGTGTCAGGGTATGCAGTGAGCATCTCCACCAGGAAGGGTATGAGCAGCTTGAACATAGCTCGTTCTTTGCGCCGGAACTTCTCCAAGTTTTGCTTTTGCTCAATGGACCGGTAGTTCAAAGAAGTCCATGGGCACCAGTATGTGCATCTTGTTGAAACCCAGACACGTTTAGGTCTTTCACGGTGGAATCTTTCTCGCAGCTCATCATAGGTCGAAGGCTGGTACAAGTCATAGCCTTGGTGAAGGTTGATGCGGGAAGCTCGAAGTCCTTCAGATTGACAGGCAGCGGTCAGCCAGCTGTCAGGTGCACAAAAGAGCTCCCAGCAATCTACCCTTTCATCACCACGTAGTAGACCTTGAAGACCTACTTGAGCATGAAGCATCAGCATTGCCATCAAGGATGCTGCAGCACGGCCAATCTTCAAAGGTAGGCCACAAAACCTTGCAGAGCCACCAACTGTAGGATTCCCTTCTTCACGAAGACATTCCATATGTTGGGGTGGCGACATTGAATTGGTAGAGGCCGATGCAAAAGGCTTTTTATTTTGTTTTTGAGGATTTTTGGAAGTCGCAAAAGTCTTTTTGTTTTGTTTTTGGTGATTTTTGGAGGAGCTGCCAATCATCTTCGACTCGACAAAGTGCAAAAGCTCAAAGTCCCCAGCTAAAGACGCATCCTCAGGCTCATTGTTGTCCTGAGCATTCATCACCGCAGCAAAGGAGTTGCCATGAAGTTGATCACAAGGGAGGCTAACCATCTTCGTATCAGTCTCAACCAAACGATCAGCAACATGAAAACGGTTCGCATCATCAGCAGGCTTCATGGATTGCTTGGAGGCATGTATGCCTTCGGGTATGGGATCACTTCCACCTCGGAGTCGGGCGGAGACATGGGAAACACTTGAACTCGTTCTGCAGCAATCTCTCTCAGCCTGGCAATTTCGTCTCCGGTCAGCATTGACAGCAGACTCTGGGCTTCGTTCTGATCCTCCTCGCATAGCTGGGTCACTGGCGCGGCAAGGAGCAGCTGGAGGTGAGCTTTGAGGCTTTGGTGGTGGGCCTCCATCAAGGTCAGCTTGGCTTTGTGCGCCTCCATCGCCATCGAAGATTCCACCAGCCTGATGCAAGTCTTCACCATGCTGGCATTGGGCTTTTGGTCCTCGGTCAAGTGCTCCTTCAGCATCTTCAGGGCATTGGTAATGACCTCCGGGGCATTCTGGGTCATGTACTTTGCTGGAGTACCTTGACGAGGAACATAGCTCAGCCTCAGGCCGCATGTTGCACAATCCGACCAAGTGCCCGAAGCGTTGCCACCATTGGTCTTGTGCTCGTGAGAGCCGTTGCAAGGCCATGTTGATTGGCTGCGAGGATCTCGAGGATCTGCTGGTAGAGCTCGGTCGTGCTCGAGAGGCAACGAAGGGCTCTTTGGAGCTGCCACGGACTTGCTCTTGGGACCCATGGGAATCAGTCTCAAACGTCACAGATTTCACTTGAGACTTCTCAGCTTTTGTTGTTGATAACAATTGCTTTCTGCGATCACAAAGAAACTGAAAACCATGTGAAGGAACTGCATGTTGTGAATCTGAAACTTGTGCATGAGAAACTGCCATCAACTCCATTGGACCCAATTCCAACCACGGCCAGGATCCCTGTCCTGAAGATTGAGGCGAAGCGCCATCCATGGTTGCCGCAAAGGTGTCAATGGCCTCGGCATCGGAGATCACACCACACAGGTAGTACACCAAGTCAATCATGAAGTGACCCTTGGGGTTCTTGTGCAGGCAATAGGGTTCAGCTTCAGGTTCAGCACCATGTAGTGCAAATCCATCAGAAAAATCCAGAACCAAACCGATCTTTTGTAAATGATCCATGCCAACAAGAATGGGTACCAGTTGTGAAGGTGAAGACCAACCATAGACAAAACCATCGGGGTCAGGCAAGGTATACATCTCAAAAGTTCTTGCAGGATTTTTCGCTGAAACCAAGGTCAAATGGTATAGTGATTGTCCCCATTGGCCAGAACCATACCTAAAATAAGGTCTTCGAGAATCATCCAAATGAACACCAATTTGAGGATCGATTTCACGCAACTTGGAAATCAGCAACTTTGCGGATGACTCTGGTCCCGCTGAAGCAGTTGCACCACAATCCAACATACCAAACCCAAGGGGAACTGAACGGTGAGGACCCGTCGTGGAAGGTTGTGAGGTGGAAAACAACTCTAATGGGAAAAGCTCCAAACAATAGGCAGAATGGTAGTCATAGTCCATGACATAGGTATTCAAGGAGGGTTTGTACTTGCCCTTGACGTTCTTACCATATTTGCCCTTGCCCTTGAACATGCCATAGTTTTCATAGCTATCCCCATACCAACCATCGTCCCAACTTACCGCATGAAGACCCTTGAATTTGCCCTTGCCTTTGCCCTTCAACAAATACGCATCAAGTTCAGCTTGGGATAAATGTTTTCCAACTCCTTTTCGGGGACCAGGGTGTAAACGATCAGGACAATCTCGAACATAATGGTTTCCCCCACAGTTGAAACATTTTCCCTTACCTTTTCCAGAGTCATGCGCATGTTGGCCAAATCCACGGTCACGACGCAAGGAGGCTGTAGCTTGTTGAGCTTGGGACCAGGTGCGTCTTGCCTCATTGAACATTGCTTCAGCCGAACGCTCGGCATCCATCGCCTCTTTCAAGGCTGGATCATCAGGATCAGGCGGATCCATTTCACCAACATCGCCACTTGGGCTTCCAGAATCATTCCAATGAGCAGCAAAAGCATCCCCTGTTGAGTAGTTTGAATCACCCCAATCAGAAGAATTCCATCCATCATCAAGCCAGTTGTATTGTTGCTCATAGTACGCACTCCCATCAGAAGGCCATGATTCAACCCAGTGGTTATGATGAAATGAAGAAGGAGAGGACAAGGTCGGACTTTTCCCGCTACCAAGCTGTTCATCCCAAAGAACCTGAAGAGCGTCAGCAATGCTTTGATAGTCCAACTTGTTACCTGTAGAGGCAAGCACATCACGCCATTCATCAGAGCTCAAACATGCAGCTACTAGTAATCTCCAACCTCGCATCACATCCAAAATAAAACTGTCCATGGGGCTCAAAACATCCTCAGCACCATGTGGTTTCCGGTGAGTGGCAACTTTTCGACTAGGGCTCTGAGTTGGTGAGCCATCCATGTTCTGTCGTCTTGCTTGTTCAGAAGGGCCAATCACTGGAGAACCTGGGTCAGATGTTTGAGGCACTTCGGCATATCCATCAGGCCGCTGAGAAGGACCTGCATCACCCTGCACGGGTTCATCATCATCTTGAATCACACCACGCCATTCACCCCAACGACCATTCCACCAAGGCTCAGGGTCCTGTGCTGGGGCTCCAGAACTGCCTGCACTTAGGCCAGTGATCTCAGGAAGATCGAATTGTCGTTGTGATGGGTCCAAACCATCACGTTCCTCCTTCAATTGCAGCAAGGCCTCTTGAAACTCCTCGAACCCAAGAGCTTCGCGCACCAGAAACTGCGAAATCGGCTCATTGGGTCGCCTTCGAAAACTGAAATATTCACTCATAGTTGATGCAGCATTCGGCAGAGACCTCCGTACTAAGGGAGAGGAAGCAAAACAACGTAGCATCTTTGAAACACCTTGTTCACCCATGAAGTCACGATTATGCCAACTCATAGACAAAAGTCTTGCAGCACCAGTTAATCGCGTAATCAGTTTCGCAGCAGCATACTGTCGTTGATTTGCTTTTGTTCCACTCATGAACCATGCCACTTCCTTGCAGTATCGTCTCCATGTTCGAGAGCTGCCATCCCATGAAGGGACATAACTGTCACTTTTCTCTTTGGAAAACATCCCCAAAGTCACCAGTTCAGCAGAGCGCCCAGGTAGCGTAAATGGGCAGGAGTCAGTCGCTGGAGCGTAGACTGCTCCGCTACCAATGCAATTGGTAGCACTGGGGAGCGTTTCCAATGAATTCAAATCACACCAAAGGTTCAGCCAGAGGGTCAAAATGACCAATGAAATGATGTTTCCTATCCTCAATCGAAATGTGATGCCGACTGCCGGCAAACTCATAGCAAGGCCAACACGACGGCCATTTTCGGGTCACAACGCCACGGTGGCTGCAAGGGGCCCCTTTGGGCAACAATGGCCGCGGCAAATGGAAGGACCTGGCAAGAACTCAAGAGCTGGACAAATGACCATGAAAATTCTCAGAATTGCAGATACCACATGTTCACCCAATTATCATTCTCAATTGGTAAAATCAGTTAAATTGTCATTGTTCATATTGTTCCTGGTTGGTGAAAATGCAACAAAATGATTGGAATCATACATATTTCTCATTCACATATACTGCTTTCTCATTTTTCTTCCTCATTAGGGTACCATGTTTGATGTTTTCTTTCATTGCAAGATCAACAATCGAAGTTTTAGATGGCCTGTTGACGCGGATCTCGCCCCTGCCAACACCGGCAGGAACTTCAGTTCCTTTGTCAAAGGCGCAATCTCTTTGAGATTCTGATCTTTAAGCCTCATTGGCACTCATTGGCTACGATCCAACAATTTCTGTATAGTATAATACTAATGTGTTTATATATATACTGTACATGTATGTGTAGATATAATTTTATCATATGTGGCATAAGTTTGTCGGCTTTGCCTGCATGGCTGGGAACTAGATATCGATCTGAATTTCAGAGGGTTAAGCAACTGGTTAGCCGTTGATCGCATTCCTCTACATTGAATCCCCGCCAATAATCCTAATACATGACCTAAGATGATTATATTGAGATAAATCCAATTCTCAAGCACGGTTTCCAGCAAGGCCGTTGAATCGATTTTAATGGTAGGGCAGCTAATTTCCCAGAAATGGTTGAAGGGCATATATAATGGGTCTTCCCTTATATGATACTTGCCTGGTAAGTCCATCGTTGTTGCCTAAGAGACTTCGGTCTTCCTCAAGACCGATCCGTTGACGAAACTCAATATCTTTTCCTCATATTTTTCATGGATGAAACATGATTTTACTAGGGAAAATGGTGATTTTACTAGGGAAAATGGTGATTTAAGCCACCAGTTTGGATGACATTCAACCATGATTAAAGCCCCATGAACCCCGCATTTTCCCAAGGCGTGGCTGGAGCTTCGCCTGGGACGAGCAGGCGAACTGTTCGTTGGACCGGTCCAGAGGATCATGTTTCTAAAGCCCATGAACAAAACATCCATTAACCATCCGTAAAGTGGGGTTTATAAACATGACATTGATGTTTTCATGGATGTTTTCATGGATGTTAATAGGATTATACTAGTTATATAATGTTATATATACCATCCATCAGTGGTTAAATGTTTATTCACTTACAATGTAGTGTTTTCCAGTTATAAACTGGTTTATAAGCCACCAAAACACTAGCTCGATATATCTTAGCTAAGTATGGGCACCACCTTGTGGGAGAGTTAGCTCGATGAATCCCATGGCCATTTAACGGGAAGCGATTGATTGGAGGTACAAGGCCATATGAGCTATGGCCAATACTCATGGTTAATAACCATTTATAGGGGCTAGTCATCCAATGGTTCATAGGGATTTATAATAACCATAAGAAAAGGATCCTTATTATGGATGGGATGACCATCAACCATATAGTGAGTATTGACCATGGCTCATATGTAAGGCCTATGTAAGGCTCTAAATTTCAGCAATATCCCCACAAAATAGGGCCAGAAATATGGTACTAACGTAGCTCCATCTGTTGGATCCTGAAATTCCCATTGATTGAAAAGTATGGTAGTTTTTCCCATGACCATGGTTAGTGAAACATAGTGAAATGGTCATGGGAAAAACTACCATAACTATTAAGGGAGGGTTATTTATATCCTTTTTTTTCCGTTTTGGGTTTTTGTTTTGGATTCCTGGTTCCTTGCTTTGCTCTGCTCCTCTGCTTTTCTGCTTCTTCTCTGCTTTTCTGCTTTTTGATTCTCTGCTTTTCTGCTTCTTTGCTTCTTTGCTTCTCTGCTTTTCTGTTTCTTTGCTTTTCTGCTTCTCGGCTTGTCTGCTTCTCTGCTTTTCCGCTTTTTGCTTCTCTGCTTTTGCTTTTCTGCTTTTCCCGGCTTCCTTGTTTTTCTGCTTTTCTGCTTCTTTGCTTTTGCGCTTTTTGCGTCTCTGCTTTTCTGCTTTTTCTAGTTTCCTTGCTTGTGTGCTTTTCTGCTTCTTTGCTTCTCTAATTTTCTGCTCTTTCTACATTTTTGTTTTTCTTGCCTTTACTACAACAACAAGAACAACAACAAGAACAACAACAACAAGAAGAAGAAGAAGAACAACAAGAAGAACAACAAAAACAACAAGAAGAACAACAAGAACAATAACAACAACAATAAAAAGAACAACAAGAACAATATAAACAACAAACACAAGAACAAGATCAAGAACAAGAACAAGAAGAACGACAACAAGAACAAGAACAAGAACAAGAACAATTGGCATGAGATGATTCGCCTCAAGCCAAATGGAACTATTCCGCGGAACGCTTTCATATATTTTCTTTATATATACAAAAGTATAAATACTGATGTATATATATTTACGAATCACTATATTTCTTTCATATATATATACATATGTATACATTTGTATTTACAACTATATAAACATGCTTGCGGTTTCTTATGAATATGCACTTGCGTATCTATCTATCTATGTTTTTTTGCCTAACTGAGTATGTGTTCCTTTATTTCTTTACTGCATATATATATATATGGGATCCGGTCCAAAATCTCTAATAAGGAAAAGTAAATACAGTTGCGAAAGTAGATGTAGACAATACGTTTTGAGTCTTCGTTCTGTAGCGGGCCCCCAGCTAAACACGGAACTTCTGAAGCTTGGCGCTAGGTTTGCGCTAGCATCGTGCAAACGCGCTTTTTGGTTTCAACATGCCCGGGAAGTCGCCATGAAAATGATGCAAAAACTATGGCAAACATGCTGCAAATACCGTGGAAATAGCAGCTTCCAGGTTCAAAATGTTGCAAAGAGTAAGGAAAATTGGACAGAACAGGAAATCAAAAAAAAACTAAAACGGAAAAAACCCAAAACAAGTCCAGAGCCATTATTAAGTTAAATGAACCTACCATTGTTTAGTGAAAACTACCATTATGGTTAAGTGAAATGGGAGTCAGTGAAACATTGAAAACTTGTTCCCATTGAAAACATTTTTCTGTTGAACACTTTACCATTGAAATAAATCACAATCCCATGAAAAAATGGTTATTCCCACGGATTTTTCATGGGATAGTGAAGTTAAAGCAACTGGATGGTTTCATCCTTTATATGGATGTTTGTTGGCAAATGGAGCATATAAATAGCCGACTAACCATAGTTCAACAGCAAAAGATGACAAATTGTTTTGATGACCAAAGATTGACGTCCCTTAGGATTTAGGAATCACTTCACATGTTCTGAAATGGATATGTTCTTTGGACAAGTCCACGTCCTGTCAATCCAAAACTTATCTTTTCAACCGAATTGGTGAAGTATAATCAACTCATGGCATCTCCACATTTTGTTTTACATGATAGAAATCACTATGACGATAATAGCCTTGATCAGGTTGGTGACATATCATAGAATTCAATTAGATCTATAGTCATATGATCACTTTATGACAAATCTATGACTATGAATTTGAGATAAAGTAGAAGGTTGGGCAACCCGAAACACTAAACCTACCATTTGCGGATGATTTGACTACCATCCATTGGGGATTTTGGGGCTGGTTGGTTTTCACCAGCCAGGCTGAGGGTCCAAGCCATCTTCGAACCTTTCGAGCGTACCGAGCCCGAGAGAATATGATGTGAACCACGGGGGAACGGGACAGATGTAGTTTTCAGATAGTATATTCATGGCCGTTCCCGGATAAAGGAATTTTGATCAACAACCATATATATATATATACACATATATATATACATATACATATAAATATATGTATATGTATATGTATTTTATATTATAGATGTATAAGTATATGTATATAGATAGCACATTATATAGCAGCCCCCCCGAAATGGAAGAGTTGGACACCTGGAAATGATGTACTGTGTATATACATAATTAATCCTGAAGTAGGAAGCAATTTGGGATTTTCCAAGACACCACCATTTAATTTCTCCGGGATGACTTTAGTTAGTGACGGACACATAGAAATGTATAGACCCTCAACCATCACTTTCCATGGTTCAATCTGGGAATCTGTGGGTGCATATCTATCTTTCTCTCTCTCTCTCTATGTATACCCTCTGGTTATTTAACATAGCCATGGAAAATGGCCCATTTATAGATGGTTTACCTATTATAAATGGTGATTTTCCATGGCTATGTTAAATAACCAGAGGGTATATGAAACATATATGCCAAAAGATGCATTAGATATATATATATATATACATTCATATGGCATATGGCATGGCTATGGCATCACGTTCTCATCATTTCAATTGTGGTGCCAAACTCAGGTCAGCGGTTGTTCACGGAGTCGCCTACCCTCAGGCCACTGCGGAGCGGCAGCGGCTCATCGATCCATTTGGGTGTTTATTTCATGGAAATCCCAATCGAAAATGGATGAGAACTGAGGGTACCCCCATGACTCAGGAAAGCTTCATTTTGCGACATCTCTTATGTGGCCATCCGAAAAAAAACGTTTGCTAAAATACCAAGACGCCTGAGTACCCAGTACTGCTCTCACCATGAAGCTCCTTGTGTTTGGATGACCCGTCCATCATGCAGGTCGGTGGCCTCTGTTCCCAAGAACAGCAGGGAATGTCTACAGATCCAGACTTTTCCTGTAACCAACCCTCTAAAACAAAGGTTTGGGATTGGCATACATGAACCTCCAACAATGGTTCAGGACTCAAAATGGCACTTGTTGTTGGTCCATTGCTCCATTGGTTTCCTCTTTTTAGGCACTTTCCACTGAAAGGGGCTGAAAGAGCTACAGTAGTACTTGCTTTCTAAGCCCATCCAACCATACAGGGATACATCCACCACAAATCCCAATTGGCCGTACTTTTACCAGCTGCTTACCTATCGTAAATCAGATAGACATCTCCATGTTTGTTGGTTAAACCACTATGTTTGTTGGTTAAATTCCCAGCGTGGCAAAGTCTACTTAGTATACTTTGACAACCTTTGATTTTTAGCCAGATTGTTCGACAGGCCCAAGCACTCACGAAGAATGCGGCGAAGGACTACGGAGAAAGGGGCACAACCTTCCCACATCCCAAGGTTGATGATGGCCAGGGAGGAGAAAGGTGAGGTCTAGTGATTCTGCTGGAAATGCACCCAAACTCGTTTGTGAATCCCCCTAGTCAATCTCAACTTGAATGCCATTTGCCTCCCCAAATTTGGAACTCACTTCGCCCATATAAAGAGGGACAGTTGAACTATCATAAAATGATGGATTTAGTGGCTTTGTTTTGGGGCTTATGAAAACATGATACCATGCAAGAAGTGTTTTCTATGCAACAGCCAAGCAACATTTAGCCCATGTTCTCGAACCCCATTCTATTCCATGACTTCGACCATCATCTTCCTCGTTAGATCATGGAGGTTAAGCTATTATAACATGTGATAACCATGATCAACCACTGTTCTACCTAGCTTGAATATGGGATATGGATATAACCCTATATACAGCTCAGGTATGGGTTATAACCTCAGACAACGGTTCCTATTTTCCGGCCAGTCCCCCGGCCAGCGCAGGACCAAGCAGCTTTCCTGGCTCTCCAAAGTCTGGGCCAAGCCGGCACAACACAGCCATAGGCAGCCATCGGCAGAGGTGTACAGCAGTACAGCGCTGTCCGTGGCTGGAACCAGCAACTGAAGCAACTTAACCATATAATAACCATATAATAACCATATATTAACCATATATTAACCATATAATAAGTTGGGATATAAGCCCTACAACTGCAGGATTTTTAAAACCCACAAAAATCAGTGGAACTGCAGCCAAAAAGAGCATCATTTTAGTGACATAATCCCGAACTAGGCTGAATGATCCCGACCTAGGCTGTCCCTACTAGGCTGTCCACTAAATGATACTTATCAGTGGAACTGCAAGAATGCTTAGTATTTCTAGTCCAGTTTTGAAAAGAATGTAATTTGCCATGCATGAGGGCAGTTGAAATATTACTGTATAAGATAAACCCATGCCATTCGGGGGATTCCCGTGCAATCGCTGGCGTCCCAAAATGGGCAAGGGATATGACCCCCTCTAACAGACCTTTTTTTGGACCAAAGTCCACCATGAAATCTAATGGATATACAGATATACATTGAGTTTTCTTATGGAAATGCAGTTGAAATGCACCACAATTATGAAAGACACTGAAAAATGATCGCAGGTCCTACCAATGGTCCCAGTGACAATCTTGCCCAAAGGGGCTGCGTGCTCCTTGGCAAAGAGGAAACCTCGACTTCTCGGTGGCTGCGGCTCCGAGTGCATGGGGCGTTCCATGCATTGCACGTGCGGAGAAACGAGCAAAAAAGACAGTCGTCTGAAGAGTTTGTCACGGAAAAATGGCAAAAAAAGACGCTCCAAGCACTTCATATCATTTCATACATTCTGCAGAGTGATCATCATTAATCACCATTAATCACCATGAAATCCCATTAAATCACCATTAATCACCATTAATCTCACCATTAATCACCATTAATCACCATGAAATCCCATTAAATCACCATTAATCACTATTAATCACTATTGATAATCTATGTTGTTGTAATGAGAAGGCCAGGCCGGTCATCCCGCCGTGCGCCGTGCAGGCCGTAGAGAGAAACCTGTCAAGTGGCCAAAGGGCACGTGGACATCTCAGACTGGGGTGAACTGGAACCCACAGAAATTGCCCAATACACACACATACATGTATATGTATATAGGATATCTATCTATCTATCTACCTATCCTATCCTATCCTATCCCATCCTATCCTATCCTATCCTATCCTATCTATCCTATCCTATCCTATCCTATCCTATCTATCCTATCCTATCCCATCCCATCCTATCCTATCCTATCTATCCTAGCTAATCTATCTATCCTAACTAATCTATCTAATCTATCTAATCTATCTAATCTATCTAATCCATCTAATCCATCTAATCCATCTAATCCATCTAATCCATCTAATCCATCTAATCAATCTAATCTAATCTAATCTAATCTATCTATCCATCCATCTATATATCTATCTATCCATCTATGTATTTATCTATCCTATCTACCTACCTACCTACCTATCTACCTACCTACCTACCTATCTATCTATCTATCCATCCATCCATTCTATCTATCCATTCTATCTATCCATTCTTTCTATCCATTCTATCTATCTATCTACCTACCTATCTATCTATCTAGCTCGCTAGCTCGCTATCTACCTATCTACCTATCTACCTATCTACCTATCTACCTATCTACCTATCTACCTATCTACCTATCGATCTATCGATCTATCGATCTATCGATCTATCGATCTATCGATCTATCGATCTATCGATCTATCGATCTATCGATCTATCGATCTATCGATCTATCGATCTATCGATCTATCTATCGATCTATCGATCTATCGATATCTATCTATCTATCTTCTATCTATCTATCTATCTATCTATCTATCTATCTATCTATCTATCTATCTATCTATCTGAGTATCTATCTAATCTATCTATCTATCTGATATCTATCTAATCTATCTATCTATCTATCTATCTATCTATCTATCTAATCTAATCTATCTATCTATCTATCTATCTATCTAATCTATCTATCTATCTATCTATCTATCTATCTATCTAATCTATCTATCTATCTAATCTATCTATCTAATCTATCTATCTAATCTATCTATCTATCTAATCTATCTATCTAATCTATCTATAATATTTACCTACGCATGCTAACATTCATTCATCCTTAGAACTGTTTGTTTTTATCCCACCATTTATTGAACGATTTATTGCACATCAATAAACTTGAAGGCCATTTCAGAAAGATTCCGTACATATATCCCACCATTGGTACCGCAGCCTCACAAAATGAACCTTCAGGGTGCCTGGGTTTCCCAGGTCAGACAAAATCTCCAAGAAATTTTCCTGGCTGAAAGGCACCGGAGCAGCCTTTGCTGACAGGGTCAGGTCGTTTCTGTGTTCCGTTGTGTTTCACCAAATGATTTGACGCCCCATATTTACGATATTTATGTAGATCATCATAGATTGACCTTTTTCGATAATTGAGACCACTGTTAGGGAAGATCATTTTCATGGCATGATTTTATCCCCGTATTCTGAAAAATGTCTCTTCATGTCAGTTCATTGCATTTTCTCTTTGGCGTTTGGATTCCCAACCATTTTGTGCATTTTTTTGTTGGATAGGTTCAAACATTGAAACCATTTAGAGCATGTTCGACACACCTTTGCCTGGATCCTCCAAAACTGTTTGGAGCCATAACATGGTTCCAGGAACAGAATGGAATTGGAATAGCTGGCGAAATGTGAAGTTTCAGAAGGACGGGGGGAGCCAGGTGTCTCAAATCAGGCCAGCTGGTAAGTCGAAAGTCTTGGACTTGTTGAACTCAGTTACAAGAAAGGCAAGAGGAAACTCTGTGTGTCTGTGTGTTCAACCCTCCAACATGATGGTTTGTCCTTCATATTTGTTTTTTTTTTGAAGATCCAAATTTTGTTCGCATTTCTTGATACAAAAAGAATATCTTGGCGCATCACATTTTCTCACCTCGCCATTCGATCCCATCGCAGGATGGCACCTTTGATGCTCCGACCAATGACTGCCAAAGAGGTCAGTGCAAATGGTCAGCCAACAAGGGCAAGGTGGGCCCATGGAAACTGCTGGCTGCTGGAGTCCAATGATTCTGGGGGCCCACCTCCCGTCGTGACCGAGCCCATCTGAACCATCGCAGTTAGATTGCGGGGAATCATCCCAGAAAAAAACCGCTATTAGTATAGCCTTATTTCAGGTGAGTGAAATATGGTCATTTTACCCTGAATGATTCTGTATTGATCATGCCGGAACATGCCGGAACATGCCGGAACATGCAGGAACATGTTGTTGTTCATTGGTTTTGACCTGTTTTGAAGCACCCAGATTCGTTGGGACATCCTAGAAAACAATAATTAACTCACAGCGTCTTCTGGAGCGAATCAAGTCACAATTGGTAATTCCTTCACCATTCACAGTTTATATTAGTGCATGTGAGCGTATCTGATTTAGAATCTCAGGTCTGAGATGGATTGAGATGGTCTCATCAGACATGTACAGCTTGGGCAGGTCTTTGTGCTCTGGGGTCAAGCTGGACTTCACGAATTGGAAATCGCCTTCATCTCAGGAAGACGACCAAAAGAGGTTGTTTCCTTTAAGCTGACGGATGCTGAGGTTGGGGAAACGCCCACCGAACAAAATCAGCAGAAGATGCAGGGCCTCCAAATGAGGCGCAACCAGGGTCTAGTTCTGAGTCTACTTGAGTCTACCTCACCAAGAAAAGATCAGAAAAGTATAGAAAAATTTGTGATCTTGAGGATGTGATGAGATTACACACCACATAGTTTCGATTGTGTTTTTTTTTTTAAACATTTCAATCTCGTTTTTGTGGTTTTTGGTCATTCCTTGTGGCACAGGGAAAATTTGTCACCGGCCAGGGGTATTCGCGTCTCTGACGGCGATAGATGCTCGGCACTTTTCCAGAGAGTTTCTTGGCCCTTTAAAATGCCGGAATGGCAAGGTGAGCATCCACCAGGTCTGTTGTTTTTTTTTCAACACATGAACTTAGATACCCTCTGGTAAACATACAAAAAACATACAAAAAACGATGGAATCACCATTTTTAATGGGACAATTCATGACAATTCACTATTTCTATGGTGGCTCTTTCCATAGTTATGTTAAATTACCAGAGGGTAAATCAAATAGATAGTTAAACTATAGTGCCATATAGTACTTATCTAAGTTCTATTGTTGGTTAGGAAAAGTTCGTTACATCCTCCCACAAAAGATCGACTTATAGCACTTTATATAAATTATAAGTCAACTCATGAACTTAGCTATCGTTTGGGCACCTTGTGGAAATTTAAGCATCTGCCGTTTAGTTGTGGGAATGCTTCTTATGAACCAGCCACTAGAACTGATCCATAAAAAGCTGCAACCCTGTGCCTAAGCGCTATTTGTGATTTGTGCATCACAGGTTTTGCTTCTTAAAGTCATAATATTTTCGGATAATTATTAAATTATTTTTGCGGCCTCAATTCCCCGCTTAACTATCTAGATTTGTTGTTTTGGCTGTTGAAGTTTCAGTTTTTTTTCTGCTTGAAATCACCAACTTTGCCGATTGTGTTTTAAATGCGTCCTTTGCGTTCCTTTGCCGCTTAGAATAAACATTTTGCAGGTTAAGGCTACTATTTCGATGCTTAAACTGAATTTTCATATTTTGAACTGCTTAAACAATCTTAAACATATGTAAACTATCTGAACATCCTTATTTTCAGCGGGTAAAATCACTCTGCTGGTTGGACCCCTCATGTCGCCGGAAAATGATGCCAGGTCTATGACCATGAAGCTGCTGAGCTGGACAAGGTTGGGAGGTTTCAAGGGAAAATCATCGGTTTCAAAATTGGGACTATCGAGGGATAATATAAATGGGATACAATATGAATTCAATACCCATAATTAGGATCCATGGTGCTGGTATATATGCTAACATGGATCCCATCAATACACCTCCCAAATGTTAGCATTAATATACCAGCACCATGGATCCTATGGGATATGATATACGTGATTCCCATACTAGACTCTAAATTTGCAATAAACAAGATGTTTTATACTTGTTTTACCCCATCATTTTCGTACTTTTGCCAACTTTTTTTGGGGTATTTGGAAGGTTTGGTTAACTTGGGGGTATATCTTTCTATTTTGGAAGAATGGGGAGTAAACCAGGAAAATATAATAGGGACGTAAGGATCACATACTGTATTTGGATACATTTGATCGGGCTTGGCGCTACGAGGCTATCAATCTCATGACAAAACAGGGTGATCGATATCTCACCACATTGTTACTGATATACTCAATGGCCATTTCAGGAACCTAAATTGGAGGTACCTACCATATATAAGGCCTATTTTTGAGGCCTATGTAAGGGAATATCCCCACAAAATATAGCCTTATATGGTACAGTACCTTCATTTTAGGATCCTGGAATTCCCATTGATATACTGCTGTTTGATGATGAGGATGATGGTGACGACAGTTGTTCCTTAGTGTGTTGCCATGTTTTGTCAGTGCATCTTGCTGCAACTTACACATACCCTCCGGTACTCCAACAGGGCAATGGACGATCCACTATTGATGATGTTCTCGTTAAAACCTTCATTTGCAGTACAGGGGATTTCCCAGCTAGCCACGATGTTTGATTACCAGAGGGTACATACACTGTACGTTACATGCACCGTGTAGCCGGTTGTCATCACCAGAGTACTGCTGCCAGGACCTCTATGAGATCCTAGGCCTTCAGGTGCCGCGGAGCGTGGAGATGGATCTCTGGAACAGAACTGGTGGGACTTATGATGGATTTACCCTCTGGTTAATTAATATCGCCATGGAAAGATCCACCATTTTTAGGTTCGGTAAACCTCTATTTCTATGGGCCATCTATCCCATGGCTATGTTAGTCATAACCAGAGGATTTACCTCGATTTGATGGATGAAAATGGTCACGGTACCCTCTGGAACTCCACCAGGATGATGCTGATGAAGCAGACATCAAGAAGGCGCGGCACGATTTTTGCCCATCATTGGTCCATTTGGGGAACCCCCAAGGCATGGCGATCTGAAAATGGTGATGTTTTTTTTCCCACCTTGTGGGTGGAACTGGGTACCGAATTATTCGGCATTGAGCAGCACTGGAGTTGGGGCAACCTGTAAAAAATTCGATGGAAAGGGGTCACCTTTCAATAGCCTTGAAGCTCATGCTTATCTGCAGCGAGAAGAGACATCTGAAATCCATCTTGGGGTCTGGCCTTACTAGAGCCTGCCGTGTCAGCCAAGGTCTATAGAAAGCTGTCCATCAAGTATCATCCGGACAAAAATCCGGATGAAGAGTCCAAGAGGCCGAAAATGCCACGCTCATGATGTGTTTATTTGCTAGATCCAATGACTTTCATTCACATGAGATCACGTCAGCAGCAACTCTTGAATCGCCAGGAAATTTGCGGAAGTTCGGGATGCGTACGAGGAGTGGAGCTGAGATCTTGAGCCTGAGATGGACTCTTGATCTTTCTTAAGCGACAGAAACGTCCCAAACATACACGAATGATGGGGATAGTGGGACAAACTTATCCTGGTTGGTGGTTTCCAAGAATGTCTTATCAATTTCTCCATGGGATTATAGCCCACTTGACCATCCGAATGTTGGCACGGCTTCTATCAGCGTCTACCTTGTTTGCGGCAAGCCGTGGTTTTATTTGTGCTGCATCTTAACAGATCCTGAACGATCCGGACAAAAAGATCCTCTACGACACTGGTGGGATGGAGGCCGGACCTGTTATCGACGTCGCCAATCAGTTGGTACGTGGGAAGATGTAGAACGTTCCCAAGTCCCAAGATCAAGTTGGAGTTGCGCCTGGTGTCATAAGGATCATTCTGATTATAGTAGACTTAGTAGACTTAGTAGACTGTATATCTGATTATTTGTCTCTCTCTATCTGATTACTTGTCTGTGTATATAATATATATATATGATTATTAATAATTGTATATATGATTATACCATCCTTTATTGGGCCTCCCTAGCATCTAGCAATCAGCTCCTGTTTTTAGGGGGATGATCCAAGAAATTGCCCCAATCTGCTGAGGCCGTCAAAAAGGGGGAAAAGGGCGAAATTGAGAAAGGCTGGTGGTCGGGATTGAAGGGTCAGCCATGGTGAGTTCACCATGGTCGTGAAGCACTATGGGTAACAAATGGTGGTGAACTATGGGTATAAGTGAATGGTTTAGCCATAGAATGCAATGAATTCCTTTTGACTATGGGTATATATATATATATGTATACTTATATCCACTTTTCACTAGAACTGCACCCACAGGTGGACCTAAAGGCTTCAGTACAGGTACATATCTTTTGGAGTTCGCGGGTGAGAGCTTGGCTAGGAATATGAAAAACATTGAAAAAGCCTCAGCCATGAATCGTCTCCAAGTCGGATATATATATATATATTATATTATATATATATTATACATATTATATATATATATTATGTATATATATATTATATATTATATATTATATATTATATATTATATATTATATATTATATATTATATATTATATATTATATATATTATATATATATTATATTATATAGCTTGGGTATATTTCTAGTGGGATGATGCCACAGAACCCATCATTTGGGACTCACGAAGCCAGGTGAAGACGCAAGAGCCAATCTGGCTGCCTGGGGGCCCCAGGTGGTGATGAACACCCCGAAACCGCCATGGCCCAACTATTTCTGAAACTCACCAAAGCCTGTCATTTTTAAGGCCTGAATTGGGCAACTGCGTAAAAAAAGATCGATTTGGGAAAATGGTCGCTAATTCGAATCAATATATGATATTCAATATTTCCTTCCAAGAATGTCTTCCAAAATTGGAGGTTTCCGAAGTCACGGGGTAGCCACTACGGCGTCATGACATCCCAAGGTGAGTCTCGAAGACCTCTACAATGGCGGCGGTCGCCGAGTCTGGCTCCGAAGCGGCCGTTGGTGAAGTTTTAGGGTTGGTAAACTGTTGGTAAAAACTAAGCCTTAGTCTAAGTTGGTATCAATGGGATTATCAATGGGATTATCAACTTACCCATCTAAGTTAGTTTACTCAATCTTGGATGGGTAACATTTCAAAGCCTTTGGTCTTTTGGATTCTTTTGGTATCAATGGGATTATCTGCGTTCACCAGCTAAAAAAAAACGTTTTTTTTTTTTTGCAGGGTAATTATCTAAGATTGGCCACAAACTTGGAAAGGCTTCGTACAGTTTTAGTAAACTTAGACGTAAAGTAAACTTAGCAAACTTAGAAGACTTGCAGATTTGGTTGTTTGTAAACTTCGTAAACAGTGCTATTTGGGGTGTGTGGTCAACTGTCAACGATTTGTGTGTGATGGTGATGAGTTTCAGCAATTATGCGCAGGTGAGTGTTTGTGCTCTGTACCTCCCAGTCCAGCGCATGATTACAACGTTGGATAAGAAATGGTTAAGGTCCAGAAGACTGAAGAAGTTAGCATTCGAATCTGAGTAGTTTTGTACCGCCTACTTCACAACACTTGGGGACACGAGTGGTTCTTCGGATCCAGAACTATCAGATTCTTCAACCTTTATCCAAAGTTGATCATCATCTCCTCATTTTTCCAATCTAAAATGGTCATTTTGGACATGGCTTTTCCACCATGACCAGACACATTTCCCTGTTTTTCTTCCCCATGTTGTCCCATTTTGTCCAGTCGTTTTTCCATGGTTTTCCATGTTAACAGGCCGAGATCCAGCGACGGATCGTGTGCCGCGGCTGCCGAGTGTGGAGCCCATGAAGAACTTCCTGATGTTCTTGAGCTCAAAAATAACAGTGTTTCTCTTTAGACCAAAGTAGCCAAAGTAATTTTTCTTCAGAAAACTCAGAGAATTCTGATCAGAGAATTCTGATACTGAGTACTGATGTCAATCTGTCAATATCTGTCAATGTTGTTGAGGGAGAATTCTGAGAATCCTGTCAGCCCTGATTGACCAACATCGGCAGCCCGAACGACCAAGGTTAGGCCCGACAGCCCCAAGTGTCAGGGATGCGGTCGTTGTTTGGACGCCCAAGAACTGGGCATTGTACGTAGGGGCGATTTGGGTCATACACTCATCCCTTTGATCATTGGATTGGTTTAAGGGAACATCTACAGGAAACCATGGTTTTTACCATTAAATATATATTAATATGGGGGTTTCCGGTGAAAATTTTCCCTTAAACCAATCCAATGATTTGAGGGAACGGGTTTGACTGCTATGGCTATGGCTATGTTAATTTCCAATCCACGGGGCTAGTCCATCCAAGTCATGGATATGACTTGGTATTGAAACCATTTGAAACCCATGGTGACGACTGGGGAATCTCTCCTTTCAATTTGTTGAGTCGATGATTTCAGGCTTATTTTCCCAATGGGAACTCCACTATTTGAGACATCTTTTTATATTTTTTTTGGCATGTTTTTAGTTGTTTGGGTCCTCAAGCAAATCCAAGTAATGAGATTATGATTAACCTATTGGATTTTGGTTTATCCTATATTTTCGGACAAACCCATATGAAATTCTCACCCAGGAACCATGTTAGAATCAGATCTTTGCGATTAATTCTTTGGGGCACTTATCGAGGGAAATTGATCTGAGGGGGCTACTGACCCCAAGGCCCTGTACACAGCTAGCCAACGCTGGACAAGTAGGAATATGTTGCAATGTCAGGTTCCAATGATAAAAAAATTGGCCACTTCAGGGTATTCACATGTATTCACCATATCATTGCCACATTGCGCATGAAGCGGACTGGAGGGACTAAAAATTGATCTCTATCCTGTCGCTTCAGTCCCAGAACCGCATCCGATGGATCCACTCTGAAAGCTTTAGCCTCCGGTAATCAGACATGGCAATTGTAGATGGAGCTTTTACTTGGAAAATCAAGCAACAAAATGCTTGATTTTCCAGCAAACCTGATTGGTTCTGTCGCCTGAGGCCCCAATGAAGTGAGGCCAGCTGTTGATATCATGGCAGCCATGGATTGGCACATCCATTGGCTCATGTAATTTGTATTGAACTTTTTGTTGTATCACATCCCCCCCACAAAAAAACATGTTAGGATAGTTGTATCCATTTTTGGGGGATGAACATGGATGAACATGGATGAACATGGATGAACATTTTGTTTCTGAGCCATGCGAAGGTCATTATGGAGGGGGACAACATGATTCAGACTGTGGCAAATTGTTTTGGTGATTGGGTTGGGAAGATGTCCATAGCCTCAAGAGACATACTTTCAGGTTGGTTCACTCCAGACAGATCTTCGCAGAAACACTATGAAACACTGACAATTCAGAGGTGCGCACTTGGCATTGCAAACACTGATGAACATCTATCTAACTCAGCAAGTGTCGATAAACTTGTTTTTTTTTTTTGTGGTTTGGTCCGCGCTCGAATTTGGCCTCCATTCTATACCCAAAGTTGGCGCGCGCGCGAAGTTTGCAAGGAAATCCACTGACTAAGCTATACTTTTGCGTGTTACCCCAAAATCATCCCTCAAAAAGACACTGAAACACTATTCAACTTTTCAACATCAGTGTAAAACGACCATCCCAGGCATGAGTCATGTGCTACCATGGGTTTCACCTCGTCCCTGCCTGCAGGATGGTAAATCGTCAGGCGGGCCATTTTTTGCGCCGCCGCTGGCGGGTATCGGTTATACAGTTATACATCCACTTTGGGATAGATAGTGGATTTTTAATCCTCCTCACATCTGCATATACGCTCTCTTCTCTTCTTCTCTTCTTCTCTCTCTCTGACTTACAGCAATCCTTTCCCCCTGTTTACTAGGGGATTTACACATTCTGGACCAATGTCCAACATGAACGGGGGATGAGCTTGGGACCATCATCCGGCAGGTGGGTCCTGGCATGTTCATGCAGCAACAGGAGGAAGTCCCCAGCATCTGGGCACGAGAAAAGATGTGTTGGACAGGGCTTGTTGGGATAAACACCATCTTAACACAATGATTTTAATCCATGAACTGACATGACAATTCTTACGTATATATATATATATATAATCCCTGTGATCATTTTCTCTACAAAATAATGAGGTGCTGACACCTCTCGAGCCAGTGCAGGGTCACCAGTTCAAACCCCAACTTTGTCTACAAAATAGAAGATTGAGCATCGTATTTTTTTTTTTAAAAATGCATTTTGAAAGACCCCATTTTGCTCGGCAATGATTTTGTAGAGGCCATTTTTGGCATTGTTGTGTCATGTTTTGATGGGAGTAGATTGGATGGACTTCTATTTTGTAGAGGTGGTGTTGGATGTTTGGCATGCTTGGTTTTGTATTTTGTAGAGGCCCCAGTCATGTCTATTTTTTGTGTATGATTTGCGCCTTTCCTCGCCGCAATGTGAGGGGTCAATGGTTTGGCAGTAACGGTTTCATCAATGCCTGCCATTTTGATTTGCTCAAACTGCTCCTCACGTTTCTTCACCTCTGCATCAACCTTGGTGGCCTCAATTGAATCTTTCTCAATCTCCCTGGCTGTGAGTAGGTCCCACATTTCTGGCTGAAGTTGATCTTTGAAAAATCCAGCTACCCAGTGGTTGCGCAAAGCTTTGTTGTCAAAGTTGGCATTAACAGAGACCAAGCACCAGGTGCGTGGAGATTCCCTGATAAGCTCTGAAGACCCATCAAGATCTATGGTTGGAGAAATTTCTTTGAAGTACTCAACACAACTGAGAAATTTGAATTCACCGCCTGGGAAAGGATCAAAGGCCACATGCAGCATAGCATCATGGTTATCTGCAAAAAGCGCTGCGTCCAGAACATCCAAATGGAAGCCTTTTCCTCTCACCTTTGCAGCATACTCTTCAATTTTTTGGACCACAAGTGGCTTGGGATCTTGTCCTCCCAAGGAGCTGTTATAAATTTGGTGATTGTTTGTTGTGGCGCTATCAGGTCGAAGTCCTGGAGCCACCCCCGTCTACAAAATAGAAATCTCAGCTTGGCCATGGTAGGATGGTGCATCATTACCTCTACAAAATCCAAAACCAAGCAATGGGACCCAGGGTTTTGATTGGCTTTGGTGGGGTTTATTGGTCTGGGACCTAGCTTCCACCCTCTACAAAATAGAAATCTCAACTGGGCCATTTTTGAAAGGAGCCGCGGGGAGGAAAACAAACGGCAATTCACAACAAGGGATAACAAGGGCTTACTATGATGTTTTAAGATGTTGTAAGTTCAAGATGGATTCTCTACAAAATACAAGTCTGAACATACCCCACAAAGCCTGTTTTGGGCACTTTCGAGCCTTGGAAGGGGCAATTTTTTTCCAATCTATTTTGTAGACAGCCCTTATTTGGTGGTTTTTAATGATCTTTGTTTTGTATTTTGTAGTGGGCAGCCATTTTGGGTTCCCTAGACTTGTATTTTGTAGTGCATTTGGAGCCATTCTCCTGGATGGATTTGTATTCTGTAGACCCCTTTTCTCTACAAAATCACCTGTCAGCACCTTCTCCCGAAATGAGCAAGGGGATTATATATATATATAATAATATTTATATCATATCTTCTATAAAAATATATATCAACCATAAACCAAGTCTATGTTTACTATACACCACCTATGAACAAAACTACATATCAAGTATGAATTGTTCACCTATCATGAAGTCCTACACCCGCCAGAATTGATTGGAACCTACAGGCTTTCCCCCATTATCTGTTTGCATGATTGGGCTGATCAATAGGGCTATCTCCATAGTTCCAAAATGTTCCAAATCACCAGCAGATAATATAGGATATTACTGAATTTACGGATAGGTTGCTTACAGGTTTCCCAAATTGTTGGAAAATCCGGGTTACCGGGTTTGCCACCTTCCTGGAATGTCGACCATTTTGGACTGGCAGACTAGGGCAAGGAACATGGGCCAGCTTCACCCACCTGCAAAGACCATGACGAAGTGGGAATGCCGGCGTTGAGAGATCCATTTGCAAATATGATGTTCCGGTAGTCTAACGTCGTCATGGAAACTGGCCAATTGGATAGACGATTTATCTCTTAGAATGGTGATTGTCGGCGGTAAACTCTAGCAAACTACGGCAGGGGACCACAAGCCGTCGACCGGTTCTGTCTTCCAAAGCCTGGGGACCCAGGTAAAGAGAAGTGTAAACAGGAGATGGCAGTGATCGATGCCCAGATTGAAAAAGTCTGCAACTCAGTTGGTATCCCCTTCACCCCACTTTGTAAGTGGATTACAACATATTGTAACAGCAGTTACAACTGGACTAGCCCTGATTACCCCACTTACTAACCGGGTTATAACTATAAGTATCTATAAGTTCTAACCACTTTCTAAAGGGGGATGAAGCGGAAAATGCCCAATTGAACAGATCGTTGGCATCCCAAAGAACCAGTCACAACAGTGGCCCCTGTGCAGTTGCCGGGAAGGTAGATTGTCAGATTCATTTTTGCCTGTAGATCTGTACTATTCTCATGTTTTTTTTTAATCCACGCCAATTTTCCTATAATATAAGAATTGAATTTCATAATATTTCATATATTAATTTTCATATATCCATAACAATTCATATTAATCATATGAAAATTGTTTGGTGGCCCCATCCTCGATGTCAGGGCATGCGGGACGGCGAGAGCCTCACCTTTCCACGGATGACGGATCAGAGGTGCCCTTGACGGGAACTGGGGAAAATCGCGCCGGGTTTTGTGAAGGTGAATTGATGTTTTTTTTGTGCGCCAAACAACGGTTAATCTATGGTAAATCTATGGTTAATAATGGTTAATAATTGGAATAACAATATATCTACAATGACTGGTTGGTGGTTTCAAACATATAGTAACTATAATATATAAGCAGTATATAGTAACCATTATATCATAACCATTAATCAATATTGAACATATTCTGGCTGGTGCTTTGGAACTATGGAATTTTATGACTGTCCATATATTACGAATGTCATCATCCCAATCTGACGTTCGTATTTTTCAGAGGGGTAGGTATACCACCAACCAGTGATGTTTTTGATGCGCCAAACAATGATATTTTTCATGTGGGTAAAACAATGCCATAAACCCACCATCCCGCAGTCACCATTTTTATAGGTGGGATTTCAACCATTCCCAAATGGGTAAATGGGTGGTTTATTCTTGTTTTACCCACATTAGATAGTTTTAGATGTACTGATTCATAGCCAGATGGAACCACCAAAAAATGTGTTGATAGAGTTGTCACTTTTCTGTATGGCCATTTCATTGGCGGTAATTGCCAAATTCGACATTTGATGGGCAAGAACCCTTTTCACGAACGTGAATGCAGTCACAAGTCTCTTTCAATATATATATATTCTCTCTATATATATATTCTGTATATATATATTCTGTATATATATATATATTCTGTATATATATATTATATATATATATATTCTGTATATATATATGTATATTCTGTATATATATATATTCTGTATATATATATATATTCTGTATGTATATATATATATTTTGTATATATATATTCTGTATATATATATATATATATTCTGTATGTATATATATATTATGTATATATATATATATTCTGTATGTATATATATATTCTGTATATATATATATATTCTGTATGTATATATAAATATATTCTGTATATATATATATTCTGTATATATATATTCTGTATATATATATATTATTCTGTATATATATATATATATTCTATATATATATATTCTGTATATATATATATTCTGTATATATATATATCGCCAAACAGTCTATTTTGATATACCCCAGGGTAAAATCACCTAGTTCGATGTGGAACATCATCCAGTTGTAGACCGCCAGGCCCGGCATCATCCCGGGTGCCATGATCTTGACGTTGAAGGCGGAGTACTCGGAGTAGGGAAGATGGTGATGGGTCAAAATTGAAGCCCCCAATGGACCGGAGGTTCTAGAAATTTCATGATATTGAGATATTCTAATGACTTACTGGAGATATTGAGATATTGGATTTCATGGTTTGTTTCTTAAACCCCCAGGTCTTGACACACCCAAAATTAGTTATCATTGTCAATTGATGAATTCTCTAGTTTTCATTATCAATGACTTACTGGTGCTAAACGCAGGGGATGGGAATGGGTTGCTGGGGGTTGCTGGGATGATTTTTTTTCTAGTGATGACTGGGATCATTCCCGAAAATTCCCTGCGTTTAGCACCAGCAAGATGAACCATCTAATTCTTGGAGTAGCCAATTTTGATCCATACCCAGATCTTATGGCGAAAACCATGGGGATCTCATGAGATACTTCATGGGAAGAAAGGGAACTAGAATTACTAGGTCATCAACAATTCAATATGGATTTGTCCAGAGATGGGGCACGGCATGGCTGCCCCAATTTTGTACAATTTCACGGCATGGAACGTGATGACTTCAATCGGATTTTGGAGTACTTCAACAACTTGCTCGGTCAGTGTGATGTTACTGGAACCATTTTGTGAGATGTTTATTTGCAACGTAACATTTATAGGGTTTTGTTTATAGTTTTTGCCAAGTGAAATTAAATGTGTGTGTGTGTGTGTTAAGATGTTCCGTATCTTTTTGCCACAAGCCAACCCCATACCCTGCAAAACCGAAAAACAAAGAAGCGAACCAAAGAAGTCCTGAAACAACTTCTACCCCAGCAAAACGCGAAGCTGTGCCATGCCGCTAGCAGCATGACCAGCATGACCCGCCGGTTCTGATTCACCATACCATACCATGTCAATGGGGAATATCATGATCAACCGGTTGGATTTTTTAGTATTTTCTCATCATACGTAGCAGTTTTCAGAGTTTCCTATCTTTAGGATTTCTTACAGAAAATACAGATACAAACATATCATCTTATATCCAATTCATCCACAGTTCATTCCTGTAGCAATATCATAAGCTTTATATCCTGTATCCAAGGTATTCCAACCTGCCAAACAATGACCCAATTTTTTTGGGGATCCGGGATCAACATTCACCTCGATGAAATTCCCTTCACCATTTCACTGTGTCTGGAGAAGTATTGAATCTGGTTCCAGGGATTACCAGGCGCCGCGGAGTGACATATGACTCCACCGTGTCTTGAAAAAGTTGATATACCACAGTTACCCTCTGGTAAACTAACATAGCTATTGAACATGGCCATTTATAGTGAGTTTTCCCATTAAAAATGGTGATTTTCCATAGTTATGTTAGTTTACCAGAGGGTACCAGTTACCCTGACCCTGTTTTGTCAGACATGGCTGGAAGATCCATATCATTTCGGATGGATTTTCTGAGCCATGAGCCTTCAGAAAAGTATCGGGGATTTCCCATGAAAAACTCCACCTGCCGAAGATGATTTGTCATTTTCCCAATGGGAACTATCCAGTGTTTGGGAACTATAGGATATGACCATTTGCCATAAATAGTTGACAGAAGTTTTGTACCAGAGGTTGATAATTAGTGTGAATCTAATGGTTTTCCCATGTTTTCCCTCTTCGTTATGAGGCGGCACTGGCAACGAACAAAAAACTTACCAATTTTGCAAGGCAGCCCGTTTGCAAACCCGCAAACGGTTTGCGCTAGTTATTTTCCACATCCATGTTCGAAGATTTTGGTATGTGTTGCCGACTGCTTGTTATTTGAACCTGACGAAAGTTAAGATGTAACACTCAGCGTCTTAAACCTAAGGATATCTTAGTTAATTTCTGTGCAGCTTAACCATTTTCCTATAATTTTAAGGTTGCCCTTCAATTTTGCGGATTTGTACGTAATTTTACCCCCTAGACCCCCGCTAGCAATGCGCTAGCAAAAGTTGCAAAAAGCGGCTTTGGCTGACCCGTGACCCAGTCGCCGCCAGAGAACTTGCAATGTAATCTTTTCTGCTTGACAAAAGCAACAGTGCCAGCAAAGGCAACGAGAAGCCTTGCAGCAGATGAACAATTTTTGAATTTCCACAACTAAAAACTAGCAGCGGCACCCACTCCATATGAACGCGCGTTAGCATTTCCAGCAGGTTTTAGCTGCGACTTCAAACATGAAAGATAAAATGCAGTGTTTCAGACTATCTAGACAAGTCATAGTTTTTAAGACCAAACATGAAGCGGCACACATGGAATTACGATTTATGAACCAGACCAGACAAAGACATTTTGACAAACTGTCATATGCTTTGTGGGGGGGGTCCTTAAATAAAATAAACCTTAGGCAAATCCAAGACATGTTCCAACTTCCAGTCAAAACGGAGGTGACCGTTTTGTCATGAAGGTACCTTCAGTCCTCATCCCAAAGTCATGGCTAAGGGGTAAAACCCATTGGTGACGACCGGGAATCCACGAAAGTTAGGTAAACCTTGGTTGGGTGACACATATCCATATCAAAGCATAACAATAAAGTTGGTAAACCATGGTAAACCATCAAATATCAGTCATTTTTGGTTATTTTTACCATATATGGATTCAATGACATAGGGCTTTTTATCCATTAGATCTACCATAACAACAAAGTTGGTACACCATCAAATATCCTCAAATATCAATGGCTTCAAAATGCTTTGATCTTTCCCCATCTGATGGGTTTTTTCCAGGTGGCCAAGCACGAGACCTTTGAACGTCGCGGCGATGATCTCCACATGAACGCCAAGGTGCCCTTTGGGCTTCGGCCACGAACCCAGGGGATTTTGGTTCATTGGGAGATCACGATATTTCTTCTGTTTTTGGATCTGATCCAGATGATATTTGGATATATGTCACTTGTTTTGTCGCCTCACAAGAACGAAGAAATGGCCAGTTTGTCGGAAAATGGATGGTTTTCACCTGGGGATCAAATCCCCCAAACTTTCAATCACCCTGGGAACACATCATGGGTCTATCGGACTTTTTTTTTTAACGGGATATCATGGAGATACCAACAGATCATAGATGGATCCAGGGAACTTTTTTGAACATCAAATTGATGAAAATGGACTCCGCTTCCATTGATTTTCATGCAGTGACACCACCAAAAATTGGTGTCGTCCTTGACTTTTGAAGCAGTTTGAATATATTTTTTGGTGACGAAACAGAAGCGTGTCTTAAAAGCTATTCATGTGGTGATATACAGTCTTAGCCTTGTCATTCTGTGGCATGGAATCCCAAAGTTGCAATTCTAGTCACATGTCGCAAGTTCTTTGCTACCGAAAAAAACATCTGAAAATCACAGTCAGCAATCAAAGTCCGTCGAAGTTTCCACTTCTGCGCACCTTTCTGCCAATTTTAGGTGGAACATACCCTCTGGTAAACTAACATAACTATGGAAAGATCCACCATTTTTAATGGGAAAATCCACTATAAATGGCCATTTTCAATAGCCAACTGTTAAATTACCAGAGGGTAGGTGGAACATATGGAATCCCATCCCCAAAAAACCAATGACATGGCCGGGCCGGCAGGTGACCCTCCGGGAGTCGCTACTGGGATGGAGCAAAACCATCCGGTCGCTGGGCAATTTGCGAGTGGAAAGTGCGCTTTTTAAAAAAATCGCCTGGTTGATTTGTTCATAGAGGGACTTATACAAGGGGTTAGATTTGTAAGTTGAAATTATACAGGTCGATTTGTTGATTTATTTGACCTAATGAAAGATTATAACCCAAATAAAAGGGGCAGCAAGTTGCATTGGATATTGAAGAACAATCACAGTAATGGAGATAGTAATTAATACAACTCAATTAGATAATTAGATATCAATATTGGATTAATTTGTTATTGTTATTGAAAATCCATAGTATCAAGACGAAAAATACCCACAACACATGAATAATATCCAATATTAATATCGCATATTGCATGATGCCAACCTTTGCAAACCCTTGTTTTGCTGCGTATGTTCCCTTAAACCCTCGGTTCTTCTTTCTTAGGAAAGAAGACAGCAAAGAGCCATTGTCCCATGCAATTCAATTCACTGTGGGGCAAAATTTTGTTTCTTTGCTGTACCAAAAGACTTTGGACTTCAGATTCAAAAAGTACAATGACACTCATCAATGGATGAACACAAATGTATGCCATGGATATGCCAAACCAGTTTATATCACAGTCAATGGGAATGTTCGCGCGTCCCCAATTCAGCCTGGGGCCAGCTGCACTAGTCACTAGCCAGCAACAACTGCAGTTGGATGGTCGGTCTTGGATCATCTTACCTTGATATATGGGTGTTTCCATAAATGGTGCTACCCCCATAGCTGGTTGGTTTATTTACTTTATGTCATGGAAAATCCATCTATAAATGGATTTTTCCTGGGGGTACCCCTATTTCAGGAAACCTCCAGATAGATATATGATATATATATAATTGTATATATATATATATATTATCATTATATATTATATATAAATCCAAACTCTATTGGTATCCAACTCTGAAATCCTGAACCGAGACCACCTGGGTCTTCCAGCAAAATCATCCAAGGCATATGGATGGCCACACCATTGAGATAGGCCCAGCTGACGGTCGACCTTGCCTGAAGATTCTGCTCGAGTCCGACATGTTCATTTTTTTCCAGGAAAAAACATATGTTCTTGTAAATCATACAAATACAAAGTAAATTTTTGTCTTTCTTGTAAATCAACATCTATACAATCATACATGAATACAATATTCATGACAAAAAAGAGGGATGATTTCAACTATGGCAGATAATTTAAGAGCTGATTGGTGGTTTGGTGTTTTTTTATTTTTCCATATATTGGGAATAATCATTCCAACTGACGAACTCATTTTTCAGAGGGGTAGGTATACCACCAACCAGATACATCAACACACTATTTATACAACATTTATGCACCATTTCCCAGGAAACACAGGCTTTTCCTGGTTCTTTCCCTTCGTTCAAACGACGCTCGGTCGCGGAAAGGCACTGATAGCATCACCAAGCCCTTCCAGGTGATCAAGGTGCGTGAAATCCGGGAACTCAATGAAGGTCTGATTTGGAACATCCCAGATATTCCCAGATATCGAACATCCCAATATCCCATAGGATCCATGTATGCTATATATATGGTCACATTTACCATCAATATACCCCAAATGTTAGCATATATACCATACATGGATCCGTCATGGGTATTTGATTAAATGAAAAATTATCGGATAACTCCTGATAATTTTCCCTTTTTACATCTTTTTTTTAAATTGGAACAAAAAAGGAGCATCCTATTAGCCTAATTCCCGGCTAGGTTGCTCCATGTATATTTTCATGTGGGATTTTCCATGGATTTTCCATGTTTGATTACCAGAGGGGCCAGAAAAATCCATGGGGTGATCAACTTGATAAACTTGATTACCGTGATGGTTGGTTTGGATCAAGAACCTGGAGATATAAATTTCATGGGTTTTACCATGGGTTAGATCGCCTCTATAAATTTGGCGATCTCCTGGGGCAGTGGGACAGATCAACGGACAATGAGCAGATTTGATAGGAAACAATGGATAAACTAAGATGATCCGAAGTGGCGGTACATCGGCCGCAAGAAATGGATGAAATGGCGCGGATTTCACATAAGCTAAACATGCAAAACATGAGATATGTTCCCTCTTGGACGCTTTAATGGAGTAAACCTTGACCATGACTCTGAGAGATTTTCGAAGGCGGTGATCTATTGAGAAAATCACATCAAATCGAAGATTTGGAGAAGCGGTTCTCAGGAGGCAGGTTGATCTGTTGGTTTCCGAGGTGGCGTATCTATCTTTTGTTTAGTTTTATTTGTCTTAATGTGGTAAACCCATGTAAACCCAAAGCCATACACCATTCCCATCCATTCCATTCCATTCCCATGAAGCCTTTCCAATTTCACCAGGAAATTTGTGGGATTGTAACCCTCTAAAACTGGAGGATCTGTTTATTTTTGGCACCTCTGAGTTCTGTCAGGTGAAGGGTGAGGGCATGCCTTTCAGGGATGTTTGTGGCTCAGAGATGCCGTCAGAGAAGCCAAAATCTGCCGAAGTGGAAGTTATACAAAATCACCTGGGGCAAATTTTGTAGGCTTGGACAATGAAATCATTTATTATAATTTATTATGATCTATCATAATTATATAATTATATATGATATTATTCTTATGTAACTTATGTAGGACAATAACATAATATTATCCGCTCAAGGTATCAGGTTAGCCAGCTTTCCCAGGATCCGGCGAGTTTCGGAGATCTCTATGTGAAAGTGGAAGCCCGGGCCCAAGCAACGATGACGGCGGGAAGCGCTGGGAGGATGGGAGGACTTGGCGGGCTTGAAACATGCATAGATCGGAGTCAGGGATCATACCTTTTTTTATCTGGTGCTTTTGAAAAAAGGAACAACAATGGTGTTATTCTTCAATCATTCCTAGGTTTTCCCGGTAAAATCCGATGAACGTCCCCAAGTCTTTTGGGTCAAATCCCAGGACACCCTGTGTCGACCCACACCGGGCACAGGTCGTATTCCCACGGACTCTCACCGGAGCGCAGCAGGAGTTATGGGGTCAACAAGGCATGCTCAAGATCCCCCGTGGGCCCTTGTTTAACGGTTAAATCCTAATTGTTTAATAGGTTTTAATATGTTTTAATGATCGAACCCCAACTTTCAAAGATGTTTTTATGAATCAGTCCCAGTTTTTCTTCGTTAGATCTTCTGGAGAAATTGTAGCGAGCTCACTACGACGTCATGGTTTCTAGCCTGGTAGAGCCACATGGCAAGAGAACATTCATGAACATTCCCTCAACTTGCCCATGTTCCAACATTCTATACCCAAAATTCGCGAAGCCAACCAGAAAAAAAGTTCAAACTCCTTTTTTGAAAGGAAATCCACTGAGTGTTGAAGAAGTAACTCATCTACTCTACGGGTTTTCATGAAACCATCAGCCGGTCATCCACCCATCCAGGACCAGATCACCCAAATCTTCACCGCTTAGGCGGTGATGGGAAAATCCATGGGATCAACGCGGAGACCTTTTGGGGTACCTTTTGGGGTCGTAACTTGACACGAGCAAATACGGAAAAATCAAGAAGTCACATGAATACACATAACTACTTGGATATATGATATCTCTATATATATAATATGTCAAGTTATATATATATATATATATAATATTACAATTTACATAACTAGTTTTATTCAATTTTATTCACGTATATATATATATATTTATATATATATATGTACAATGTACATGTATCATTTGTTAAAATTGTATCTAATATTACAATTTACATATATACTTTTATAATATATATATATATATCAATATATATATATATATATTCAGAAATTAATACGCTACCCTATTGGCATGTCATAGTCACAATTTATCCATCCACTTCCATCTGCCGGAGGTAGCTCCGCCAGAAATGCCCCTCGAGCCACTGAGCAAAGCTTTGGAGGTTACAGACAGAATTGCACCTTTGACGTAGAAAATGTCTGAAATGGGATATCCCATGGGAATATTGAATATTATGAACATAGAATGGGATGAAGATGTCTACAAACTGTGCGCATGTTCCACCCTTTGAGCCGCATATAGTGGGTTGTGGACGTCGGAAAGTGACAGAAGGCACCCATAGATATCATAAAATCAATCATTAAATAGACAATGGATTCATTTTGGACAAAGCAGCAGAAAAAAAAGAGGACCAAGTGGTTTTGAAGTAGAAAATGCAGGGAGGTCGTGTGCCAAAATCCTTGCATGGGCGTTGAGCAGCATGTGAGAGATACTTCAGAGTATATTATATACGGTAGCTCATTTGATGTCTTTTGATCTGTTCAAGATCTCGTGTAGTCTCTCAGCATCTCAATATCTCTCACGCATGTTGTCCTGTGCAAATTGCACGCGTCTCCGCCCAACTTGTGCGACATGCGCGAAAGACCGATCTTGTAACGTGCTCGCGGCGATGCGGCGTCAAAATTGGCAGTTCCAGAGCGACTCTGATGGGTTCTGATGGAATGGATGGAGTCCAGGTACGTCCCCATGGTGTTGTTGGAGGTCAATAAGCTCTTGATAAGTCTCTTTTTTGGGCCGAGGGTTGACCTTTGGTCCGAAAAATCAAACTCTAGCCGAACAGATCCCATTTCTTTGTTTTTGGAGGAAACAAATGGGTGTTTTTTTCGAAAATGAGGGGCAGGTGAGCCCAGCTTGTGGACCGGATCCTGCTGGATTCTTGCGATCCCATTTGACCTCAAAGATGATTCTTACAGTAGGGGAGATCATTTTTCAATTGGCCGAACTAATTTGGTTTGGGAAATATGGCAAATGTATGCAAATGTCCCAGATGCGTGATTTTGAGGTCCCGTACATACCAAACTATGGATTGTGAGCCGACTTCTGCACTTGGGTGGAGAAACTACGTGAATGAGTTTGTGTGTCATTAATTAACTTTTTCCAACCGGTAAGGAATTCCTGGACCATATATTTTCAATAGCCATTTCCAAATTGAAAGACTAACAGCGACTTGAGCACCGACTTTCCCAAGAATATGGCTTTCAAATCTGGCATTTTTACAACCTCAAACTGCGGTTGACACAGGTACCGATGGTACTTTGATGGCTTGATCTTTAGCCAGGGATGGAGATTCGTACTGTCCAGCCCCAAAGATGTACCTATATAGCCTACATATGTCCTTTTTCATCCTTTTTCAGTATTTGTCAGTATGTCACTGAATTTCAGGCTTTCCAGGTTTCAAGATTTGCCATGTTTTTTTTGCCACAAGAAATTCATGGAGAATTGGGTTTCAGATCATCTGCGCTGATTTCCTGTTGTCTTCCAAGATTTTCGCTAGATTGTAAATCCATCAACCATAACCATCAACCAGTAACCACCATTAACCATAACCATTGTAAATCCATGATTCGCCATTCATCACCATTAACCACCATCAACCGCCGTCGCCATGAAAATCACCATTATATAATCAACACGAGATTAAGAACTATCATTAACATTCATTAATCATCATAAATGACCACTACTCACCATTAATCATCATTCATGATTCATAATCATTAATAACCATCATTAACATTCATTAACCATCATAAATTACCATAAATGACCCACTAATCAGCATTCATCATCATTCATCACTAGTCAATGGGTAAATCCATTAATGGGTAAATCACCATTAATCATCATTCATCATTCATCTTGATGAATCGCCATTCATCACCATTAATCATAACAAGATCTGTGCCACGCAGCCGGCCCGGTTCCAACCGGTGATCCTCCACCGCCCCGGCGCAAACCTTCGCGGTGAACCCCGCGTCGAAGCCCGCGTCATGCCGACGCCTCCGGTGGGGATATTATTGGGGATATTTTTTTGGATATTTTTTCCATATGGGTGGTTCTATACTAATATGGGGATATAGGGATTTTTTTTTATGTGTTATCAAACTGGAACCATATTAGGTATATTGGATATCAATCATACAACTGAATATAATTGGATATAATGATGTATAGCACCAAAGTTAATCAACTGGAAATTTGGATGTGTCTGACTGTTGCACGCAGTATACCTGCCATGCATGACAAGTTGCGTTGGGAAATTATGATAAACTGAATAACCATCAAATATGGGGAATCCTATTTCAGACAAAGCCATGTGGTAAATTTCATATGTCCTGAATCTAAGCAACTTGATATTCGTAGATTTTTTAACTTATCAAGTTTCACAGCGGGTCATGTGTTTGACTCATGGAGTTAACCCACTAGTTAGATGTGCAGTTGGTTGGTCGCCGGAGTTCCAACAAATGGAAGCCAACCCCCTGTGTGAACCCAGAAGGACACAGAATTATGATAATGGAAAAACATATGTGACATGTCCTGTGACATGTCCTAAATAAAAATCCTGGATTTGCGACCATATCAAATACCCTCTGGTTATTTAACATAGCCATGGAAAATGGCCCATTTATAGATGGTTTACCTATTAAAAATGGAGATTTTCCATAGCTATGTTAGTCATAACCAGATGGTAAACATCAACAAACGATATCAAACCCCATGACCTCGGAGTCAAACTTAGCCAACTGGACCATCCAAGCATCGAAAAAAAAGGGCTGGATTTCTGGGCTCCGAAAGTTTTGGCTGCGAGTTCTCCGCTGGGCCAAAGTTTTAGGAACATCATCCATGGCATGTAGACATCTTAAATCAATTTAAATCATATGTCATCATTTTGAAGCCAAATACACTTTTTTTTTAAAATACCCCACGTAGATGTATTTTTAATATTTTTTTATACCAAGACTGCAGTTGTTCCAAACATTTTTTTTATACCCAGCCATGGTATTTCCCATGGATTTCCCATGGATTTCCCATGTCAATTGCCCGGAAAAATTGGACAGATCCGCCAGGTGCCGATCTCAAGGCACCGCTTAACGCGGCAGCGTTTCTGGGACGAGGTCGCGGCTTGTCGTGGCTTGGAAGATGGGAAAATCACAGGACGCCCCATATCTTATCAATGGCCATTTCAGGAACCTAAATTGGAGGTACCTACCATATATAAGGCCTATGTAAGGGAATATTCCCCCAAAATATGGCCTTATATGGTACAGTACCTCCATTTTAGGATCCTGAAATTCCCATTGATCTTATGGTGAAATCCATGGGAAAACCACGTTTTTTTGGGTTTGGAAAAACCTGGGCTTCCTGTAGCTTGTCTCATAAAAATCAAGAAATCCAAGAGTGGAAATTTCTCACCGGGGACGAATGCACGATGAATTGGGTTGTGATGAACAGTTCGTGGGAATATAGTTACCGAGGACCCAGCATGAAGTATTTTTTTGATGTTCAGATTGAACCATAAACCATATTTCAACACATAGAAGCTATATGATAATACACATTAATAATGCACCTAATAATCCAGCAATCTGAAATTTGGGGTGTCTTATTAAACACTCGGAACCCTTCAACATCATCCATTTCAGTGGTGATTTTCAGTGGGGCAATGGTTTTAACAGTACCGCACATGTTTCGGGATAGATGGCACCACCCAGCCGTGATTTTTAGTGAATGATGAGTGATGGGGCTTTTGTCATCTAGGATAGTTTAGGATGTTTCATCATGTTTCATCCTATACTTAGAATGATTACCTAGGATTTTTTTGTATCAAAGCATCAGCATCGTTGCTGGTTGAAAGGTTCATGGTCAATCTCAACAACGCAGATGTATATATATATATGTACTATATATATATGTACTAGAACGGATGTGGTTCACCTGAAACCCTAAAGCGCGAGAAACGAGTGGTGGCTTCCCAGGTAGCCATATGTTATGAAGGGAATCTGAGCCCTACCGTGGTGAAACAAACGTGTCCACCCTCCAACAGTGACCATTTTTATGAATTTGCTCAAGTTTGGAAAATCATCTTCCAGACATCATGCTTGGAGTTTCATAGTTCGGGGGGGTGCATTTCTGGCTGGAACGTTGAGTTCCTTCAGCATATCTCAAACGTGCGACACTCAGCGCAGGCAGAAACGCCAAGCAAGTCCACCCGGCATGTTCTCCACAAAATGAGGGGTGATGCGGCTACGGGACATGCCACCTATGATTTGTTTTTCCATATTTTGAGCAATGTACACCATTGTCACCATCATCTATGGGGATATAAACCAATATATACCATTATTTTGGGCTTTGCATGAGTTTGTCATGGTCACCATGGGAGATACTACCAAAAAAAAATTGGCGAAGATCGGCAACATCCCAAGATGAAGATCCCCCCATGATCCAACAGCTGTTTTCGATCTATGGCCAATAATATTTCTGCGAAAGACATTCGAGGCCTTAGTGGCGGCGCCCTTGATGCTGATCCCTTCACCATACTTTTAGGATGAAGCGTAGCATCCAAGTTTGGGCTTTGTGGCTTCACATGTCTTTTGGAGGCAAGAAACCGAAGTTGGCACATGGTTCCA